GCACACCTGATGGATGTTACAATGTACAATGTTTCAGCGTATGTTTATCCCAGGCTTTTAATTAGTAGGTAATTGGTAAATGAAGTACAAAATACAAAAACATGTTTATTATTTACATAGAAAAGTACTAACAGTTGACTTAAACTTGAAACTTGGCATAGAAACAGATTGATTTTTTAAATACCAACCCTTATGAAGTACTGATATTCATAATAAAAATATTTTCATATGGTAGGTATCGTTTTATACGTTTAGGTGATTACTGGTAATTATTCCTGAAACAATTCCTCAGAAACAACAACTTTCTGAGATTTAAGAAGGTTCTTTCTTCCTGCTAAGATATTCCTGTAGGTTTCTTACGAAAAATCGTCTTTAGCGATGAGGCGCATTTTTGGATGAATGGTTATGTTAACAGGCAAAATGGCCGAATATGAGACGACACAACTCACACGAGGATAAGTCCGTTCCTGATATGGCATGCAAACTAATTTCTAATAAATTCAGAAAAGATTGATCGGCAGAGCATGACTAAAACAGAACTGATAAATCAGTAATAAATAAAAGGTCGAAGGTAAAACAGGCTATAATGGTCAACGCGAGGGTCATCTGCCCTTTAGGTAATCAACCTCGACGAATCAAGCTATCGTCAAAGCTCTCGTCTGATACGACTTGGTTCAACAGACTATTGTGTTTCATTTTTTTTTACAACTATAGCGTTTATTGGCATTTCGTGGTGGTATGGGTGAGCCAGCCTGTATTATTATGAGAAAACGAACTTGTATCGATTCGTGGAGGTCAAGGTGTTCTGCTAAATTAATTTTTTTTTATCAGGGTTATTTACAGTATAGAATAACGGATTTCCACGCGATTCCTGAAAACCGATACAATGCGGGTTGTTAGCTATTCATTAGTGATGATATAAAAGAAATTACTTCGCGTTATTTAGATGGGAAATTTCTTTTTCCGTGTTTCTGCGTTTGGTATGTGCAATCTGCAAAAAAAGCAAGGGTAATTAATACCATCATCAACAGTTAAAGTATCCGAATTTTCACACTTTTATTTGAATGTTATCCATATCACCTTTTATCTTCATTTCTTCAAGTAAATTCTCTTTTTTCTTAAATTTTTGAGAATATTGTTGCCGAGGCTGAAATACTTACCAATTGTCTGCTGCTGACCGTAAATAATAAATGCTTTTCTTCTTAATACCTCGGCTTTTAGGGCCCTTATTCGCCTAGTGTAATGCTTTTCATTTCTCTGAAGTTGCAATTCGAGTTTGGAAGAGTGCCGAGGTGTCAAGCAATTCAAAATCAAATGCCTCAACTGCTTGCATTTTTTTTTGAACGGTTGGGCTTCAGGAATGATAAAAGTTTCCGTATTTAAGTAAACTTGTTTTGGAAAATTTTCAAACGTTCAAACGTTGAATCTTAGAAAAAAGCATCATACACATTCAAATGAGCCAATAAGTGATTCATACAATTTTAATTCATTTTACTAAAAAAAATTAGGTTAGGTTTGAAAGAATGCGATCGATGCCATCACGAATTTATGAACGATCAGATCATTTTTTTTTAATGAAAACTAGAGCATGTCAAGGTTCTGCCTGTAATAACATAATGTGTTTTACCGAGCATTTTCACATGTTTTGAAGGTTCACTATGGAAAAGTTTGCGAATGACTTCAATAATTGTGCATTGTGAATTATGTTCGTTTCTTTATGTTTGTCTATTATTATATAAGATAGCGATACTGGTTGGAAGGTCCAATCGCGCATAAATTATGGTCTTTTCTGCAGCTTTATGCCCCCCTTCTCAATATAGGTATTTAAAGTACAAAATGTATTATGGTTACAAAAAAAAATTAAAGAAAAAAGCATAATTTTTGGGTCTGAGATTGATTTAAAGAAACTGAATTAAAAAAATCGAACGTCAAAATAAAAGCCCTTTCAAACAAGCTATTACTCGATACCACTTGTCACTTAAAACTTTTAAGGGGGTGACAGAGGGTGAAAGGTGGAGTAATATTTGGATAGAAAGTCCCCCTTGAAAAATCTTTTAACGTGTCTCGGCGTTTTTCCTGTAATCAGTGGTTTTCGCTAAATCCGTGTGGGAAGTTTTCAAATGAACACCCTGTATAAAGCAAGGCGATTATGGAGACTCTTTTTCCTTAAATCTTTACACTCTTTTCTAATCCTACCGTGTAACGTGTTAGGGGTTACCCGATAGTACCAACCTTTGGAAGGGAGAGAGAAGGGAATGTATCGTATGAGTCGGCGTGTACTGAGGGAAGGAGGCTAACATTAAGTAAAAACCTACGGAAAAACTGCTGGAGTAGTATCTTCCCTTCGGCACCCCAGTCCTTCCATTCCCATCCTGAACATACAGGGTGTTTGGGTTAATTCAACCATACCTCATGGCATAAGAACTCGAAAAATTTGACTTTTGTCTTTCAGGAAAATGTATTGCCAATCAATTGCTCCTTATAACTTTAATATCAAGGTGAAGCATCAGGGAAGATTTTAGAGGATACTGTGTTGACTGAGACAAATTACCTTTCTTTTTTTTTAAGGTGAAAATTGCAACCAGAAATTATTGGTAAAAAATAAACACGGAAAATATTGAGGACGTCTCCTTGATACATTGCTTTTTATAAAATGGTTTAAATTTAAATGGAAACCTATGTTGACTCCGCAAGATTAAAAAGTGTGAAAAGACTGGTAACAAATTCAGGGGTTTCTTAAGATAAAAATACAAATAGAAAAAATACACAACATACAACAGTTTAAATGATAATAATATGTAACAACGTGGTCGAAGGACACGAACTAAAAGGGGACAAAAATACACCTAAAAACGAAAGAACTTGCGGCTGCTTACGGAGACACTAGATATGTTGGGAAAAGCTGGCGCCAGTAACTCTTGTTTCCCTGTTCGGGAGCCGTGCCCAAAAATTAGAAAACAGCCCTCTGGTGGTCGAGAAAGCCAAGGCTATAAAAAGAAGGGGGAAAATAAGAAAGATTAATTAAGAGGAGCATAAAAAATGTTTAATCTCGCCTGGGACTTTTCTTGAAAATGCAAAATAAATTATGACTTGGATAATAAATGCAAACTGTTTGCTTTTTTTTTGAAGGAAGTAATCTAGGGGAGGAAAAAGGGATGAGGGTAACAATCAATGATTTAAGTTATTGTGAGTCAGACTGCTTTAGGTGACTGCTTGCAAGATCTCACAATTACAACCGGCAGTAATAATGAATAATAATAATAATAAGTTGTTACTTTTCCTTTTTTTACATAGAGTTATAGGGAATTATTGGGATACAAACAATTTGTTTAACTACAGTATACTTGCTGTATATTGCTGGGTCCTCAGGCGATGTTAAGGGTGATGTGGGGGAGGGTAGAGGAAATAGGATGGAGAGTAGTGGAGGAACGAAATTTAAACGGTAGAGTATGTACAGAATCGCGAAAGGAACGATTAGATAGGAAAATAAAAACCATGGCACAAACGGATTTCCAGGATGCATTCTTAAAATCATATAAATAACTCCCACAACAGCTCTTGGAATGGAATGCCTTTGGTGATGATAGATTGAATTACAGATTTCGGGTGTTGATCCTTCTGGTCAGTAAAAATTTTAGGTTGGCAAAAGAAACGAGTACTAGCATAAACTCGTTTTTAAAGGTTTATTCTTGAACTTTAGGTTTAATGGGTGGGAAATCCCTTTTCACCTGCACGAAAATGAACGTAAATATCTGACTTTTTGCTAACAGTTTTCTTTATCGCAATTTTCCTTTTTACAGGATATTAGAGTATCCTTCTTTCTAATGTATTGCAGTGCATAGAGCGCGGAAAAATGTTTGTGGATATTAATGAATAGTACTTTGTTTATAACGCGGTGATGCAAATTGCAAATTCTGCTAAGGGTCGCGAAAACTAACATACACTTCTTTTTATTATAATACAAAATGGGAACTTATCTTTTTCGCGTAATTTTTTCCACTGAGGCAAAATGATAAATTCCAAAAGACTACTGGACACTAATATTGTCGCTCTGAATTAGATTATTTCTTCTCTTTTAGCTCGGTTTTCCCAAACGCCAAATTTAATTACTTAATAGGCGTTAAAGGTCGCTTTACGAAAACGCCATTGGTTTTCTCTGACTAGGTCGACTACTCAAAACCATCATCTATCGCTCTAACTAGTTTTACGAGCACTAATCGAATTTTTTGACTTGACTGACCAGAAGCGACCGCCTAATTTCGTACAAAGTTCATCCCCCCTCTCTCTAGACTAACCTTACTTAAAACGCCTATTTTATGATGGAAAGCAATGACGGCGATACTTCGTTAGCTTTAATTCGTTCACCAACTCTAAGGTTGTCTACAGAAAAAACTGAATCAACAGAATTTTACCAAGGCAAGCTTCATTCGCAGTGTAAGAAATGAAACATTATATTACCTCTTTTTATCGTGTAAAACGAAACAAATGTCCATGTCAAATGTGATTTAAAACAAAGACGCACATTACAAATATAAGCTATATTTGTAATGTGCGTCTTTGTGCACATTACAAATATAGCTTGCTGAACTACAATCGCATAATGAATATTTGTTTGGTTGAATATGGCCTAAGCTTGCAAACTTTTCCTTCCGCCTGTTGCAATGAAAAAGATCTCAAACATTTTTTACGTAAAGTAACTCTGTCATTACAATGCTCAATGTTTTTTTCTAGTGTGAGCAACAAAAATGACTGGTCTTTTTGACTTTGTAACAAGAGGTACGATACAAAAAATTAACCATGAAGAGACAAAAAAGTAAAAAATGCCTATTATCTGAAACCCATATAAAAATCTGAATCCCTCAATTTCTTGCACAGCAAGAGCTAGAGCTAGAGAAAAATGGCTTCGACTTCGCTCTCCGGTTTGTTGTAAGAGATAGTTGAAACCGCATGGAAGATGGGTCATAAACACTTATTTTAGTGCGAAGCGCGATAATTTCCCGTTATCTGTTTCAACAAGTTGCCCTTTATCTAAGTTTTATTCTCGGTCAAAAATTATTCGCCCCACTAAGTTTTATTCACAACTGAGATTTTTCGTGGAAAGGTCATACCGAAAGTGGGTGATATGACGCAGACATTTTCTTCGAAACGGGAAACTGCGAGCAAAGGTCTACTTATGCAAAACAGTTAACCCCACAATTAGCTGACACGCTTCAAACAATCGATCATGGCGTTACTTTTAGCCCACTAGTGAAGGTGCAGAGGCCACTGACACAGAGTAGATTAACCCCTTCTGGTTAAGAAGAATTTACTCTGTCCCATGTGGTCTATGGTGAAAGATGCTGAAACTACGATGAGACCGTAAGACCACTAACCACTTGGGCGATATTTGTCACTCACGCAATGTTTCTTTGTGTAAAGTGGCGTGTTTCATAGTTCTACAGGAGCTGTTGCTAGTCTGATCCTCAACTTTTCATTGTTAAACAACTCAATACGTGTTAAAGTGTAAATATACCACATATCGATTTACTGAACGGTATATATATTCTATATATAGGTCAACACACTTGTGTTTTCATTAAGTTACGGAAAAATCGATTGTTTTCCTCAGTATATGCGTACAACGCATTAACGGTTGAGACCAAGTTTTAAAAACAAGATCGATGTTGTAATATAGAATTACCATGCTTTACTAGACAAAGTGGAGGGGGAAACGGTCAGTTCAATCAATGCCGGTTTGAAAATTCAGTTTAGTACAAACTCGCAACTGAAATAGTTGACCAATTCGCGATGCCTTAAAAATGTTGTGCGAAGAAAAATTTGCGGTCACTCATAATTTGTGGGGTGTTAAGGAAGAGACTAAGTCGAAAGCTTGGAAGTCCTTCCCATCGTGTTGTAATTTTTGGTTTAGGAGTCGAAAAGTGGTCGACGTAACGCCACCGAAAATTAGCACACCGATTGTGGCCGTGGGGTACTTGCACGCAGATGACTTGTATGTTTCTGCTGTATTGCCGTGGTGAGACTGACAGGTTTCTTTTTCATTTCTAGAACAAAGACTCCCAGTCCAGAGGCGACTCCTGAGCGAAAGTCGATTTCGCAGCGCAGCGTGCTGGTCCGGCAACCGTTTTCGTCAAGTTCTGAAACATCCGAGTTATGTACACCACCGGCGGAACCACATCTTGCAACGAGTTGCACTCATAGCCTACAAGAATCGCCCCTGAAGTCTCCACGTCAGAGTGAAAGCTTCGTAGAAGTGGACAGTCCGAGATACCACAGCGAGAATTTTACCGTTATCGAAGATAGCGCACCAGATGTTTTAGAAGAAAATAAAACGTTTAGTCGTGCGCAATCGGCACATTCGCACTTAGACCGTGACAGTTTGAACATCATCGAAGAGCTTTATTCGGCGGATGCTCGAGTAAAACGCGAGGACTCCTTTGAAACTCACGATGAGTTTGAAAGTGATGAAGCCCATACCTCGCAAGAAACACTTAAGTCTGCACACAAAAATTATCCCGAACCGTTTTCTCTACCGAAAACCTTCATAGAAACCAAACTTTCCAAGTCTGAAATAAACATTCAAATTTCCCCAGAAATTTTACGCAAATCGGTGAACTCCGCACCTCCCCTCAATGACCTTATTCGCTACGACAAAAAAGAAACCACAGAATCTACGGTGGAGATCACCGTCCTTCCTGGCTCCCTCGCGGAGTACACCCCCAAGCACGAATGCCCAGAAGTGAAAACGCCCAAGCAAAAACCACCACTGACCAGACAGTTTTCGCGTAAGGGCTCCGTCAGGTCATCGAAGCGCGACACGACTCCCTTCCCCGACTACCTAAACCCATTCCCAAAGGCGAAGGATGGATTTCACGAGACCCTATCGCAGTTGGAGCATCCCGATTGGGAGGTGACCATGAAAGGGTTACAGGGAATGGTGAGACTGACCCGACATCATCCCGAGATTCTCGATTTGAACATGCACCCAACGTGCGTTGCTCTCGGGAGGCACATCCGAAATCTGCGCTCGCAGGTGGCGAGGGCTGCATCCTTGGCAGCTTCGGAAATGTTTTCGAATCATAAAAAACCCTTAGAAGTGGTAAGTGGAACTACTGAAAATTACCATACATGAATTATTCAAATTGCGGAAATGAAACCAGGGGGGTAATTGTGCGGCGCAGTAGTTTAACCTAGATTAATATTAGATGCAATAATAAATTGATGGGGTTCAAAAGGTATCAGTCTATTGATGACCTAATTTTCCACGTTAACACTAATAGATAGTTGTGGAGGACTTTATCGATGTGTTTTTTAGGAGTTGGAAGAAATCGCCGTTCCGCTCTTGCATCGAACGGCGGATACGAATAAATTTTTGAGAAGCGACGCGAACGGGGCATTGGATAAGATGTGTCTCCACATGGCAGCTCCACGTGTCGTGTCGATTATCACCACAAAGGGTGCTGTGCACCAAAACGCAATCGTCCGCTGCGCCGCTGCCCGGCTCCTTTGTTCCTTGACGAATCGTTTAGGCGCCGAAAAAACGTTTCAACTTCCAAGGGATACTAGGGATAAGATTTTGCATACCGGCGCGAATATGCTGATGGAAGGGAATCTGGATACGAGGTAAATTCCTAGTACTTATCAGACGGCTTTAAAGACTGTTTTCAGGAAACACGCGAAGATGATGTTTACTAATCTCCTTGGTCACTCACAATTTAATAAAGCAATGATGGAGGCGGTCCCCCCTTGCACAATGCGACATATTCAGAAAACGCTCAGATCTTTGCAATGAAACTAGAATTTCTTTTTGTACAATAATTGTTAATTTTGAAGTAATTGTAGCATCTGTCAATTTTTTTTGTACGTTTTATAACTTTACGTAGACTGTTAACATTTTTATGTAGTTTATAAAATATGTAAATGTAACTACTGTATCTTCCAATTATTTAAATTATAGCAAATCGAAATTTTTCCATCATTATTTAATGTAAATGGAGTGTATTGATCCAGAGGTCGGGCGTTGTGTTTTACTTTCTTTCTTTTCCGGTGGTGAGTGAGGTTTCTCCAGAGTATTCTCTGCCAACCCATAAACTATAAGCGTTACTATTGTAGAATATCGCATCGATATTTTGTTTTTCTGCTTAGAACATATCATGGGAAAACGGTTTTAGATGAATAGTAAGTGACCAACATTTTTTGATTTCCTTCGGGTTCAAAAAGTACGAATTGTTTTGGATTTTACGCACAAAAATTAATAAGAAAAAGTGTTTCCCCGAGAAATTTTGGTGCAGTCGATTTTTGGTAAAAAAGGAAGGTTATATATACACTGCCATTTTTTGAGGCCCCCAAAAACAATTGTCTCAGATCGAGCCGGAAAAAAAAATTTTCTTATAGAACGTGGCCTGTAGAATCCATAATTCCAAACAGTTCCAAGATTGGGCTACTAGTTCAAATGTTACAGCCCTTTGAATTTTTTTTCGAAATTGGTTTCTAGTCTATAACTTTTGATTGAGAAGTCTTATCGAAAAAGTACGAATTGTTTTGGATTCTACGCACCAAAATTAATAAGAAAAAGTGTTTTCCCGAGAAATTTTGGTGCAGTCGATTTTTGGTAAAAAAGGAAGGTTATACACTGCCTTTTTTTGAGCCCCGAAAAAAAAATTGTCTCAGATCGACCTGGAAAAAAAATTTTCTTATAGAATGTGGCCTGTAGAATCCATAATTTCAAACAGTTCCAAGATTGGGCTACTAGTTCAAAAGTTACAGCCCTTTGAATTTTTTTTCGAAATTGGTTTCTAGTCTATAACTTTTGATTGAGAAGTCTGATCGAAAAAGTACGAATTGATTTGGATTCTACGCACCCAAATTAATAAGAAAAAGTGTTTTCCCGAGAAATTTTGGTGTAGTCGATTTTTGGTAAAAAAGGAAGGTTATACACTGCCTTTTTTTGAGCCCCGAAAAAAAAATTGTCTCAGATCGACCCGGAAAAAAATTTTCTTATAGAATGTGGCCTGTAGAATCCATAATTTCAAACAGTTCCAAGATTGGGCTACTAGTTCAAAAGTTACAGCCCTTTGAATTTTTTTTCGAAATTGGTTTCTAGTCTATAACTTTTGATTGAGAAGTCTGATCGAAAAAGTACGAATTGTTTTGGATTCTACACACCAAAATTAATAAGAAAAAGTGTTTTCCCGAGAAATTTTGGTGTAGTCGATTATTGGTAAAAAAGGAAGGCTATCCCTTTTTTTTTGGCAGAAAAAAAAATTGTCTCAGATCGACCCGGAAAAAAATTTTCTTATAGAATGTGGCCTGTAGAATCTATAATTTCAAACAGTGCCAAGATTGGGCTACTAGTTCAAAAGTTACAGCCTTTTGAAATTTTTTTGAAATTGGTTTCTAAGTATAACTTTTGATTGAGAAGTCTGATCGAAAAAGTACGAATTGTTTTGGATTCTACACACCAAAATTAATAAGAAAAAATGTTTTCCCGAGAAATTTTGGTGTAGTCGATTTTTGGTAAAAAAGAAAAGTTATACACTGCCTTTTTCTGAGGCCCCCAAAAAAAATTGTCTGAGATCGACCCGGAAAAAAAAATTTCTTATAGAACGTGGCCTGTAGAATCCATAATTTCAAACAGTTCCAAGATTGGGCTACTAGTTCAAAAGTTACAGCCTTTTTGAAATTTTTTTGAAATTGGTTTCTAAGTAGTTATAACTTTTGATTGAGAAGTCTGATCGAAAAAGTACGAATTGTTTTGGATTCTACGCACCAAAATTAATAAGAAAAAGTGTTTCCCGAGAAATTTTGGCTGCAGTCGATTTTGGTAAAAAAGAAAAGTTATACACTGCCTTTTTTTGAGCCCCGAAAAAAAAATTGTCTGAGATCGACCCGGAAAAAAATTTCTTATAGAATGTGGCCTGTAGAATCCATAATTTCAAACAGTTCCAAGATTGGGCTACTAGTTCAAAAGTTACAGCCCTTTGAATTTTTTTTAAAAATTGGTTTCTAGTCTATAACTTTTGATTGAGAAGTCTGATCGAAAAAGTACGAATTGTTTTGGATTCTACGCACCAAAATTAATAAGAAAAAGTATTTTCCCGAGAAATTTTGGTGCAGTCGATTTTTGGTAAAAAAAGAAAAGTTATACACTGCCTTTTTCTGAGGCCCCCAAAAAAAATTGTCTGAGATCGACCCGGAAAAAAAAATTTCTTATAGAACGTGGCCTGTAGAATCCATAATTTCAAACAGTTCCAAGATTGGGCTACTAGTTCAAAAGTTACAGCCTTTTGAATTTTTTTTTTAAATTGGTTTCTAGTATAACTTTTGATTGAGAAGTCTGATCGAAAAAGTACGAATTGTTTTGGATTCTACGCACCAAAATTAATAAGAAAAAGTATTTTCCCGAGAAATTTTGGTGCAGTCGATTTTTGCTAAAAAAGGAAGGTTATACACTGCCTTTTTCTGAGGCCCCCAAAAAAATTGTCTCAGATCGACCCGGAAAAAAATTTTCTTGTAGAACGTGGCCTGTAGAATCGATAATTTCAAACAGTTCTAAGATTGGGCTACTAGTTCAAAAGTTACCCCTTTGAATTTTTTTCGAAATTGGTTTCTAGTCTATAACTTTTGTTTTTTTTAAATTTATTTATTTATAATTCCTTTGGACAATTAACGATATTGTATAGGAAGTGTCATGGTAAGTATAAGTATATGACAAACAATTAATAAGACATTAAACTATGACAAACATAAAATAGACAGTTCAACAGACTGCTGTTCATTGCAAAATTTGAAATATTCGGCGATGGAGTAAAAACAATTTTCATTTATAAATAATTTTTAAGTTGGCATTTAAATTGATGCAGGTTACAGGAACTCTTTATACACTGCGGTAGAGTTGAGGACTTGGGGAAAGACAAGGCCGTTGAAAATCTTGATTTTAATCTAAGTTACGTTAAACTTACAAAATGTATCTCCTGCCTGAGTGGAAATGCGATTAATGTACCTGGCCGCAGCGTGAGATATTTTTTTCCAATATCGGAAACTTCGTCAATTGGTGAAATGACCAAGCAAGTCAACTAAGATTTTAGGTCCTGGCCTTTTGCACATGTTATACAAAGTTACCGGTAAAAGCGCAACAAATTTTGGCAATCCCTAGTCTTGGTTTAAAGAATTTGTTTTTAATAAGTTCAACATTATCTAGGGTGTTACTAATAGGAGAATCATTTGAAAATTACCTAAATACTTTGCATAAACTTTAACAAACGGTGTTAGTTTACCTCAAGACATTTCGTTCTACGTAAGCTGTGGTTTCCAAACGTTGCTTGTGCTAACAGGAATTTCTACTTTGGAAAATTTGGAAATGGAAGCTCAATAAAGTTCATATTTGGAGGAATTTATTTTCAAAGAAACGTGGAAGCGTTCGCTGATTGTATTAATTAATAAGTAAAAGTGACACTACTTTCCAAAATAAACGGTATCTCCTAGTTTTATTTGGCCAGGCCTGCGCAAACAGGCATATATGCCGAAAGTTGGGGTTGCCTGCCCAACTTCAAATCCTTGGGAAGGTCGAAACCTACAATGGAATATGGTTAATATCTCAAATGTGTGGAGTATTCGTCAATTCGTGTACTTTTTCATAGATGTGATTGGTTCGTAATTTTTTAAGGGTTCCGCGTTCTCTGGATTAAGGGTGGTCAATCTACACCTCGCCACAGTCATGACGTTTCTTATGATGACGTCGCCAATTTTAATCCAATCCCAACTATCCTCGGCATATGGTGCTATGTCGCCGCCCACTACGATATTCGGTCTAAAATTATTCATTGTGATATTGGCATTTGGAATTTTCGCTTGTACATCTTCCAATGACGATTTTGTGAAGAGATGGAAGGTGGCCAAGTCACTATAAAGGCCCTACAAATACAATTAGATAAATGGTTCCAGTATCATTCAAACTTACCCCCGCAGAGTTGTTTAGGTGCGGATTCCTTGCTGTCTCTTTCGGGTAATATTTCTCTATATCCCTTCCGTGAGTTCCGTCATGAAAACCTAAACGTAGACCAGTAGGTTTGCCGAGTACGTAATTAGAAATCCACTCGGCCACTTCGTCACCACAATCCAATGTGGATACCAATTCTTCCGTGTGCATTATTAATCTGCAATCATCTGTAGAATAAAACGCAAATGTTGGTACTTACATCACGTGGTTCTTTTCCGCAGTCAAATCCGGTACTTTGAAAATGACGCTACCCATGTCTGCAGCACTTAAGGAGAAATTATCCCTGTCAACTATCCCTGCCTCCAAGAGAAGTATCTTCGGGTGATGCCTAGCCGATTTCATTTCCTTGGTTGTATCCTGGTATATTACTAAGCATCTAATGAAGAAGTAAAAAAAAAAACTGTAATCAAAGTGTAGAGGGCTTACCGATCTCTAAAATGAGGAAGGGAAGGATCAGTGAATTGGAACCCGTACTCGGTACAATTAGCTTTATCAATCGGTACACGTCTGCCGCTTTTCAAAGGGTACATGAACATCTCTGTAACGGTACCCACAGGCTCCCATTGTTGTGGGATCCTGTTACGAGCCCTTCTGCGCAGGTAATATGCCAGTGCTGTCACAGCTACCACTGTGACCGTGGCAAGGGTGACTTGGGTGCTGTATTGAGGTGCCATGAGGAGCCTGAAAAGCAACTAGACGATTAATCAAACCTAGAACTGAAATGGGTTGAAGAAAAATATCACATCACTTTCTATTTTGTTGTAACATTTTTATTACTTGTATTGTGAAAGGTAGATAATCTAGATGGAACGTGTTTACTACTGTAATGGAGTCGTTTACGTGCCTAATCACTAAGCTGTCAAAACTTCATAATAGTCGTATAATGTGCAGATAACCTTTACAATCAACTATGAATTAATTCAATGTAAGATAAAAACTCGACGTTGCTCTTGCTTATCAGGAATAGGTGCAATGAGAGTGCTATTTTTAGCTAGAACGATTTATTTATCTTGATTAAATGATAATCAAGACAAAAATGTTATCCAATTAAGATCCTATTTGAGTTTTGACCCAGCATGCGCCTCGTCTAGTTTAATTTAACAGTCAGGCAACTAAAATAACATCTCTTCATCGATAAAACTAAGTAACTTTAGCATTAACCAGAGGAATCAATTGTCTAGTTTTAGCTTCCTAACTCGAGCTAGGTGGCTATTGCGATTACCATTTTTTGAGCATGCGGAAACTTGATCAAATGTCGACGTTTTAGATCATGTTAAGCTACTTTTACAAAATAATTTGTTTTTCCATCTGTACGTGCGTACGTACAATTTTCTGAAGTAACGGACTTACGAATTTTGTTTAAATTTTTGGTAATGTGTATTAGGCATACGGAAACGAAAAATGACTCTGTTACGGCCACACTCCCTAAGGGTGTAGCGCATACCAACAAGGGTACCCCATTCCAAGCCAATGCACCCAAACTACCATTAGCAACAGGTACACGCGCTCCTGTATCGCCCTTAACCACTGCCGCCACCAGAGGTAACGAGAAGAAACACTCACACGCAGGACCTCGACGCAACCCAGATTCCTCCCAACGGCAAGAAGAGCAACGAGTTTGCTAGACGGGATCAGTTCTCAACCAATCTTCGGGTCCTCTGCCGTACAAGCTACAAATGTGTTTTCGGGTGCACCTTAGTGGTGCAAGAATACAAACATCACGACGTCGCCTACCTCAAGAAGCGCCACCAGGAAGATGGAGGAAGCAAACGCCTCCGCGCTCATCATGAGCGTCCACATGTTGAAACAGCCGATCCGTCTCTGAAGACAACCCGGCCGCCAAGCGGCGGATTCTTTGCGAAGTAGGTTCGACGGGGAAGCGATGCGCAAGCTTCTGTGGACAACATCACGACGTACAAGGATTGCACGGCGATTTCCGAAGAGAACGCCTTAACAGGTATGCCAATGCCTTTGGAGACGAACGCCGCAACCTGGTTGCAAAGGTTTAAGTACACAGTCATTCCGCTGAAGACCTTTGGGAAGCACCCCACCAGCTACTTCACGAGCTATTTGAGAGCGAACAGAGTCCCAGCGGCCCGACCGAACTGTTAATCTCGATAAAACGGGCTATCTCGAATAGAGTACGAGATCAACTTCATAGTGTTTACTACACCGACGGATCCGGAAGAAGTTTTTCAACACTTTTGAAAACCGCCGTCGCGAGCTTCGAAAGACCGAAGACAATTATCTTCTGGCGACCACGAAGGTTCCGGATGTCTCGCACGATGTAAATAAGATACGCTGTTCCTTCTCCAAGCCCCAAGGGCACTCCAGGGGGGAGTACCAAACGCAGAAGAGATCCGCCGACACTGCCCAACACAAGGCACACGTCTCCATCACCCAGGCCGCCACACGGAAGGAAACAGCTTCCATTTCCTTTTTCGAATGAGCAAACCTGGTGTAATTTTCATCTCACTTCCAGTTCCCTCACTACAATACGTGCGACTAATATTGAAAATTACCGTGGCCGGCGTAACCGGAAGCGCCTTCATTGATATCGGTGCGCGACAGAGTATAGCGGGCCATACCGCGATGTAAATATTAGTGTTGGCACGGTAGATCGCGCCCGACCAAAGTGCAGGCCAGTGCAGCTGAAAAATCCAAATAAATGATAAATACCGAGTTCCTCGTACTTCCGGACGTGCGTAGTTGAACATTACCAGGCGTCGACTTGATCAAGTAGTGCGCGGTCGCTACTCAACATCCCGGAGGGACACTGGTCGTTTTTAGGAGAGGCGCAGCGGCACCAATTTGAGCCAGAACAGGCCAATAATGAATACGCTAAATACGTTCCGATGCCGTACTCTCCATCGTGACCGCCGGACCACAGCCGCCCCACGCAGCAGACCAGTGACCCGCGGAGAAACTGCGCGAGCTTTCGGCAATTGTCCCAGCACAAATCCACACCGGAGAAACTCTCTCGTGTGGGACACCAGAGTGGACCACGAACTCTACAGCATCTTTGCAAACGGTCTCCCGGTGCTCCTCGCCTTAACATGTTCCCGTATTCCCCAAGGCAGCGTGTCGGTCGCACCGTGGCTCTGGTGGAAGCAGTGGAACTTCGCTTGCGTGTTCTGACGAGGCCAACAACATATCGGATATAGAAAGACTCAGTGAGATGTTAAACAACATGCAATAAGAAAAAATATGGTTTGCCCACAATGCTCAGCTCTAACGATCACTCCTAGGAAGTTCCACCTAGGGAGCGGGGGTCGCTCGTGTTAATTTGGCCTAGGGTCGCAAGTGCCTTAAATCCGACACTGCCACCATCACTTCTTCAGGACGGCCACAAGTGGCAGCGTGTTTAGCACGGAAACCAATTTTATGCGAAAGAAATCTTTTTTGAGAACTTTTCCTACTTGATTTTTGGAAACGTTTGGATACTTCTGTCGCAAACAAATCAATTAAGACCTTCTTTTGTGGACCGCATTGCTCGTCTCGATTGCTATATCCTGAATCCCTATTAATTGTTCTCTTACATTTGGTGTTAATTAGTACATGCCTCTTTTTTATGTCACATGTAATTAAGCGATATTTATTAAGGTACAACTGGACAATGTCTATGTCAATGTTTTTGTTGAACACATACAATAAATTATTATTATTATTATTAAGCCCGCCATGTTTTTTTTAATTATGCCAATAGGAATCCTTATATTCAAGAAAGCCCCGGCTAACTTATGGACATTATAACTCTTAGAAAGTATAGTTTCACTCTTTCAATACTTTGCTGCACCAGCGATAGCAATCTATGATTTCCAAACGTTGCTTGTGCTAACAGGAACTTCTACTTTGAAAGATTTGGGAATGTCTGAACAATCCAGTGTTACCTACTACTTTGTTGAGGCATTACGTAATTTTGTGACTTACTTCAATTCAACTCGAGGAAGCTCAATAAAGTTCATATTTGAAAGAATTTATTTTAATAATAGTAATAATAATAAAATATATTTGTCTAATCTGTTATGTACAATGTTATGTAAAAACTCTATAAATACTCAATTTACAGATATGATTACACAGAGTGCTCATTATGTATGGGATATAGTACATATCTATGTAAATATCGACCGTATACAAAATTGTTCAACAATTTATTTCCTATATAAGGCAACATTCTATTGTTTTTATTTCAGAAAACAAACGAATAACGAAAAACAATTGAATTTTTTTTAAATAGCAATGCACAGTCTTCATTAGGCTTTACACAGCGTTTATTCCATACTGAATTGTACGGCGAAGTCGGATATCAATATTGGGAAAAACCCAATACATTACACTCGTCCACCTTAAATTTATGGCATAAACCTATCGGGTGGTTTGATCTGTCTTCTCTCCCTACTTAATGCTTATGGTACATTGTCAATAGCACTATCACTAATTACATCATGTGGTACCTGGGTGGTTAGGTATAGATGGAGTCTCTGAATTTGGCATAGGAATTGATGGCTGACTACAAACTGGTTTAAATTTCAGGAGCTGATTACAATGACGTTTCCAAATTTTATCAATTTCAGGAACTCTAACTATATAAGTACAATTACCACGGCGCTGTAAAACTAATCCCTGAACCCACACTGGTTTATTAGGTACACGATAATCTTTCACCAACACTTCTTCGCCCGGTTCATAACGCACTGCACTTTTTCCCTTATAATGTTTGCACTACTTAATCTGACTAGCTTTAACCCTACTTGTTACAATTTCGTTTGGCTTAATTAAACTAAATCTATTTCTTAAATTCCTACCTAACTTTAAATATGCGGGGGATACTCCTGTTGTACAATGGTTAGTGTTTCTATAGTCAAAGAAGAAATTCCTTAAAATAATATTTAAATCAAGTTTGGTGTTTTTACCTAGCGCATTTTTAAGCGCATTCTTAGTCTTTACCGCATTTTCTGCGGCTCCATTACAATGAGGGGAGTATGGTGGTGGGGTCATAAATTTGATTCCATTTTTACTTAAAAATTGTTTAAATTCGAGAGATTCAAATTGGGTACCGTTGTCTGAAACTAACAGTTTAGGAAGGCCATATCTTGCAAACATGGTACGCAGTACCTGAATTGTGGAAGCACTGGTAATTGTAGTCATTGGAAAAACTTCGATCCACTTACTATGAGCGTCTAGAATTATGAAAAAGTTTTTGCCAAGAAATGGTCCCATAAAGTCAACATGTAGTCTCTCCCAAGGAGAATTGGGCCAGTTCCATGGAGATAATTTTGTTTTTGAAGGTGACTTTTTATGTAATATACAGGATTGACAAAATTTAGCAGCATTATCTATGTCCTTATCAATATTTGGCCACCAAAAATACGATCTAGCCATCCTTTTCATTTTTACTACACCCATATGGGTTAAATGTAATTGATTTAAGAGAATGCTCCTTAATTCTGTGGGAATAACTAACCTATCTTTCCACAAAAGGCAATCATCTTCAATGGTTAATTCATTTCTACGAATGAAGTATCATTTAAGATCACTCTTATCATGTTTCAAACTTTCATTTTCAGGCCAACCATACCTAACCCGTTTTATAATTTCTGTTAAAGTTTTATCTTGTTGAGTTTTATCTTTAACTAACTTAAAATCGATAGGAAAATCATTGTTGGTTTCAAAAAAATTACAATAATCAAAATCAGATTCCTCAGTTTCCTGTGAAGGAGAAGGGAATCGAGATAAACTATCCGCCATATTATGTTCAGAACGAACAAATTCGATCTTATAATTTTCGATAATATTACTGTCCATCGTTTTAAACAATTTGCACAGAATTAAGGTATACCTTTCTTCGGATTGAAAATAGAACTTAAAGGTTTATGATCAGTGACCAAAGTAAATCTTTTAGCATAAAGATATTGATGAAATTTTCGAAGCCCAAAAATTATCGCTAAACCTTCCTTTTCTATTTGACTATATTTTTTCTCTGCTTCATTCAAGGAACGTAATGCATAGGCAATAGGTTTTTCACTTCCATTCTCAAATGTGTGAGAAAGGATTGCACCTATACCGTATTGTGATGCATCCACAGACAAATTAGTTTATAATTCTGGATTGAAGTGAACCAAAACATCAGCAGACAACAAAATAAGTTTTACTCGTGTAGAAGAAATTAATTTTTAATTCAAGCATTTTGTGATAGGTTATGCCACTGTCTTGCAGTTAATAGTGAACATTTTGAACATTCATTGCGATGGAAACCATTTTACGGCTAACTTCGTTTTGTCTTCAAGGTTTAATAAGAAACGTGTTTTATTCTGATGTAGGATATTTGGATTAATGTCATTGATCAAATTATGAAAAATAAAATTTTCTCGAATAAGGGAATAAGAGAAAAAAATCTCTATAAAATGTGCCTAATGAAAAAGTGCCATTTAAAAAAATTCAATTGTTTAACGTTACTCATTTGTTTTCGGACAAAAAACCACCGAATGTTGCTTTATTACGGGGAAATAAAATGTTAAACAACTGTACAAAACTCTAATTTTATTGGTCGTATTCGACGCGTCTTCAAAAACGTCCACGGGCGTCTCGTTAATGATTTTTATATTATACCTGAATCACAATCTCCGTTTTAAACACTCAAATGCGTGCGAAAAAAGGCCTTTAAAACACACGTGCTTTAAAGTTGCTAAGTAACGATACTTCAAGTATGACTTTTGAAACTGTCATCTGGGGCTGAAATAAAAGATCCTCTTAGGTCGCTTTCTGTAAATGCAGAACATTTCTTTGGCTTGTACCTATCCTTTGGTTGAAGGTTTCACAAACGCGCGTAATTTAGGGTATGCTTCCAAATCTGTTCCACTTTTAATCGCAGCATTGTTTGAAGTTTTGAGTTAATGCACCAAAAGATAGGAGATTTAAATACCTTTGGCATTTCCTTCATATATCCCAGCATTATCGATGCATTTAAGACTTTATTCGTAAGTAACTTCCTTTTCATCCATGGAAACAACTTTTCATATTCTTAATAATAGGCTTTACTAGATTTGGATTTTACACCTACCAACGTTTGTTTAGATTTTACAACAAGCGATTTAATGGACGTTATCTTTTTCAACGGAAATCGTTTTATTCACAAAGACGACGATTTTTATAAGCAAACGTCAAGTGACATTTCCATGGCAATCGTGAAATTTCGAACACCCAGCCCACTTAATTAAACATGTATTCGAGTATAACGTCAATATGACTTCATTGTATTTCCTATTTTTAAATTATACTGCAGGTATAATAAAAAATACTATAAGATACACGTGTATAATTGGTCTTTAAAGCACTTGCAACGTTAAAGGCACTCCGCTTTGCGTCGTGCCCTTAAACTCGTGCGCGTGCTTTAAAGACTTGATTATACACTTGTATCTTAATATACTATTGAGAGCGTTATACGTGCAGTTTGAATGTATTAAAAGAGTATGGAGAGGCATCGGAATGTGTTCAAAAGTTCTCGAAAGCGTTTCAAAAGGACAACAATTTTGTAGAATACAACTAAGAGGCTCTTGAAAGCGCCAGAAAGCTTTGCAAACACCTTCAAAATCTTATAAGCGCTTTCTAGACATTCACTTGTTTTTTTTTCCTAGGTTTTTGAGACTTTTTGGGAATTTTTTGGTTCGGCTGCAGATATTTGTTGTAAAACGTGGTCGCTTTAGACTTGTATAACATGTCCAAAAACATAGCTGAGGCTTTGTTCTCGTTGGCTCCGTTTCGGGTTTTTAACTCTGGGAGTACATAAGTAAAAATTGGGTGGTAGAGAAGGATTCTTAGCCGAACTTTCGATGTGACTTATGCGTGGCATTTTTAGATCGTGTAGCATATCGTACGTGATATTTAACGCGACAGTTGCAGCTAATTGTAGGATTACATAAGGAAACTGTGGCAACATTTCGACAAAATTAGTGTCATGTGTGCTTTTACAAGTAAAACTAATACAAAGTAGCGTCTAGTTTAAACGGCAGCCGGTAAAAAGTTTAAAGGCATTTAATCCTTTGCTTGCTACTAAAACCCTAAGCTATATAACGGAAATTTGACAGCTCCATATTGTGGAGCATTGGTAAACTATTCCAGAGAATAAAGCAATCATCTTTCAAAACTAGGCGATACAATTGTACAAGACGTTACACAATCCAATTTTCTGAATTTCGGTTGACTTAAAAGCATATAAAGTAATCAAGGGCTTTTTGGGGGAAATTGGGCGAATTTCTAGGGCCGAGGCAAGTTATTCGATATGCGTAACGCCCGAGGTTTTGATAAATCCAAGAAATGCTATCGAGAAAATGAAAGTTAATTACACTAATTAAATTAAGTATTTTGGCTGTAAGTTGTGCAACGCCATTTCAAATGGCGCGTACCCAAACCGCATTAAAATTTGATCACATCGTAACTTTCTAACAGAAAACAGGTTACTAAGAAGAGGGTTGGCATACTGTTCACACCACTAAGGTGAGTACCTACTTACGTCCACATTTTTGGAAATTGAACGATCTTGCAGTTCACTATGCCACTGAAACTCCTTCAGTTACTGGTCCTTGTTGGGATGACGAGCCAGCAGTCGAGGTATTGCCAATATCGAACATCGAAGTCGGTATCATGTAGTGGAATAACTTCCCTAAAGCAACTGGAAACGGGTATCGACGAGGCGATCATCAGCGAAAACGTCGGTCCCAAAGACCTCGAGACTTTGGAATTGAGAAGCAGTCAAATAAATTTTCTGAACCCGGGCATCTTCACCGATTTCGTTAACATTAAGGTACTAAAGATTCTTTTCAGCAACATAACCAAAGTACCAGAAGACACGTTTAAATATTTGAAAAACCTTACCACGGTGGTAATCGGTTTCAGTAACAAGGTGGATCAGGGCGTTACTCAAGGACTCTCCAAATTGAAGAATTTTTACGTGTACTCCACCAAGCTCGTCCAGTTCACCAAACTGACCTTTGACCAGATGAGCTCTTTGACCAAGCTCGATTTAAATAACGATTTTTTGTCGGTGATCGAAGCGGGGTCTTTCGACAAATTGGTACATTTGAAAGAGCTTCAGCTTGCTTCCAATCGACTAACAGGCTTGCCAAAAAAGCTTTTAGCAAATTTGAAAGCGTTAGAAAGTATTTCTATTCAAGATAACCAACTGATACAACTCGAAGAGGACCTTTTTAAAGGACTTTCATTGGTGAAGACGATTAATTTAGCAAGCAACCTCCTGACAATGGTACCTGCAAGGTTGTTTCAAGACCTATCCGCTCTTAATGAGCTAAGTTTCAAAGATAACCACATCATATGGTTACCTGAGGATCTTTTTGCAAGCACAAAAAGTCTCGAAGTACTCGACCTTTCCGTCAATCAACTTTCTTCACTGCCAGTGCACGTATTTAAAACCCTAATCCAACTAAAGTCGATCGACCTGTCGCAAAATCAGCTGACTGCCCTCCCAGTCGACCTACTCAAAGGCCTCACCAAACTAACCGATCTAAAGCTGAAATACAACCAAATAGAATCGCTGCCACCTGGCTTCTTTCCGGAAAGCTCCCAGCTGAGGGTTTTGGACCTTAGTTCAAATAATCTGAAAACACTCCTACCCATAACCTTCCAAAATCTAAAGCACTTATCTTTCTTAGCTCTCTCGGAAAATCGCATTTCTGTACTTGGACGAGACGAGCTTAAACCACTGATCAACTTAGAACATTTGGATCTGCATGGAAACTATCTGCAACGCATCGCATCGGACAGCTTCACAGACTTGAAGAAACTAAAATTCATCATCCTCAGCGGAAATAATATCAGGTCACTTCCCGTCGACGTTTTCAAGCCGCTCGAATCAGTGCACGAAATCGATTTGTCCCATAATCAAATCCAAAATTTGGACAAGGACCTCTTCGCCAAACTGCCCAAGTTGAGCTACCTGAACGTGACCTTTAACGACATCGGCCCAACCTCACAGGGCATCTTTAAGCAATTCGGAAAGCTGACTTACTTTAGTTTCGAAGGCAATCCCATTGGGAACATTTCGTGCGAGTACCTCAGAGACCTGAAGAAAATCGAGCACCTGATCTTTCGTTCTAACGGCATTGAGGAAATTTCCCGCTTCTGCTTCGACGATCTGAAGGAACTGCGTACGTTGGAGATCACCAAAAACAATATTCGCGGGATAAAGAACTGGACGTTTGGCCTACATAAATTGTTGAATCTGATTTTGGAGGAGAACCAAATCGAGTTCATAGAGAATCGGGCGTTTTCCGGTCTTAAGGTTGTGCGCAAGGTGTCGCTGGCCAGAAATCGGATTTCATCGGTCCAGGCTGAGATGTTTCATGGGCTACAAAGCGCGACATCTCTGGACCTCTCACATAACCGCATCTCCTTCATACACTCCTGCACCTTTGACTTTTTGGGAAATTTAGAGTTTCTCAGCTTGGACTCGAACCAACTGAACTATTTCCACTACGACGTCTTCCACAAGCTGCCACGTTTGACCGAGCTTCATTTGTCCAAGAACGGAATTGATAACCTCCCACATGGCCTATTCAAACCGCTGACCTCGCTTACAACTGTGCGTCTGTGCGGAAATAAACTCACAAATTTAGACAATGGGACTATACCGCACGCGGAGAATTTGCAAAATTTGCACTTGGAAAGCAACGGGATGCGAGCGATAGGCGCGCAAGCTTTCTCCAAGTTCAAGACGTTGCGAGAGCTCAATTTGGCGGACAACTCGCTGACGGAGGTCAGCACGGCAATGTTCGAGGGATTGACTGAGCTGGTCGCGCTCGATCTGAAATTCAATCATATCGGTGATATCAACCTAACCTTCTTCGACGCGTTTCCGCACTTACAGAAGGTGAACGTGGAGGGAAATAAAATATCAGTGGAGAAGCATACGGCTATTAACTTAAAGTATCCTGACATGGACGCAATTGTTGCTAAATATCGCTTTCATTATCATTTGTAATTGGCGCCTCTGAGATGCTTTTCAATTTCTCAGAATCGGATGAATAAACTTTCTGTCAAGTTTGTAAGCCTAAATATACCTACCTGTCCAGACACGAGACCGTCGCCATTTTGTGCACAGACAACCGAAAGTTACATGCGGCCATCTTAGTCCAATTAATTAAAGATAAAAAACAACCTGCGTAGCTCAGTATGCCCACACATCACTGCGCATGCCCACACATAATTTTTACTATGTGCGAAATGTTTGCCTTTACTAGAAGCGTCTGTGGTATAAGGACCATAAGCGAAGGTCTAAACGAGGATCATGAATGACCTTTTGTGGTAACATGGAAGGTCTTCCTGAAATTCAAAAGCTACCTTCATAAGACTCTTTTGAAAACCTAATTCGGAGTAGCCCTATAAAGAACAAAGCCTACAGCTAACATCTAATGTACCGCACTTTTGAGCTCTCTCGAAACCGGGGTGAATACTACATACACGCTATGAGTAACCAAAATGGAATCGAGCCATTCCCCAGGTATTACAACACATACATCAGACAAAACTAAGAGATATTAAATATTCCTCGCCGGACGGTAGGATTACTAAGGTCCAGTGGGGTGCCTGTAGACGTGGGCTAAAGTTGTTGGGTTTCGGAACGAGTGAAAATGTTAGTGTTAGGTTCACCAAGGCCCGTATAAACTTGAATAACTCGATCCCCTCTAAACAAGCACTCTTCCCTCTTGATTACTCACAGCCCCAAATAAGCAAATATAATGAAATGCAATGAAACAATCGAGAGTGACTAAAAAGCACAATACACAAATATGTACAGCACAGATACAGCCCTACCGACACTGAAATATGATTGCCAATACCAACAAAGGTTACACATTAGAGGTACAAGTGATTGAATCCAGTAAGTACATAAGTAAAGGGTTACAATCTGCATTCAAGTTACACACATTTATAGATTAATTGAATAAAGCAAATACCTCACCTGATATAAAAAGCAAAAGCACACAGTAATGATTAAGGTATAACAAAATATTTCAAGATAAGCCGTACTTTACACTTAAGCCGGTTACAAGAAAAAGACCATGCGCACACATGTTAAATCGTATTTATTGACTACCCCAAGCGACTCTGTAACTTGATCTCTTAACACCCCTAAAAACCACCCGAAAATCGCCCATTCCCTGCATTTCACGCAGTTCTAGGAAAAAACTGGACTGCAGGTGTTTGAAATGGTAAACACACGTGGTCTTCCGAGAATTCCATCCGTCTCATCTTCGCTCTCTTTCCCTTCTGTGTAATCTCACCAGATTTCTGTTGGCAGCTTGTGTAACTAACATGATGTATAGGGTGCTTCGTATCGACAATCATATTTATAGGACGTTGCTAAGGTTTGGGCATCTCAACACTGTGAGGCTTCCATACGTGTACCGCGGGGAGGCTCTCACATATCTCCTGGAAACACACTTTCCAGGCTTTGGGGACTACATAACTTCGGATCCACCGGGTCGGGTCTGTGTAAGGCCAATCGTCTGGAAAGTAAGCTGCCCGAGTGGTTACCGAGGGATCTCTGAGATGGGCGGCCAACACGTTCAGCGCATTTAAGACTACAGGATCGAACGGGATATTCCCGGCTCTTCTGCAGAAGGACCTGGAGCCGCTGCTCTTACATTTGTTGCACCTATTTAGAGCCTCCTTGGATTAAGGTATATTCCCGAAAGCTGGACAAAGGTAAGAGTTGCGTACCTATTTAAGTCGGGTCGTGCTAAATATGACATGGCGAAGGATTATCAGGCCCATCAGCCTATCATCGTTTCTTCTAAAAACGGTGGAGGAGCTGGTGGATGCATGCAATATAAGGAATAGGGTACTGGTCCTTAGATCACTTCAGCCCTTCCAACAAGCTTATAGGAGAAGGGAATGTCTGGGGAGCCCTGGCCCTTGGGAGCGTTTGTAGATATCAAGGGTGCGTTTAACAGCACCACGCTCGTTTCAATTAGTGAGGAACTGAAGGTTTTGGTATTGAAAGAGCAATCGTAAGATGGATCTGCGCCATGCTCGGAAGCAGTCATTATATCCTCAAGAGATGAGCTCATCACTACTACAGGATGTCCGCAGGGTGGGGTGTTGTCTCCACTGATGTGGTGCATGGTACTCGACGGGCTCCTCCGCTCTCTGAACGAGAGCAATCGGACAATCTCGCGATCTTCATATCTGGAAAGTTTTTAAACACCGTGAAAGAATTCCTTCAGGGGGCCCTTGAACAGGTGGGCCACTTTTCGAGGACGTCAACTGGGTTAAACCAGGTTAGTGAAATATTTGAGGGAGGCCATAGGCTTCCTCCAGACCTGCAAAGGGCACATTGAGCCAATGAGCAAAAAGATCACTGCGTGTCTATGGGCATGTGGAAGGGCTTTTCCTTGTATAACATGGGGTTTGAACCCTCGTTAAGGCCAATAATACTCTACGGTGCACTTGTAGGTGGCCTGTCATGGGCAGGGCAACCTAAAGGAAGCAGCTAAGAAAGGTTCACAGACTATAGCCTGTCTGAGAGTCACTGGAGCCATGACAAACACGCCAGTTTTGACCATGGAGGCACTGGGGCTAGAGCTGTGAAGGCAGAGGTCGAAGGATTTGAGCGCGGGCGAATTTGAGAGGAAACCCTCAAGATCCGATCCCCTCCTTGCAAGAAGGGATGTGATCCGGAATGTCTGACTAAAACCGAAGAGTTCTAAGGTCGCTTTTTCGGACAGGGGGGAGTGGCTGAACTCAGATTGTCCATGAAATCTGAAAGGTTCGTGTGGGTCACGGGGGGAACGGGTATGGGTACCTATATATAGTGATCGACCGAGAGCTGACATCCGCTTCTCCCTTGATTAACATAGCACTGTGCTTCGGGCAGATTTTAACCATGAATAAGCATATACACCTATGCAGTGAATAGGAGGCAACGAAAGGGCCGACGAGCTGGCCCGAGCTCCTTGGCGACAGATATCCGGAAACGGTGAAGCAACTTAGGCTAAACAAAGTCCTATCCCTTGTTGCTCTACAAATAAAATAGATCACTACGTGCCATTTTTATGGGGCGTTAATTAATTAAAAAAACATAGGTAGGGATTAATCCGGAGAGTTTTTGAAGAGATTCGGTCTTCGAGTAAGAGTAAACCACCCCAGTCGCCGGGAAAAAATTCCTTCGCGAGTAGCCAGGGCGAATAATTTATTTGTTTTTGGCCTTTACTGTTAACGTTCAGTACCAACTTGGTCCGCTGCGAACGATTTAAAAAGAGATTCGCCTTTGTCGTTAGAAATCGAGACAACACTTTGCAAGCAAGAGAATTTTATCGTTTTCTGGACTCTGTAGGTACTTTGGTCGTCCTCCTTTGGCTTTTTCCCAAACTTTTAAAATACCCCTGGGAATATTTCAGACACTTGGCAGAATTTTTGGCACATATCAGAGCAACTTATTAACTTAACACACCTTTACATGTCCATTGGACTTTAAAAGGAGAGTGTAAAACGTTATGGATACAATTGTTGAAAGCTCCATAAAGAGCTTAAGGAGCGGCAAGTAGTCCCCGAAAGAGCCAAAGGACCTTCAGAAAGCAGTATATGCTACGGGTCCAACGGAAGATCCATAGACATCGCAGAAGGGGAGAACCGTAGGAGCAGGGGAAGGGCAGGGAGTCTAGGAAAATTGAAAGATGAATCTGGGCAATCCGATGGTGGAATCGATTGAACTTTTATTGTACAGAAAAGCTACAGTTCATCCACTATTTCCGGTTCCGGCAAGGTATACTTGCTCTTGATGATCTTCAGCACCTTCGGATTCAGTTTGTTACCATCCAATAGGACTTCGGTCAACTCTGGTAAACTATCAAAGACGGTGGGGTTCAGGTCACTGATCAGGTTATTCTGTAGGTCGATGTAAGACATCCTAGACAACCCAGCGAACTTTCCAGGGGAGATATGCTTGATGGTGTTGTTGGCCAACCCAAGGTTTTTGAGCGAGCCGAAGTTGTCAAACGCTCCTGATTTGACCGACTGGATTTCATTAGCGTTCAAGCGTAACCGTCGCAGTCTGGGCAGAACTGGAACTGTGCCCGGTTCCAAGACCTTCAGCTTGTTACCGGACAAATCGAGATAGTGCAGGGATTCGAGTGCGCGAAAAATCTCGGCGGGTAACACTTGGATGCCATTGTGGGATAGGTCCAGACCTCTCAGCCGCGACAGTTTGTCAAAGACGTCACCCTTAAGCTCGCGCAGCTTATTGGAGGCGAGGTGCAGAGTTCCCAAGCTCGGTAGTAGATCAAAACGGGTCGAATCGAAATGTACAATATTGTTATTGTTTAATGTTAGCGATATCACCGAGTCCAAGCCGCCGAAAGTCTCCTTGTCGATCGTGGATAGGCGGTTGCTGCTCAGTGAAAGCGAGACTACACTCTTCAACCCATCAAAGGCTCCAAATCCAATGTTCTCCAGGCGATTTTCCGTTAAGAACAACGTCCTTACAAGAGACAGTCCGGCGAACGTTCCCGACTTTAACACTTTTAAGTGGGTCTTCTGAATCCTAAGCTGTCTGAGCTTCCCTACGCTTGTAAAACACCCGGTGGCAAGCTCCTCGATTGGAACATCGGAAATGTCGAGAAACACCAACGAAGGAAGCTCGACGAAGGTGGCACACGCGATGTGCCCAATTGGATTGGCTTTGATGTGGAAGTAATCGACGGACTTAAGTCCTTGGAATGTTTCGGCGTGAACACTTTGGAGGCGGTTCTCGCTGAAGTAAAACGAGGTGAGCCGGTTTAGGTTCTTGAAGGTACCAGGCTCGATGCGGTTGATTGTGTTTTTGATCACGTCCAGGTACTTGAGGTTGGGCAAATTATCAAAAATCCCATCTGCAAGCTGGGTGAGGTTGTTGTAGCTTAGAAAAAGCCTGTTTAAGGAGGAGAGGGCGTCGAAAATCCCAGCCGAAAGAAACTCCAGGCTATTGCTGGCGAAGTATAAAGTATTCAGCTTTTTCATTTGTTGAAAAAGACCTGGGGGTATTTCTTTCATCTGGTTTTCGTTTAAGTAAAGTTCTTCTAAACGGCCAAAATCGTCGAACGATTTCGGTTCAATAGACGATATCTTGTTATTCGACAGTGAAAGAATCTTTAACCGCTTCAAACCGTGAAAAGTGCCCGCTGAAATTTTCTTCAGCTCATTTTCGGTGAGTACAAGCTCGTTTAGCCGCGAGTTTCCCGCGAATGCATCGTCTGGAAGCGTCGAGAGGAGGTTGCCTTCCAAATTGAGGACGTCCAGCTGAGTCGAACAATTAAAGGCGCTAGCATCTAAGTCCCTTACTTTATTATGCGCCAAGTTGAGGGAATCCATCCTTGGAAGGCTCGAGAAGAGGCCCTTCGCTACTGCTTGTATTAGATTGTGGGATAGGTCACGCCAAGATAACTCCTTTAAGTTGGAAAAGAGATCCTGGTCAAGTGCCTTGATGCGGTTTGCTTGTAGATTCAGCACCCTGAGCTTACTCAAACCTGTAAATAAACCTGGAGTTAGGTTCTCCAGTTGGTTCGCGTTCAATCTAAGTTGTCTGGTTGATGGTGTTTTTGACCACGTCCAGCAGCTGGAGGTTGGGCAAATGATCAAAAATCCCATCTGCAGGCTGGGTCAGGTTATTGTCGCTTAGAAGAAGACTGTTTAAGGAGGAGAGGGCGTCGAAAGTCCCAGCCGGAAGAACTTCCACGCTATTGCTGGAGAAGTCTAAAGTCTTCAGCTTTTTCATTTGTCCAAGCCTCGTAAAATCTCCTTGTCGATCATTGCCAGGTGGTTTCTCCTCAGTGAAAGCGAGACCACACTGTTCAGGCCATCGAAGGGTCCAACTCCAACGTTCTCCAGGCGATTCCACAATCCAATTTTCTGAATTTCGGCTGGTTACTTTTCCAAAGAACCAATTGTGAAAATTTCGACTCATCAATAAATGTGTTATTTAAATTTTTTGCATTGTGCAAAGCTAGGATAATATCTAGAAAGCTCTTGAAAGCTCCACAATGGGGTTATGTAGATTCTTAAAGCATTTCAGGTAATCAGGTGTTCTTTTGGAGATTATTTTCAAACTGAAAGCGCTTTAAAGCTCTGAAGAGTGGGGACTGTGACATCCTCTCTAAAGGTGCAGATTTGTATAGATATCTTTTTGGGGAAAATTGGCGGATTTGTAGGGCCTAGGCAAGTTATTCGGCGCGCATGTTAAGCTGTTAATATCGTTCGATATGCATAACGGCCGAGGCTTTGATAAATCCAAGGAATGCTATCGAGAAAATGAAGTTAATTACTCTAATTAAATTAAGTATTTTCGCTGTAAGTTTGTGCAACGCCATTTCAAATGGTGCGTACCCAAACCGCTTTAAAATTTCATTACATCATTACTTTCTAATATAAACCAAGTTACCAAGAAGAGGGTTGGCATACTGTTCGATCAACTCGCGAAAGGTGAGTATCTTCGTCCACATTTTTGACATTTGTAATTTGATCGATCTTGCAGTTCACTATGCTACTGAAACTCTTGCAATTACTGGTCCTAGTTGGAGTGACGATCGAGCAACCGAAGTATTGCCAATATCGATCATGGAAGTCGATATCATGTAGTGGAATAACTTCCTTAAGACAACTGGAAACGGGAATCGACGAGGCGATCATCAGCGAAAACGTCGATCCCAAAGACCTCGAGACTTTGGAATTGAGAAGCAGTCAAATCCATTTTCTGGGTCCGGGCATCTTCTCCGATTTCGTGAACATTAAGGAACTAAAGATTCTTTTCAGCAACATAAGTAAAGTACCAGAAGATACTTTTAAACATTTGAACCACCTCAACACGGTGGTAATCGGTTTTAGTAACTTAAGCAAGGTGGACCAGGGCGTTACTGAAGGACTCTCCAACTTGAAGAATTTTTACGTGTACGCCACGAAGCTCGAACAGTTCAACAAAATGACCTTTGACCAGATGAGCTCTTTGACCAAGCTCGATTTAAATAACGATTTCTTGTCGGTGATCGAAGCGGGGTCTTTCGACAAATTGGTAAATTTGAAAGAGCTTCAGCTTGCTTCAAATCGACTAACATGCTTACCTAATAGGCTTTTATCAAATTTGATAGCGTTAGAAAGTATTTCTATTGAAGCCAACCAACTGATACAACTAGAAGAGGACCTTTTTAGAGGACTTTCGTCGGTGAAGACGATCAATTTGGCAAGCAATCTCCTGGCAATAGTACCTGCAAGGCTGTTTCAAGACCTATCGTCTCTTATCGAGCTAAGTTTCAAAGATAACCGCATCATACGATTACCTGAGGATCTTTTTGCAAACACAAGATGTCTCGAAGTACTCGATCTTTCCATCAATCAACTTTGGTCACTGCCAGCGCGCGTATTTAATAACCTATTCCAGCTAAAGTCGATCGACCTGTCGCAAAATCAGCTGACTATCCTCCCGGACGACCTACTCACAGGCCTCACTCAACTAACCGATCTAAAGCTGAAATACAACCAAATAGAATCGCTGCCACGTGGCTTGTTTCCTGAAAACTCCCAACTGAGGAATTTGGACCTTAGTTCAAATAATCTGAAAACACTCCAACCCATAACCTTCGAAAATCTAAAGCACCTATCTTTCCTAGCTCTCTCGAAAAATCGCATTTCTACACTTGGACGAGACGAGCTTAAACCACTGATCAACTTAGAACATTTGGATCTGCATGGAAACTACCTGCACAACATCGCATCGGACAGCTTCACAGACCTGAGGAACCTAAAAGTCATCATCCTCAGCAGAAATAAGATCAGGTCACTTCCCGTCGACGTTTTCAAGCCGCTCGAATCAGTGCACGAAATCGATTTGTCCCATAATCGAATTCAAATCGTAGACAACGACCTATTCGCCAATCTGCCCAAGTTGAGCCACGTGAACGTGACTTTTAACGATATCCGTTCAATCTCACCGGGTTTCTTTAAACAATTCGGAAGGTTGACTTATTTCAGTTTGGAAAGCAATCCCATTGGGATCATCACGTGCGTGCACCTCAAAGACTTGGAGTTCATCGAGCACCTGATCTTTCGTTCTAACGGCCTCGAGGAAATTTCCCGCTTCTGCTTCGACGAACTGAAGGAGCTGCGCACGTTGGAGATCACCAAGAACAATATACGCGTGATAAAGAACTGGACGTTTGGCCTACAGAAATTGTTGAACCTGATTTTGGAGGAGAACCAAATCGAGTTCATACAGACTCAGGCGTTTGCCAATCTGAATGTAGTGCGAAAGGTGTCACTGGCCAGAAATCGGATTTCATCGCTCCAGGCCGAGATGTTTCAAGGGATACAAAGCGCGACATCACTGGACCTCTCGCATAACCGCATCTCCTTCATACACTCCTGCACCTTTGAGCTTATGGGAAATTTAGAGTTCCTCAGCTTGGCCTCGAACCAACTGCACGATTTCCACTACGACGTCTTCCACAAGCTGCCACGTTTGGTCGACCTCCATTTGTCCGACAACGGAATTGATAACCTCCCACGTGACCTGTTCAAACCGCTGACCTCGCTTACAACTGTGCGCCTGTGCGGAAATAAATTCACAAGTTTAGAGGATGGAACCATACCGCACGCCGAGAATTTGCAAAATTTGCACTTGGAAGGCAACTGGATTCAAACGATGGGCACGCGAGCTCTCGCCGAGTTCAAGACGTTGCGAGCCCTCAATTTGGCGGAGAACTCGCTGGCGAAGGTCTGCACGGAAATGTTCGAGGGATTGACTGAGCTGGTCGCGCTCGATCTGAAATTCAATCATATCGGTGATATCGACCTCACCTTCTTCGACGCGTTTCCGCACTTGCAGAGGATGAACGTGGAGGGAAATAAAATATCAGTGGAGAAGCATACGGCTATCAACTTAAAGTATCCTGATATGGACGCAATTATTTCTAAATACCGCTTTCTTTATCATTTGTAATTCGTGCCTGTGAGATGCTTGTCAATTTCTCAGAATCAGATGAATAAAGTTTCTGTCAAGTGTGTAAGCCTAAATAAACCTCCCTGTCCAGATACGAGACCGGAAACCGTCGCCATTTTGTGCAGAGACAACCGAAAGTTTCATGTCGCCATCTTCGTCCAATTATATAAAGATAAACAAGTATAAATTCTGCACAACTCTTGTGCAGATAAAGCGTATTTTTTTAACCGAAATAGCATTTTTTTTGACATCATCAATGGATATATTTCTTGCAGACGTCTCAATCGCCCTTTGTGAGTACCCTCTTCCGTTCTTGAGGTGTAAGGGAAGTTCACGGTAAGAGGTCGAGGAGGAGTGCTATGGTTGGTATACATTAATTCCTTTCGTTGAGACCTTTCATTAGAGTACCATGAAGGATAAAACTAGTTCCACTCCCCCCCCCCCCCCCTCTACCCCGTAGTTTGATAAGAGGACAGAAAGAAGGGCAGTAGTTGGTAGAAAACGGTTCCTCGCAATACAATAAGAGATAAAATTAATCCCCCCCCCCCCCCCCCCCATTTTATTTCGATGAGAGCTTTCATTAGAATACGGAAGGACGGACGGACTAAACGCAAACAATAGCACGTCTTTGTAATTCGCTAAAAAGAACCTGCGTAGAGAGTAGACCGGCGAAACTCAGATGAGTCCGGGTCCGTGGCTTTATTAATCCCCCTAGGTACGATCATGAAATTAATAAAAATGGCTGGAGGGCACATTAATTAAGCGTTTTCAACAAAAAAATTTGCGGAAGAAGGGATTAAAAAAACGCGTGTTAGTGAAACAATAAACTCCTTTTTGAGAATCGAAAAATGCGCTAAAAAGGTACTCATATACTTATTTCATAAATATGAAGTGACTTCAGTTTTGCGAGGCCTATGATTACCAATTGATTCCATTCGGATGCTACTGCGCATGTACGTACGGTGCAAAACATATCTCTGTCTTTGTTAGGTATGTTGGCACAGATGCTCCTTATTCAAAGCAGATCGGAGACTATACCCATGTATATATGATCTAATGATCTAAGATTATTTCGCACTTTTTAGCGCATTTCCACAAAAATAAAAAAAAAATGCGCTATTGTGGCCACTTTGTCCGTCCGTCCGGCCGTCCGTCCGTCCTTCCTTCCGTCCGTCTGTCCGTCCGTCCGTCCGTTCGTTTTGCGACGCTACTAGTTCTTTATCTTAAGAGCTATTGTTCTACTTTTTTCGCTATTTGGTTCGTTATGGTGTCGAGTCTTGTACCAAGGAAGGAATTTTTTCTGTACCGCTTAAAAAAAAAGTTATTGTAAAAAAAAACAAAAAACCGTTTTTACATGTTCCATAATTTTACACTTTTGCCGTTTATTAACGATCCTAGAGATCGTTTATAATTTTGCATTGTTATCTGTCGCCTGCCGGTTGGTCTCTCCGTCTGTTCCTTTGTCTGTCTGTCCATCTATCTGTCCGTGTGAACGATAACTTTTTTTAGAAATGTTCGATCGCTTTTACATCTCCGTTAGTTATGAACTGAATTGCATGAAATTCAATATGGGCATAGCTTTAGCCATATTATACGCAATGCCAAAAGTTGAATCGAATCGATTCAAAATTCACAGTGCCCTTTTCGCATCTCGACCATTTATAAACCGAATTGCAAACTTTTTTACTTATAAAAATATTTGAATGAAATTTGATACATAGGCACTTGGAATAAAGGAAAATCAAACGCCAATTTCAAAATTTGGTTTTGCGCATGCGCAGTGCCAACTTTTTATTTATGGAAGAATTTAAACGAAATTTGATACATAGGCACTTGGGATAAAGGAAAATCAAACGCCAGTTTCAAAATTTGGCTTTGCGCATGCGCAGTGCCAACTTTTTTATTTATGGAACTATTTAATTGAAATTTGATACTTAGGCGCTTGGAACAAAGGAAAATCTAACATTAGTTTTAAAATTTAGGTTTGCGCATGCGCAGTTCCAACTTTCTTATTTAGAAAAGCATTGAAATGAAATTCTTCTCATAAATTGAAATTGAAGTAGCACGTCAACAATGGATTGCCCATGTGCAACGCTATCTTTCATATTTGTGGCCGGATTTTTACGATTTTTACAGAAGTTGCATCTTACAAATGGGAAATGAATGCAAGTGGAAATGCGCTTTATGTAAATCGTTTACGATTACTTTTTAACTTGTTTCTTGTTGCGGTTTATGCAAAAAGTGTTATTCACTTTCTTGAACAGCTACTGAGTGCGAAAATCTGATTTATTTTGCAACATTTAAACGTATGTACCGGTATTCCTATATACAATATGTCGAATTCGTTGATTGTTTATAACTTTAGTAGTAGAGTGGCTGTATGGGAATATTGTAGTGAATATTCTAGAAATCCAGATAAACATGGAGCCGTCGTAAAGGATTGGTCACCGACGATAAGAAATGAAAGTGGATGTGACGCATCCTTTCCGGGAAATGCGATGTGTTTTGTTCGAGAATATTTGGTTAACCGCACAAAATTACTTATTTTCCAATACATTTAAAATTGACATAACGATCGCGCAAACACCGGGATTGAAATTTTGCTGCAGGATTGCATTTCCTAGCACCGGGCCCATAGGGCCAAATCCGGCCCTGTTGGTAACCAAGCTCCAGTACAAGCGGCTCTGTCCAGATGAGAGAGCATTTCCGCAAAAGGAGCCCGGTGGGGGGGCAGTCTCCTCGCCAATGCAAGGCTTTATTCAAGGATCTGGTGGTAGGCCGGATCGTATTCGCAAGAAGACACTTTGGAGGAGTTGCAAGAGATTATTGGAGACCTGGCGCGAGAGGTGAAGAGAGTGGGAGCCCGAAAATATGTGGTCGCGGGAGATATGAACGCTTGGTCCACAGTGTGGGGTGCGCCCAAAACTAACCCTATGCTAGATCTGCAGGTGATAAACACGGGAGGGATACCTACCTTCGTTAGGAGAGAGCGTCAATCGATTATAGACCTTACGACCAATATCTCTAATAAGCCAGCTAGGGAAATTGCTGGAGAGGGTGCTGGTAGAAAGGATCGAACAGTTTGCCAGTCTTTCGGGCAGACAGTATGGCTTCAGGAAAGGGAAAGGGACCAGAGAGGCGCTCAGCCAAATACGTAAAATGGCAGAAACGGCAAAGCGAGGCACACGACGTACTAGGGAGGTGACAATAATCACCTCCTTAGATGTCCAAAATGCTTTTAATTCTATCCTAATGGGAGTCATTTTAGAAGAACTAGAAAGAAAGGGCGCACCGGGCTATATGAGTGTAGTGCACAACTATTTAAGCAACAGGAGGAATCGGGTTAAACTCCCCTCCGGGAAGGGGTACCAGTTTGAGGTGAACGGAGGGGTGCCACAAGGGTCGGTGCTGGGCCCACTCCTGTGGAATATTGCATATGATGGGGTCATCAGAGTGCCAACAGGAGTGGCTCTGGTGGCGTACGCCGAAGACCTGAGCGTGGTGGTGACAGACCATAAGATCGAGCGAGCGGCAGAAAAGGCGCAAAGCTCTATAAATAAGGTGCTAGTGTGGACGGAGCAGAGAGGGCTCAGACTGGTGGGCAGTAAAACTCAAGCGGCCCTGATAGCCGGAAGTAGAAGACTCCCGGAGGTGACACTGACCGGCTTTATGGTTCAGTGGTAGAGCGTTGGGACTATAAATCCGGAGGTCGGGTGTTCGAACCTGGGTTGAGGAGAATTTTTCATCTGTGGCAGAGATGGGAATTACCTTAGACCAGTTTCGAGCATTCACCGGCTACCCTAGGATGCAGTTTTCCTAATTCGTAAGGTAAATACCGGAGTAGTAAGAACAACTAAGACCTTCTGCAGAGGCACCTCTAAAAAGCATTATGCGGGTCACTCTGTAATTGGGCGCAAGCCTGTTGAGGGCCCAGAACAAGAGAGGAATAATAAATAAATAAATAAATAAATAAATAGAGCGAACAAGGATAGTGGTGGGGAAAGAAATAGAGATAGATAAGAGCCTGAGCTACATGCAACACGTCCAAAAAGCAAGAAGAATGGCTGAACAACTTAGCCGGTTGATGGCGAATACGGGGGGACCGAATGAGTGGAAGAGAAGGTGCTAGCCTCGGCGGTCGATAGCGTGATACTATATGGATGCGAGGTGTGGGGAAGAGTAATAAAAAAAAATGGCCAAGGACGTGGCGGATAAAGTTCAGAGGAAAATGACCTTAAGGCGTATAGGACAGTATCAAATAAGGATCTATTTGTAGTGGCCCGCACACCTCCGCTGAGGCTAAAGGTCTGGGCGAGATAGAAGGGAAGAATATTAAAGACGCACTAATTGCATGGAAAGAAGAGTGGGAGGAACGAGAGTCGTGGACGAAGGGACTGATAGACAATCTAAAAAGCTGGGTAGGAAGAAAGCACGGGGAAGTTAACTATTTCCTCACACAGTTTCTGACCTGGCATGGGGAGAATGGGTTTTACCTGAAATCGATAAGAAGAAGAGAGAGGGATACCTGCGTAGATTGTGGTGAGCTGGACGATGCAGGACACGGAGTGCTAAATTGCCCTAGATGGGAACGTGAAAGATACCGGGTCCCTATCAGGGTATGGGAAATGATAGAGAAGGAAAGCATAGTGAAGATAATGTTGGAAAGCGAAGAGAAATGGAAAATAATTGCCCACCTGATTGAAAAGATAATAGGCACGCGAGAAAAGGAGGCGAGGTAATAAAAGGGATTAGGGAAAAACCCCTCTGGAAGAATGCCTTAGCGATACCCAGAGGCGGAGTTTTCCAAATTGCAAGGGAGAAGGGGTGAGAGCCCCACACTACCGCCGGCCGACAGATACAAGGCGGCGATGTGCGGTAGGAACATTCCCTAATTCCCTCTCAAAAAAAAAGGAAGCGCCGGCCAACGTTAAGGACCAAGTTTTTCAGATCGGAGGGAAGCACAGCCTGAGTTCCACTCACTTGCGGGTGCACCACGAATATATGGGCAAGTCGCTGTGGCTGTTGTTCCGGTGTTGCACCCGGAGGTGGACATCATTGAGGCTCAGGCAAGGTGCATTGCATGACGAGATGGAGGGAGGCCCTTTCGTTGGCTGACAGGGTGCGAGGACCAGTGGACTTTCAACTGGCTAGAGAAGACCGTTCCTTTTATTAGGCCCTGGGATGACGCGTCTCTGGAAGTTCAGAGGCATGGTAACCATCAAGGTGATGACTGTGCCTTAAGGGGTCCCGGATGACACGGCCACCATCTTGAAGCGCCTCCAGAGGTAATATCCTTGTTTCAGAAAGAGCCTATAGAGGACGTCTCGGGGGGTCTCGCACGTTACCAACGATACCCAATGCCGTTGCGACGGAAGGAGTTCATCCCCCAGTATCGAATTCGAAGGGGCGTCGGGATTACTACCACTCGGAAGAGGTTACCAGGACGCGAAATAGCGGGCTCCCTCTTGTGGTTGGCTGTGATGCTTATGGAGTATTTGCCTACAACTAATTCGAATGTCTTAAATCAAGGAGCAGCCTCTAACTTCATCACAGCGCGGAGGCAGGAGGTTATCGATCTGACGTTGGCCTCCCCTATGAATAGATTATAATACATCACCAGGATACATGATGAAGGGCACTAATTAATTCAAAAAAGATAGGTAGAGATTAATCGGGAGAGACTTTTTGAAGGGATTCGGTCTTCGACTAAAAGTAGACCACTCCGGTCGCAGCGAAAAAAATCCTTTGGGAGTAGCCAGGGCGAATTTGATTTGTTTTTGACCTTTACCGTTAACGTTCAGTGCCAAGTTGTCCGCCGCGAACGATTTAAAAACGGATTGACCTTTATCGTTAAGGTACTTTGGTCGTTCTTCTTTGGCTTTTTCCCAAACTTTTGCGGTGCCCCTCGAAATATTCAAGACACATAGCAGACTCTTTGGCACATAGAGCAATTTATGAGCTTAACATACCTTTATACATGTCCACTGGGCATAAGACATAAAGGGCTTAAGGAGCGGCAAGTGGTCCGTGAAAGAGCCAAAGGACTTTCAGAAAGCAGATGCTACTGGTTCGACGTAAGAACTATAGAAATCGCGGAAGGGGAAGAATCCGCCGATAAAAAAACCATAGTAGCAGGGAAAGGGGGTAGGAAAACTTAAATATGAATGTGGGAAATCCGATGGTGGAATCGATGACAGGGTTGCGGAAAAAAGTTGAAAATTCCGACGATACAAAAACCCTTTATTATATAGAAAAGCTACAGTTAATCCACAATTTCCGGTTCCGGCAAGGTATATTTGCCCTTAATGATCTCCAGCACCTTCGGATTCAGTTTGTTCTCATCCAATAGGACTTCGGCCAACTGTGGTAAATTATCAAAGACGGAGGGGTTCAGGTCGCTGATCAGGTTATTCTGTAGGTCGATGTAAGACAACTTAGACAACCCGGCGAACATTCCAGGAGAGATATGCTTGAGCGTGTTGTTGGCCAACCTAAGGTTTGTGAGCGAGCCGAAGTTGTCAAACGCTCCTGATTTGATCGACTCGATTTCGTTAGCGTTCAAGCTTAACCGTCGCAGTCTGGGCAGAGCTGGAACTGTGCCCGGTTCCAAGACCTTCAGCTTGTTACCGGACAAATCGAGATAGTCCAAGGATTCGAGTGCGCGAAAAATCTCGGCGGGTAACACTTGGATGCCATTGTGGGATAGGTCCAGACCTCTCAGCCGCGACAGTTTGTCAAAGACGTCACCCTTAAGCTCGCGCAGCTTATTGGAGCCGAGGTGCAGAGTTCCCAAGCTCGGTAGTAGATCAAAACTGGTCGAATCGAAGTGTCCGATATTGTTATTGTTTAAACTTAGCGATATCACCGAGTCCAAGCCGCGGAAAGTCTCCTTGTCGATCGTCGATAGGCGATTGTTGCTCAGTGAAAGCGAGACCACACTCTTCAACCCATCAAAGGCTCCAACCTCAATGTTCTCCAGGCGATTTTCCGTTAAGAACAACGTCCTTACATGAGACAGTCCGGCGAACGTTCCCGACTTTAACACTTTTAAGTGGGTCTTTTGAATCCTAAGCTGTTTGAGCTTCCCTACGCTTGAAAAACACCCGGTCGCAAGCTCTTCGACTGGAACATCGGAAATTTCGAGAAACACCAACGAAGGAAGCTCGACGAAGGTGGCACACGCGATGTGCCCAATTGGATTGGCTTTGATGTGGAAGTAATCGACGGACTTAAGTCCTTGGAATGTTTCGGCGTTAACACTTTGGAGGCGGTTCTCGCTGAAGTAAAACGAGGTGAGCCGGTTTAGGTTCTTGAAGGTACCAGGCTCGATGCGGTTGATTGTGTTTTTGATCACGTCCAGGTACTTGAGGTTGGGCAAATTATCAAAAATCCCATCTGCAAGCTGGGTGAGGTTGTTGTAGCTTAGAAGAAGCCTGTTTAAGGAGGAGAGGGCGTCGAAAATCCCAGCCGGAAGAAACTCCAGGCTATTGCTGGCGAAGTATAAAGTATTCAGCTTTTTCATTTGTTGAAAAAGACCTGGGGGTATTTCTTTCATCTGGTTTTCGTTTAAGTAAAGTTCTTCTAAACGGCCAAAATCGTCGAACGATTTCGGTTCAATAGACGATATCTTGTTATTCGACAGTGAAAGAATCTTTAACCGCTTCAAACCGTGAAAAGTGCCCGCTGAAATTTTCTTCAGCGCATTTTCGGTGAGTACAAGCTCGTTTAGCTGCGAGTTTCCCGCGAATGCATCGTCTGGAAGCGTCGAGAGAAGGTTGCCTTCCAAATTGAGGACGTTCAGCTGAGTCAAACTAGTAAAAGCGCCAGCGTCTAAGTCTCTTAATTTATTATGCGCCAAGTTGAGGGAATCCATCCTTGGAAGGTTCGAAAAGATGCCATTCGCTACTGCTTGTATTTGATTGTGGGATAGGTCAAGCGAAGATAACTCCTTTAAATTGGAGAAAAGATCCTGATCAAGTGCCTTGATGCGGTTTCCTTGTAGATTCAGCACCCTGAGCTTCCTCAAACTTGTAAATAAACCTGGAGCTAAGTTCTCCAGTTGGTTCGCGTTCAATCTAAGTTTTTCCAAATTCACCAACCCCTCGAAGGTATCTTCATCCAGTTGCTTTAGGTTGTTTTCGTTGAGCCAAACTTCATCGAGGAGTCGCAACTTTGCCAGCACTCCTTTTGGGAGCACCTCCAGTTTGTTACCCAAAAGCTGTAGTTCTTTCAAATTCGGGGAGTTGTCAAACGCCCCCGCTTCAATTGCGGTTAGGTCGGCATTCTGCAAATCCATCACGGTTAAAGAGTGCATATCGTCAAACGCCCCTTTGGCAAACTTTTCCACCGTGGTCGCGTAGAAATGAATTTTTTTCAAATTGAAGAGGCCACTAAATGCCTTATCGTCGATCGCTTCCACTTTACTAAAACCGATCTGGAGCTCTTCCAGTTTGTTTAAACCAGCAAACGCCCCGCTGGGTATACGGGTTATGTTACTGAAAACGACTTTGAATTTTTTTATCTGCTCGAAACCGTCAAACGTTTTGGAGTTCAAGAAATTCACGTCGCTGCCTTCCATCTCCAAACCTTGAAAGTCTTCTGTATCGACCTTGTCGTGGGTAAAACTCTCCCGAACGCCATTCCTAAACTGTTCTAAGGACCGCACTTTTTCACACGAGATTGACTTCCAAAACCGATAATTGCAATCCTTAGATTGCGTTCCGACTACCGCAAGAAGGAGCCATAGGGACACGAGCAGTGCTCTGTCCATCATCTAAAAGCATACAGATTATTTGTGAAGTACTTGCCAGTGTATCGGCCTGTGACCTCCTTATGCACGAAAATGTTATCAGCACCCAATCAAATAAATCCCCACAATTGATAAGTTTGTTTTTCGTTTACAATTCCAGTACCATTTACGAAACATCAACTCCCTTATCTGAGGTCGCCTACAACAGGTTTATTTTATTTTCGTATAAATGCCCAAACATATACTGAATAGAAAAAGAAAGCACGGCGATGATATTAGAGGAGAAGCAAAATTAAATACAAATTGATGAGTAGTAAATAATAAGTAATAAATAATAAATAATAAATAATAAATAATAAATAATAAATAATAAATAATAAATAATAAATAATAAATAATAAATAATAAATAATAAATAATAAATAATAAATAATAAAGTTACTGACGAAACAGTTTCAGTGGAAGAGCCAACCCCAGGAGTTGGTAACACTGTGACCTTTCGCCTGGGACTTTTTTTCGTCAATTTACATAATGGCCATAAGTCGACGAATAATTTTAGACGATTAATGCGAATCTCGGCAACGTAAGTGATTAAAAGGAAGATTTCCAGCGACCTCGAAGATTCCGAATATATTCCGAATCGCGAAACCGTCTAACCTTTCGGTTCTTTTCCCAAGACCGTCAAGTGAAGGAAGAGGGTCAATGCCAAAAACGCTCAGGTCAGTTGATACCTATTTATACGCATCACTTTAGGAGTAGTACTTATGAGACAAGAAGAATGAGTTGTTCCACAGAAACGAGGAGCTGGATTGGTTACTAATTTCGCTCCCTTGCGCGTTCAATCTCGAAGTACTGATTGATCCAAACCCATAAATTCCTAGATCCCGTACAATGAATGGCACCTTTGATTGGCAGTTCCAATTTACGGCCACTCAAAAGTAGGTAAGCCGACAGCTACAGACGTGGGAAGAATTACAACGTGCAGAACCGGTTGTTGGCATTTCTACGTTTAGTGCCTTAGTCATCACATTGCTCTTTTAACAGATGTATCAAGATTTTAGAAGCAAGTTCTCGTGCTAACATTTTCTGCCACTACCTTCACCTAGTACAGCAATCATTTTTAGAAAACGTAGCACAACCACAGGAGCGCATGAGGTGCAAAATCGACATAATGTAATCTCCCCGCGTTTACGTTCTCCTGATACAAATTTCTTTTTGAAAAACCGCCTCAGGTCAGGTGCGTGTTTGGAAGTGTCAAGGTTCCACAAATGCGCATGAAAAAAAACATACCGGAATCGCAAACATCCCAGGAGGCGCAAAATCTGCGTACTAACGCCTTTCTTAGAATTATAAGCTCCTGATACCAATTTTTGAAAAGGGAAAATATTAATCTTATACTGTTATAGTGATCAAATTTTATTTAATATTCTTACGTATTTTATTTTAAAAAAACTGTAATCAATTGTATCAAGATCACAGAAACGCGGCGATGTAAGTCATTTATTGATGACTGGTGCAAGGGGAAATGAGGAACCTATTGACTTAGACCTCTTAGCAACAGAACATTGCATTTAAAAAAAAGGTCCACCCACAGGTTTTGACTTTGTCGCTCTTCTTGATGCGTTTTGGCAAATAGATTTTGCCCCCCGTCGCATTTCTGCGATCGTGATACATTTGTTAGATTCCTTTATTTTAATGTATCAGGGTCGCATAAACGCGGCAAACGTTAAGCATCTCACGTATTAGGTTCTTCAGATACAGAACTATCAGGATTGCAGAATCGCAAAGAGGTACAAAATAATACAAAAGTAGACATTTCCTCAAACCCTCGTAGAGTCTTTGAATGAAATCGACTTTGTTCAATTACTCAACGAGGGTGCGAGGAACAGTCTACAATTGGTACGAGTGACGGCATACCCCTCACATAATCAAGTTCTTGTCAATCTTAAGATTGAACAGAAACTAAAAGCCCTCATAGAAGACTTCTGGCGTCGTTAAGGTTCCCCTAGCCTCTAAAACAGACTCTTGAATTGTAGACTTAGGCCATTAAGGCTCCAGAAATTAAAAAAAATACCATAATGCACGGCCCTAGAAGGTCCATGGATGTTTCTGGAGGCTCTTGAGAGTTCCTAAAGATTCTGTACGACTCTTGGACTCCAACGCAGACTTACACAGGTCCTTAAATTTTTATTTATTTTTGAGTGGGCGGGGTTTCAGCCAAGGCTGCTCTACGAACCCAACCCACTATACATTTTCAAATATCCATGCCCGGATTCGAATCAGGGACCCTTAGCACCACAAACTGAACTGCGCCACACGGGTCTGGCTAAATGATAGACCTCGTGATAGACTTTTAAAGAGAGGAGCAACTCTGCGAAACTCTAGAAGCTTTTGAAAGAGACTTTCGGGATCTCCTGGAGATTATTTGCCATTTCTAGCCTTCATAGAAAAACAAAGGCTTTTAAATGTTTTTATTCTAACTCGGAAAAGCCCTGAAACAGAAGGTCTTAAGAGCTCGGTTATTCGTGAGAGGGGGTAATCTTAAGGACGCTTGAAGTGGAGATTCTTCAAGACACATCTCTAAATTTTGGGAAGTTTTTGGAGATAACTCGCCATTCTTCAAGTGCTTCGAAAGCCAACCCAGGTTTTTAAAGGCTTTTAAAAATTCAAATTCGGTTGGTCCTTAAATGTTTCTTACGCCCCTTTCAAGGGCGAATCTTGACGACTCGAAAAGCTTGTGGAAGACTCATTGCAAAGTGTTTGCGACTCTAAAAGGTCTATAATGATCGTTTAAAGGGTCTTCAAAGCACAACCTAAACCCTCTTTTTATTGGCTCATACGGACAAAGATCATTAAACGTTGATTAAAGACTCTTTAGAACGCTCTTATAACGACTAAATGCCCTTAAAGCGAATTAAGGACTTGGAGACTTAAAGATTCAAAGATGTAAAGACTCAAATGACTCAAAAGGCTTTTTGAGAAAACTCCGCGAACTTTAGAGGCCCTTAGAGACCTTCAATTACCCAAAAAGCGGCAGGTGCGGGTCTTGGGGTGAGAACAATTAGAACCGGGGGGCCTTGGGGGTGTGGTTTTAAAGTCTCTAATAATTTTTTATTCTAATGCAATACTGCGAAAGGTTTCTAGAAGCTATGAGGACCTTTAGTTGTCTTTTAGAGTCTACAAGATCCTTTGAATGAAAAGTAAGGCAGGCATGAACACATTTTGACCTTGAGATTTGCGCATGCGTCAAGTTCAAAGTCATTGATGTAGCGATGAGTAATTTGACCTCTGCGCCAGCGATTCAATGTCGTTGAAGGTCAAACGGTGGGGTTCGTTCCTGAACTTAATGTCAGTGAAGGTCAAAGGAAGGAGAAATCCTGGCTTTAGTTCAGCAAAGAACCCACGTCTATGAGCTTCAGTTACATTGATCTTCAGCGACTTTGAATCACATAGATCAAGTTACACATTGTTATGTAAATGACCTTGAACTTAGCGCAGATCTCAAGGTCAAAATGTGCTCATAACAGCCTATTACGTATAGGAAGTGTCTATTTACTACATACTCTCGCATAAAAGAGCTAGACACCTTTTTTTTTTACAAAAGCAGAGGCAGAAATGCATCTTCCATGTATAAAAAAAGAGGTAAGAAGGAGAAAGCGATTGTTTGGGGTAAATAAGAGAGGATAGTTTTTCTTCTAATATTTTTTTCCATTTTCACAGACATGAAGACTTTCTATAAAGGTAGACGAAAATATTAATTGCTTCTTCGGTGTGGAATTGAAATTTCTTCCCAGCTGTTTGCACGGACCGATTATAGAATCCTCTAGGGTGCTTCGCCGTGGACTATATTGTTATCTTCTTTGGAAGTGCTCCGAAAATCTTCGCCCGCAGTGCGAATATAACTTGATTTGGACGATGGCTCTCTCTTGGCTCTCGGAAACATCAAGTTTGTGTCTATAACCCTCTGCAACAACGCATACTTGACACCGCAAGGAGCGCAGAACAAATTCCTTCGAATTGCAATAAGCTCATCGTGGGGCGTAAGAGGCGCTGACATCTACTGGGACCCCACAAATAACTGAGTACACCCAAACAGCCGTGGAGGAAGATTCTTCTGCAATAGAGTGTTTGAAGTGTTGGTCTCCGCCTTCAGCCCGGCCATTTGACTGAGCATAAATACCGGTAGTTAATTGTGTTGCAGCAAACCTCGTCTGATTAGATTGTGCGTGGTATCAAATGAAGCGCGCTTAATTAACATGAATTTCAAGATTAGTCCCCGATTTTTAGGACGTTAAGGAGTTTGGTAATTAAATAAACTGTTTCAAACCAATGTAGATTATGAGCGACAAATGGCCAAAATTTAACCAGTCCCTTGACCATTGTCTATCTATTACTGAAAACAAGATTATTCTGCTGTCTACTATTTGTAGAATGAGAGAATAAATTTTCTTCTACGGAAGCCGATCCTTTATTATAATTCAAGAAATAAAGAGCACATTTTTGTACATTACTTTAATGGCATCCACGTCAGAGGCGCTCAACGGATTTCCACCCAAGTGTACTTCCTCCAAATAACGAAAATTCGTGAGAAAATCTCGAGGAATGCACGTAATGGAATTGTTTTCCAGGTTTAAGATGCGAAGCGAGACGAGTCCTGCTAACGAGTCGCTATTAACGTGTCTTATTTCATTGTTGCCCAAATTCAACTCCGACAAGGACGGCAAATGAGCCAATGCGACATTCGAAATCTTGCACGATTCCAGACTAAGACACTCCAAGCTTAATGGTAGCGAGAGCGTGTCCGCGCCGAGTGTCGCGAAATAATTCTCATCCAGCACCAGGTTTCTGAGCATCTGAAGGGACGCGAGCATTCCCGAAGACAAGCTGACGATACCGTTACAGGACAGGTTGAGAAATGTCACGGCGGGCGTCTCGGCGAATACGTCGCCTTCGATTACCTGCAGGCGAGGTGGATCGAATGTAGGCAATTCTCGCCGAGGTCGATGGACGACAGGCCCAACCCTTGGAAAGCTCCGACTTCGATGTGACTTATCCGATTCTTGTTCAAGAACAACTCGTCCAGATTGCTCAGTTCTTGAAACGCCCCCCGATTTATCGCCTCAATTTGATTGGAGTTAAGGTCGAGTCTGGTCATCGCGGGACTGCCCGAGAAAATTGCCGCCGGTAACTGTCGTAAGCGATTCCCCTCCAGGTTGACAGACTCCAAGCGTGGTATGCATCCAAAGGTGTCGGTTTCAAGCTGCTTGATCTGGTTAAATGCGAGATCCAAAGAGGTGAGGCGAGGAAGGTTATCGAAGAGACCTTTGGGGATAGACGTTAGCTCATTGTTTGAGAGGTTCAGGTCGCTCAAGTTTAACAGTTGAGCAAATGTTCCCTGGTGCAGATATCGGAGTGAGTTTCCGCTGAGGTTTAACGATGCTAGTGAAAGCAGCGGATTGAGTAACTCGCGGTGCAGTTCGACGAGGGAGTTGTTCTCCAAGCGCAGGACCTCCAAGTGTGGCAAGCCTAGGAAGACTTCCGGATCTAAACTCTCGATGTGGTTGCGGTCGAGGTGCAGCGAAGTCAGATGTTCAAAAATAAGTTTGGGGATATGAATTAGTTTATTGCGGCTGAGGATTAACACTCTAAGACGATCCAAGTGGTCAAATGTCCCAGGCTCAATGCGGTCAATGGAGTTGCTGCTCAAATCCAAAATCTCCAAAGAAGTCAATCCGTGCAACCTGAGGGGGTAGCTTGTGCAGTTCGTGAAGAGTAACCGTTTCAATTGACAAAGTCCGCTAAAACCCTCGTTGTCAATATGGGCGATTGCGCAGTTATCCACGTGTAGTTCTTGCAAATCGCTTGGTATTGCAAACGCTGAACTGGGAATAGTCTTCACGGCACTCGACGTAATTGACAGTTTCGTAAGGGCCGAGAATTCGGCGAACCAAGACGGGGCGAGATATTCGATAGTGCTATCCTGCAGTCGCAACTCTTCAATCTTCTTTGCCGACGTTTCTGCTATTGCTTCCTTAAACGATTCTGCGCTGTGAATGCCTTGGCAGCATAATAAAGATCCAAATAACTCAACGTTACGATTTTTTAGAGCGGAATCCATGCCTGAAACAAAGAAAACGTGCTTTTCTTCAAAACCTGAACCTCGACCTGAACAGTAGCAAAAAAATGTCCGGGAAACTACCCCTCCCCCCACTTTTTTGGACCAAGGCCTTGGTGAGGAATTCCCGGTGACGTAACCCAGACGATTATTGAAAAAACCAACTCATAAGATCCGACCCCCCCCCCCCCCCCCCATTCGATTTTCCCGGCGACAAAAGTCTTGCTGAAGTCGGTTTCCCCGTGATGTAACTAAGGAAAGACCTCGTTTGTGTTGGTTTTGTTTGGTAAAAATTTTCGAGTTTAATTCTAAACGCAGAGAAAGGGTTATCGAAATATTCTTTGCTTTTAACATAAATTCCCGGAAATTGTCAATCAATCTTTCTTTGCTAGGCTACATACGCCCCAGTCTAAAGATTTTTAAGGATAAGGCAGTACCGGGGTATCTAGAGGGTATGAAACACCTCAAGGAAGATTAGATCTCGAAATTATCATGAAAATGACTTTGCCTGGGGGGTATTCTATACTCCTCAGATCCCCCGGTACTACTTACTGCTGTGTTGCCATCTCTAAAGTCTCACCGACTTTGTGGTTCAATGGTAGAGCGTTGGGCTATAAATCTGGAGGTCGGGTGTTCGAACCTGGATTGAGGTGAATTTTTCATCTGTGGCAGCGATGGGAAATAGGTACCTTAGACCAGTTTCGAGCATTCTGTCGGCTTACCGAATTAGGTTTTCCTGCAGTTTTCCTAATTCGTAAGGTAAATACCGGAGTAGTACAGAACAACTTAAGACCTTCCGCAGGAGCACCTCTAAAAAGAACTATGCGGGTCAGTTTGTAATTGGGCGCAATAAAATAAAACAAAAATTTGTTAAGGATAAGGCAGTACCGGGGAGGCCTAGAGGGTATGAAGTACTCTCCAGACAAACAAAAGGAAGATTCGATGGTCTTCTCTCGAAATTATCATGAAAATGACCAGGTCCCTAAACGTTTTTGGGGGAAAAATAGGCATTGGGGAATGTGGAGGTATGGAATATTTTTCGGGAAAGGACTCTTATTTTTACGAGGTAGCCATCGACTTTTCCTTAGCCTGTGGGGTATTCCACACCCCGAGACCACCCGGTACTACTTTCTGGTTTATAAAGATTTTCAAAAGTAATGCAGTAGCGGGGGGTATGGGGGTATAGAATACCCACCAGGCAAACAAAAGAAAGATTCGATGTCCCTCTCTCGAAATTATCATGAAAATGAACAGGTCCCTAAACGTCTTTGGGGGAAAAAGAGGCATTGAGGAGTGTGGAGGTATGGAATATTCTTCGGGAAAGGACTCTTATTTTTAAGGGGTAGCCATCGACTTTTCCTTAGCCTGGGGGGTATTCCGCAACCCCGAGACCCCCCGGTACTACTTTCTGGTCTACAAAGATTTTTAAAAATAATGCAGTAGCGGGGGGTATGGGGGTATAGAATACCCACCAGGCAAACAAAAGAAAGATTCGATGTCCCTCTCTCGAAATTATCATGAAAATGACCAGGTCCCTAAACGTTTTTGGGGGAAAAAGAGGCATTGAGGAGTGTGGAGGTATGGAATATTCTTCGGAAAAGGACTCTTATTTTTAAGAGGTAGCCATCGACTTTTCCTTAGCCTGGGGGGTATTCCACAACCCCGAGACCCCCCGGTACTACTTTCTGGTCTATAAAGATTTTTAAAAATAATGCAGTAGCGGGGTGTATGGGGGTATAGAATATCCACCAGGCAAAAAAAAAGAGTCGATGGCCCTCTCTCGAAATTATCATGAAAATGACCAGGTCCCTAAACGTTTTTAGGGGAAAAAGAGGCATTGAGGAGTGTGGAGGTATGGAATATTCTTCGGAAAAGGACTCTTATTTTTAAGAGGTAGCCATCGACTTTTCCTTAGCCTGGGGGTATTCCACAACCCCGAGACCCCCCGGTACTACTTTCTGGTCTACAAAGATTTTTAAAAATAATGCAGAAGCGGGGGGTATGGGGGTATAGAATACCCACCAGGCAAACAAAAGAAAGATTCGATGTCCCTCTCTCGAAATTATCATGAAAATGACCAGGTCCCTAAACGTTTTTGGGGGAAAAAGAGGCATTGAGGAGTGTGGAGGTATGGAATATTCTTCGGAAAAGGACTCTTATCTTTAAGAGGTAGCCATCGACTTTTCCTTAGCCTGGGGGGTATTCCACACCCCGAGACCCCCCGGTACTACTTTCTGGTCTATAAAGATTTTTAAAAATAATGCAGTAGCGGGGTGTATGGGGGTATAGAATATCCACCAGGCAAAAAAAAAAGATTCGATGTCCCTCTCTCGAAATTATCATGAAAATGACCAGGTCCCTAAACGTTTTTAGGGGAAAAAGAGGCATTGAGGAGTGTGGAGGTATGGAATATTCTTCGGAAAAGGACTCTTATTTTTAAGAGGTAGCCATCGACTTTTCCTTAGCCTGGGGGTATTCCACAACCCCGAGACCCCCCGGTACTACTTTCTGGTCTACAAAGATTTTTAAAAATAATGCAGTAAGCGGGGGGTATGGGGGTATAGAATACCCACCAGGCAAACAAAAGAAAGATTCGATGTCCCTCTCTCGAAATTATCATGAAAATGACCAGGTCCCTAAACGTTTTTGGGGGAAAAAGAGGCATTGAGGAGTGTGGAGGTATGGAATATTCTTCAGAAAAGGACCCTTATCGACTTTCCCCCCCAGACCTCCCGGTACTACTTTTTGTTGTGTTTTGGTCTCTAAAGATTTTTAGAATGAGGCACGGGGATATAGAGTATCCCCCAGGAAAACAAAAGAAAAGGTCGATTGTCCTCTCTCGAAATTATCGTGAAGTGACGAGGTACCTACACTTTTTGGAAGGGAAACGTAGCACCGCGGAATCTGGAGGTATGGAATATTCCCCAGAAAAGAAGAAATGGAATACCCCCTGGCAAACAAAAGAAAGATCGATAACTTAAAAAGCTTGCATACATTTTCATGTGCACTTAAAAGGCGGCCTGTGCTCCCTGTAAACAAAATCAAACAGGAAATAGACGTGTTTCATGTACAGGGTGTGTAACAGGTGCTCGCTGCAGGCTTAGATTTGATTTCGAATTTACAAATTTGCTTGTATAGGAAATTTTATGCGTGTGCCGTTTTATAATGAAAAAGAAAAATGCAACTGAAGCGCTTTCAGATACGAAGCGAGTGTGCAAGCAGATAAGACTCAAGACGCCACAGTGTTTCCGGTTCTAAAGGCTTTACATGTATAAAAAAACGTCAACGAAGCTTGGCTACTATATTAGGAAAAATTGGGTGGGAGAGAGAGATTCTTAACCAAACCTTCAAGGCGAACCTATGTAAGTCTGAGCGCTTCATTTTCGAACGCTCAACATTCATTTTCAACTGTAAGTTACAAGACGAATTCGAATAATCGAGGTATACGGAAGATCTAAACAGTCGCGTAATCGTATGGGAGATTTTTATTGAGAAAATTGAAATTAATTGCCGCATTACAAAGTAAAACTGTGCCGCCAATACGACGAAATTGTCGTGTTTGTGTTTTTTTGTGGAAACATTTTCGAATTTAATTTTATACAGTTCAGGTGTATGTAAAAAGAACGTAAGTACTCAATTATTGTGTGAAGTAACTATTAACCTAAGTAACAGTGGTTTGAATGTTAAGGATTTTGAACCTTGTGCCTAAATTGGAAACCAAGGTAAAGTACGAGGAGTATATTCATTTAATGAATTTATGCGCATAGGTTATAAAGCAGCAAAACGTATTTCGAAGAACGAAAACAGCAACTATTCTGAAGTGTATTTGGGAATTGTAACGCTGTAAAAACTACTTGCGATGGAAGAGGACGACAGAAAGAATAGAAATTAACGATTCTCGTTTTAAGGATTTTAGGAATAAAGTTATTTGAGGTTTTAAGTTTTGGAAGATATGTGAAATACGTTTCAGAACTTGCAAAATTGTTTGAGTTTAATTTTAAAGCTCTCTTGAATAAAATTTTGAGGTTTTAAGATTTGACTCTGTGAAACAATTGAGCCACAGAACTTTTTTTAGTTTTGCTTGAACCCTTTGCATTTGTTCTTTGCAAAAATTTGAAATGCATAATTTCATTTCTTTAAAATGCAGCGCAAGTGCAGAAAAATCCTTTTGGTTCCCTCACACTACCTCCTAAAGTATTCATTCGTTGGGGAAATCCCAGAGCACGACCTTGCACCGCAAAACAAGTCACGTAACCGGAACATCACCAGGTTACAACCTTGGTCAAAAATCCAAGATGGCGGGGGTGCCTAGTTTCTACTTTTGATACTTGGATCATACAAAAAATGTGTAACGTATCAATAAACATCTGCAACTATGTAGATCCTCTAACGAAGTATATTCTCCTGATAATCAAAACTTCTGCCAAAGAATTCGCCAATCAAGATTAGAGATGCGAAAAAAGTGCGAATTTTGTTGGAAAAAGTACTCCTAGTATAATTTTTCTTCCAAAAAATCATCAGGATCACAGAAACGCCCGAAAGTAGGTATAGGTAACTTCTAATTTTAAAAATTATTAATCAGGATCACAGGACATTCACGTTTTCAGAAATTCAAAAACGAAACAAAATCGCACAAAACTATAGAAGCGTTTTCTTAGGGGCATTTTTCGAAAGAAAAAAAATCTCTTTATGTGATAATTTTGTCCGTCTGTCCTTCTATCCGTTTGTTACTCGTCTAATCGAGAACGAAAAAAGAGAGCGATGCCAATCGATTCAGTGCTATTGAATGTGAGCCGCATTAAATGTCTGGTTTCCGAATGATATTGGAAACAAATTCCTACTCTGAAGATCGCATGCGATTCTTCGTATCTTGATGAACAATGTTTTTAGTATGTATCGAATGTCGAATGGTGTAATGAGAGTTGCCTATTGGCTGTCGTGATGAATGTTGTATCTGCTTTGATTATACTCCTTTTTTAGGGTATTGGCCCTGCTTCAACAATGAACTACAAGTAAAAACAATTTGTTCCTATACGGTACTGACATTGATTAATGTATTTTTTTAATGGTGTCGTGAATGTTTATAACAATTACACTAAATTAGACAGAAAAAGTTAAAATTAGATTGTTTTCATTTCTTACCCAAATAGTAGGAGGATTTACGCACAAATTATTTAATTCATGGTCGCACAGTTAAATTTTAACTACCATGTGAGATGGCGCTACTTGCAAGGTATCTAATCGTAGATCATGATAGTAGGCTGTGGTGCATCCTATTTTATAATTGAAAAGGTATTTTTATTTGTTTATTTATTTGCTATAAAACAATTAATTTTGATTTATTACTGAATTGGCTTGGCCCTCTTTGTACCTACCTCAAAAAAGTACCTACAATTTACATACCTGTATTATTAATTTTCATATTTCTTCCATTTTTCAATTCGATTTCAATTTTGGTTTCATTTTCAATGTTATGAATTGTTTATTTACTAAATATTTGCATGTCTTCTGCATTTATAGATCTTTGTCGTAATCCTGAACATTGAAATTTGTCAATTCAACTCAAAATACCGCTAAAGAAGATGATAGTAGAATGAATATAAAATATAATGCCAAGAGGTTTCCCTTGGTCTATGATATACAAGAGGCTAATTGGAAATTTTTTGAATTAGCGTTTGTATTGAATCGTTCTAAAAACATTGTAGAACAATATTGTCGTTTATTATATAAGTAATTTGTTTTCAGTTCAGTTCCAACATCGACGCGTTCTTGTTATGTTATAAATTGTGAGTGATAAATTGTATTTACTGTTATACATTAATCCATTTTAAGACTGTTGTAAATTTATTGTTAATTACCTTGGACACAGAATGCCCCGTACGCACAGTCACGTTGGACTTAACTTAACTTAACCCGCAACAAAATCTAGTTAATAAATTGAGCAAAATTAGTACCAACACAGCGGAACATTGGCATTTTATTCCTGTGCATAGTAATAACTTCGAGGGTTATTTTTCGTGAATTTAAAGCCGATTTACTTAGATTCGCAATACGTATGGACATTTTTGTTTTGCATCACGGAGTCAACTGGACCATCCAAGCGATCTGTTTCCATATTTCTAAAGGAAGCGGCATTCTCCAGGGAGAAGAGCAATTGTAACCTGAAAGGAATCTCATCCATGTCAATTACTGTAAGTTATTTAAAATTTGACCACCCGCACGTTAGTAAGGGAGTTAGAGCATTGGGGTAAAAATGCCCCCTTTTTTTACGGAAATGTATGCGCAGGTGGTATCTGTGCTAACCACAGCAATTTTTTTAATTGTATAAAGTAGTGCTGGATTCTTTTTAGGTATTTGCGTATTTAATTTTGTTCGAAGTAATTTTAATATTCCTAAAGGAATCGACCTGTGAGAATCATTTGCATGAACTTAATTTTGTATTGTACTTATTGATACGAACCAAGGATTTTGTTTCATTGATTGGAAGATGTGCAGTTACAGTTAATTAATTAACACGGAACTATCTGAAGATAGCGAGATACCTAAACGAAATCCCAAGAAACGAAAGAAGTCGAAGTAAGCGAAAGAGGAAGAGAATCATAGAAGGTTTATGAAAATAAAAAAAAAGCTGAGGTATGCGAAGAATCTCGAGGGAGCGAATAAGTTCTAGAAACCTGAGCATTCTGAAGAAACAAGAAAAAAACAGAAAAAGCAATTAAGCAAAGGCCCCACGGAATTTTGAACAAGCCGAGCTAATTCAATGTCTAAAGAATTTGAAGAATTAAAGTTTCCAACGCCGGAGAAGTGTCTCATGAGATGTCAGAGGAAGCCAAACAACTGGGTAATTTAAAGCCGCTTTGTTTAGATTCGCAATGCGTATGGACATTTTTGTTCTGCATCACGGAGTCAACTGGACCATCCAAGCGATCTGTTTCCATATTTCTAAAGGAAGCGGCATTCTCCAGGGAGAAGAGCAATAAAATTGTAACCTGAAAGGAATCTCATCCATGCCAATTACTGTAAGTTATTTAAAATTTTGACCACCCGCACGTTAGTAAGGGAGTTAGAGCATTGGGGTAAAAATGCCCCCTTTTTTTACGGAAATGTATGCGCAGGTGGTATCTGTGCTAACCACAGCAATTTTTTTTAATTGTATAAAGTAGTGCTCGATTCTTTTTAGGAATTTGCATATTAATTTTGTTCGAAGTAATTTTAATATTCCTAAAGGAATCGACCTGTGAGAAACATTTGCATGAACAAATTATATATTGTACTTATTGATACGAATCGAATCCAAACCAAGGATTTTGTTTCATTGATTGGAAGATGTGCAGTTACAGTTAAATAATTAACACGGAAGTAGATAGCGAGATACCTAAACGAAATCCCAAGAAACGAAAGAAGTAGAAGCAAGCGAAAGAGGAAGAAAATCATAGAAGGTTTATGAAAATAAAAAAAAAGCTGAGGTATGCGAAGAATCTCGAGGGAGCGAATAAGTTCTAGAAACCTGAGCATTCTGAAGAAACAAGAAAAAAACATAGAAAGCAATGAAGCAAAGGCCCCACGGAATTTTGAACAAGCCGAGCTAATTCAATGTTTAAAGAATTTGAAGAATTAAAGTTTCCAACGCCGGAGAAGTGTCTCATGAGATGTCAGAGGAAGCCAAACAACTGAGTAACTCAAGAAAATCGAGTACTCTGTGGAAGAAGTCCAAGAAATCGAACACTTCAAAACAACCGAAGTGAGGAAAGTTAGAGAAACTAAGAGACCCGAGAGAGATGAAGAGTCAGCGGAAGGGGATAGAAACTAAGGTAAAGCAATAAGACCTTCAATCTATAAATAGTTTTATACTTATCTTGAGGTTGATTAGACAGGATTTGCCAAACTTGTTTGGACACTGGTGATGACCTTTAGGCCACCCTACTCGATAATCCAAGTTCAATGATAATGGAAACAACAATCGCAGTTACAGTCGATTATTCATAGGATCTAGCTGTAAGTACATCTGAACTTTTAATTAACCGAACCCGTCTTCCAGCTTCAAGATGTGGATCACCCTCCTGATATACATTGTCACTTTCGCAATTGCGATTGTCGCGTACTTCAAATGGTCTTTTGGTTACTGGAAGAAGCTGGGCGTTCCGTACCTGGAATCGAGCATCCCCTTCGGCACCATGAATAACCCGTTGACTTTATCGGAGTCGATTGCCGACAATGTTGCTCGTCAGTACAAGGAGAGCAAGGCGTTGGGGTACAAGTATGTGGGGCTGTACGGGCTGACGATGCCACAATTCATGGTCATCGACCCTGAACTACTCAAATGCGTGATGATCAAGGACTTCCACCACTTCACCGACCGCGGCTTCTACTTCAACGAGAAAGACGATCCCCTAAGCGCCCACTTGTTCACGCTGACCGGTCAAAAGTGGAGGAGACTAAGGGCGAAACTTACCCCGACGTTTACGTCGGCCAAAATGAGGACGATGAACGAGTTTGTAGTCGCCTGCGGGTACCAGCTCAGGGACGCTCTGGGAGTGAGGTGCACGCAGGGTCCTATCGAGATCAAGGATCTTCTGGAGCGCTACACCACCAACATCATCGGAAGTTGCGCGTTTGGCATCGAGTGCAACAGTTTCACGGATCCTAACAACGAGTTCTGCATGTGGACCAGGAAGCAGTTCCATCCGACGGCGTTTCAGAACTTCAAGATGTTCATCTCCTTCATGTTTCCTGGCTTCGCCGAGATGATACGCATGAAGGTTGTCACCGATGGTGTCACCAACTTCTTCATGAAAACGGTCCGGGAGTCGATAGCACTCAGACGAAAAACTGGGCAGGTGCGTAACGACTTTCTTCAAATACTGATCGGATTGATGGAGGAGAGCGACGGAATGACACTGGAGGAGGTCGCCGCTCAGGCCTTCCTCTTTTTCCTCGCCGGCTTTGAAACGTCCTCGAGCACGATGAGCTTCTGCCTCTACGAACTGTCTTTAAATCCCGACATCCAGCAAAGAGTACGCGATGAGATCAACGCGGTTCTCAAGAAGTACAACGGCGAGATCACCTACGACAGCCTGAGGGAGCTGGAGTACATGAGTTGCGTCATCGATGGTACGTGAGGTAAAGGTTTCTCTACAATTAATCTTTTGCGCCTTGCAGAGGTTTTGAGAAAGTACCCACCGGTGCCGATTTTGAACCGGAAGTGCGTGTCGGACTACAAGCTCCCAAATACCGACATCACAATCAAAAAGGGCGTTAACCTGGTAATTCCACTGATCGGATTACAAAGAGATCCCGACTACTTCCCCAATCCGGATAAGTTCGATCCCGAAAGGTTCAACAAGAAAAACGTCGAGAAGGTCACGCCGTTTTCTTATATGCCGTTTGGGGAAGGACTTCGAATTTGTCTAGGTAAGCCGATTGGTAACCATCGGATTGATCTTGAGGTCGGGGGGTTATCTCCTGATATTGAGACGATGTTTTTTTTGAAACTGCTTGATTTTAGGACTTCGATTCGGTTTGATGCAGACGAAGATTGGCTTGCTACTCATGTTGAAGAACTTCAAGTTCACGTTGAGCGACAAAACCGCGACGCCGATAGAGCTCAATCCAATTTGCTTCGTTCTCTCCGTGCAAGGGGGAATTTGGTTGAATGCCGAAAAAGTTGCGCAATGAGCGCAGTTTATTAGCTTTAAGTCGTTACCATAGAGATGTGAACGTGTGGCTAAACTTTGGATTTTGAAATATACCCGAACTGGTGCACATTACCCAAAAAAATTAAAAAATTTCCCCGTATTTTTCAAAGAAAATATTCAATTTCCCAAAAAATCAAAACCGATTCCAATGTTGGAAATGGGGAAGGATTCCGAATGAGTATCCAAAAAAATCGATTTAAAGCTTAAAAATATCTTCAGATTCATGTTCCCCTGCTCCACCCTGGAATATTAAAAGCAACAATTCTTCTCTTCTCTCATTATGAGCACATTCTCATATTCTGCAGACACAAAAGTCAAAATAACGTCCGGGAATATTATATCTCCTGACCTTCTCGTGATTTATGTTTTCCTGGTAAAGGTCTAATTGAAGGATACGCGTGAATATATAAAGAACCTCCTAGTCCTGGTAGTCAAAAACAATTTGCAAAAATTTTCTGGAAGATATTGGGTGTATTACCTCCTCGCGCATTATTACTACTGATTACAAACGTTGTAAAAGTCTAGATAAAAGCGGGGTGAAGGAATACTTATCTGGAGTATAGAAAAAAGCCTTCCCAAGGTTCATGTTTTCCTGGTATCCAGGCAAAAAGATAAAAACTCGGAGCAGAAACACCTCCTCCCGCCATATAATCTTCTGACATAACTATATACGAAAAATTCTTGGAAAAATAACGACTTGAACACAGAAAAGTATCACCCAATCAATGGGACCACGTACGCTCACGATAAGATAAAAAAAATGAATAAAAACTTCGTGTGTTAGGAGCAGATATGCCTCCTCGCGCGTTATATTCTCATGCTACAAGAGATTAGTCAAAAATAAAGCCTTATCATGATCTCCTGCTAGGCAGAAAAAAGTTTTCTTACAGGAAGCCCTATTATTAGGACTAATTAAATACCTCCTCGGTTGTTAAATTCTCTTGATACATGCGCTGTAAAGATCTAAGTGAAAAAATCCATTATTTTTCCTAGTAGCTAGCAATTCCCATAAGAATTCCGTGTAATACAAACATCGGGCATCATACACTCCTGATACTATGGAACATTTGTTTTGAGCATGGAAAATGATCTCATCGATTATGTTGTCCTGGTATCCAGAGAAAACTTGCTCGACATTTCACAATAGGAACAGAAGCACTCTCCTGTTATATTGTAAAATTCTCCTGATGCAGAAGATTAGATCGAAAATAAAGCTCCTGTTTTGTTCATAAAAGAGACCCGCTCGTAGATTATGCTTCTCTAGTCAAAGTTTAGATAAAGATAATGTGTTGTCTTGAGCGTATTATATTGTCTTGATGCATTGAAAAAATTTGACATTTTCTGTGCTCCTGGTAACAAAAAAATATTACCGGTAAAAGTTTCAGTAAAAGAGTAAAAGAGCATAGGGAAAAACTTCTTTGTCGATTACATAGTCTCGGTAGCTCCTTATAAAAATTGTTGCAGGCTTTCTATATGTATATTAGGAGCAGAAGCACCTCCTCGCACATTGTATCCCCGTGAAACCAGGTTTAAGGTGTTTTTGGTGGTTTTGTTTTGAACCCCGTGGACTGTGTTGTTCTGGAAGCCAGAGAAAATATACCAAGCCTCTTCCGTATATTAGAAGCAGAAACACCTCCTCGAAACTTATATTCTCCTTACACAAAAGTTGAAAATACCGACTTGGCATGTTTCACTTGAGCCTGGAAAGGTTTCTCCTAATCAAGTACTTTCTCTAGTTGTCCGAGGAGATTCACAACACTTCCAATACAAACTCCGTTCATTAGGAGCGCAGAAACACTCCCTCTCACATTATATTCTCCTAATATAAAGGTAACAATTAATTTCTTTAGCATAGATACTAAGTTGGGACTTCTTCCCTGTAAAGATCTGTGTCCCCTATTCTGGCAATGGCGTGCGTGTCCATACCATGGAATATCCCCTACCAAAGGATGAATGAATGACCATTTCTGGAAAGTTGTACTAAAAGTAAAGAAGGACTCGATAACCTTTTCCCTATAACTCGCACTTCCCTCATGACAGTTTTCTTGAAATGAAGCACCATAGTGTATTATGCTCGGGGGTATTACCTGGAGGGTTTTCCATACCCCACGGCAACACTATTTTTCCACAAATCCTTTCGTCTGCAAGAATCCTCACGGTAGGTTTTGGGAGAAAACACAAGAAGTACTTGAGATACCGTAGCACCGGAGGGTCTGAGGGCTAGGGAATACTCCTCAATCCATACATCCCATCAAAAGAAGATTGAATGACCGAAAAATGATAAGAATTACTTTATAGCCCTTTCCCTATAACCCGTACTATTATCCCCTGGCAGTTTTCTGGAAGTGAGAACAGCACTGGCATATAAAATTCTGGGAGGGGGAGTGGGTGTTGGAATCCCCCCCCCCCCAGTAACATCCTTTCCTCCTAAGAAGTACTGCAAATAATTTAGCACCGGGGGGCTCTGAGGAGTATGGAATACCTCCCAGCAAAGGTAGATTGAATGATCATTTCTAGGAAATTTTACTAAATTAACCCCTATTACCCGTACTACCCTCACGAAACTTTTCTTGAAATGACAAGAGCACTATCATATAACATGCTGGGGGGTATTAACATGGGGGTATGAGTAGATACAGAAGGTCGATTCTGGACCGTTCAAGGTCACCTGGTGGTCAAGTAGGTCAAGGTCACTCGTCACCTGGTGGTTACCTTCTAAAGTCGGTCAAGGTCATGTGAATGTGATCGTGAAAATTCGAGATCACTAACTCAATTTTTTGGGGTGTAAAATCACAGTCGCACGGTCATCACCTGAGGTCACGGTCATCACCTGAGGTCGCTGACCTCATATTTTTTGGGGGTGTCAAATTTCATTCTCATGTTCATCCTAGGTCATTGACCCCAGTGAAGATCATCCAAAGTCACTGTGCACTGTGTAATTGTTGTCAACTTTTTTATTCTTCTTGGTTCTATGTATTTACATGAACTTATCAAAATAGTCTACCATAAAGATGATAGTGAAATACTCGTCTATAACTTTTGATTGAGAAGTCTGATCGAAAAAGTACGAATTGATTTAGATTCTACGCACCCAAATTAATAAGAAAAAGTGTTTTCCCGAGAAATTTTGGTGTAGTCGATTTTTGGTAAAAAAGGAAGGTTATACACTGCCTTTTTTGAGCCCCGAAAAAAAAATTGTCTCAGATCGACCCGGAAAAAAAATTTTTCTTATAGAATGTGGCCTGTAGAATCCATAATTTCAAACAGTTCCAAGATTGGGCTACTAGTTCAAAAGTTACAGCCCTTTGAATTTTTTTTCGAAATTGGTTTCTAGTCTATAACTTTTGATTGAGAAGTCTGATCGAAAAAGTACGAATTGATTTGGATTCTACGCACCCAAATTAATAAGAAACAGTGTTTTCCCGAGAAATTTTGGTGTAGTCGATTTTTGGTAAAAAAGGAAGGTTATACACTGCCTTTTTTTGAGCCCCGAAAAAAAAATTGTCTCAGATCGACCCGGAAAAAAAATTTTCTTATAGAATGTGGCCTGTAGAATCCATAATTTCAAACAGTTCCAAGATTGGGCTACTAGTTCAAAAGTTACAGCCCTTTGAATTTTTTTTCGAAATTGGTTTCTAGTCTATAACTTTTGATTGAGAAGTCTGATCGAAAAAGTACGAATTGATTTGGATTCTACGCACCCAAATTAATAAGAAAAAGTGTTTTCGCGAGAAATTTTGGTGTAGTCGATTTTTGGTAAAAAAGGAAGGTTATTCACTGCCTTTTTTTGAGCCCCGAAAAAAAACTTGTATCAGTTCGACCCGGAAAAAAAAATTTCTGATAGAATGTGGCCTGTAGAATCCATAATTTAAAACAGTTCCAAGATTGGGCTACGAGTTCAAAAGTTACAGCCCTTTGAATTTTTTTTCGAAATTGGTTTCTAGTCTATAACTTTTGATTGAGAAGTCTGATCGAAAAAGTACGAATTGATTTGGATTCTACGCACTCAAATTAATAAGAAAAAGTGTTTTCCCGAGAAATTTTGGTGTAGTCGATTTTTGGTAAAAAAGGAAGGTTATACACTGCCTTTTTTTGAGCCCCGAAACAAAAATTGTCTCAGATCGACCCGAAAAAAAAATTTTCTTATAGAATGTGGCCTGTAGAATCCATAATTTCAAACAGTTCCAAGATTGGGCTACTAGTTCAAAAGTTACAGCCCTTTGAATTTTTTTTTTCGAAATTGGTTTCTAGTCTATAACTTTTGATTGAGAAGTCTGATCGAAAAAGTACGAATTGATTTGGATTCTACGCATCCAAATTAATAAGAAAAAGTGTTTTCGCGAGAAATTTTGGTGTAGTCGATTTTTGGTAAAAAAGGAAGGTTATATATACACTGCCTTTTTTTGAGCCCCGAAAAAAAAATAGTCTCAGATCGACCCGCAAAAAAAATTTTCTGATAGAATGTGGCCTTTAGAATCCATAATTTCAAACAGTTCCAAGATTGGGTTACTAGTTCAAAAGTTACAGCCCTTTGAATTTTTTTTCGAAATTGGTTTCTAGTCTATGTGAAATATGTTACAATAAACGATAAATTTTCATGTTTATTTTTGTGTATATGCATTAGAATTAAATTTTGATTCCAAATTTCATATTAAAAGTCATCCAAGGTCAATGCTACTGCCCCATATTTTGTGGTGTCAAATTAGAATTTCAAGGTCATCCTAGATCATTAGCACCATAAATTTTCAAGTTCATCGGAGGCCATTGCCCCCTTTTTGTTATGACAAATTACATGTTCAAGGTCATTCGAGGTCATTGGCTCCATACAGATTCAAGGCCATCCGTGATCATTGACTTCTTTTTATGGCGTTAAATTACATGTTCAAGATCAGCTGAAGCCATTGACCCCATAAATTTCCAAGGTCATTCGAGGGTATCGAACCAATTAGTTGAAGTGACAAATTCCATTTTGAAGGTCAACTCAGGGAATTGACCCCACAAATTTTGAAGGTCATCCGAGAGCACTGGCCCATTTATTTGAAGTGTCCAATTCCATTTTCAGGGTCATCCGTGGCCATTGACTCCATAAATTTTCAAGGTCATCCGAAGGCATTGACCCCATAAATTTTTAAGGCCACCCGGGAGCATTGGCTTTTTTGGTCATCCGAGGTCATTCACTCCATAAATGTTCAAGGTCGTCAGATGGCATTGGTCTCATTTCTCGGGGGTATCAAATTACATTTTCAGGGTTATATGACCTCATAAATTTTCAAGGACATCTCAGGTTATTACCCCATTTTTTGTGGTGCCGAATTACATTTTCAATGTCGTCCGAAGTCCATATCCCCATTCATATTCAGGGTCATCAGAGGTCATTGACCCTATTTCTTGGGGTCTCAAATTACATTTTCATGGTAGTACGAGGTCATCGAGCCCATACCCCCCGGTAACACTTTCTTCCACAAAACCTCCTCCCTGTAGGGGATATGAAATAACCTTCAGGAAAGGAAGATTGAATGACTATTTCCGAAAAATAATACAAAAAGCAAGGAAGGACATTTTTCATATAATCCCTTACTACCCCTAATGTCATTTTCTGGCAATTTTAATAGAACTACCGTATAATATGCTGGGGGAGAGGGGATTCTATACCGCCAAAACCCCCCGGTAATACTTTCTGTCTTAAACCCTTTAACCTACAAGAATCTCATGGTAGGTTTTGGAAAAAATATCAGATCCTCTCCTCCTAAGAAGTACTGTAGATAACGTAGCACCGGGGGATGTGGGGGTTATGGAATACCCCTCATCAAAGGAAGATTGAATAATAATTTGCCAAAAATGTTGTTAAAAGCAAAGAAGGATCGATAACCCTTGACTACTCCCTAATCGCAGTTTTCTGGAAATTACAATAGAGGGGGAGGGGGGGGGGATTATTCCATTCCCTCAAATGAGCCCATTTTTTGCGGTCATATTCTACTTTCAGTCCCATCAGTGGTTAATAACCTCATTTTTGGTCATTTTCAGGATTATCAAAGCTCAATGACCTCTTTTTGCGATGCCATATTGTAGTTTCTTGCGGTGACCTTGGAAAATAGGCCAAGCTGACGTTCAAAGGTCGCCTGCCACATGTCGGTGACGTTGGAAAGTAGATTAAGATGAAGGTGAAAAATTGCTTCAAGGTCATCGGAGGTCAATGGTCCCGCTTTTTTAGTTATAAATGAGATTAAAGGTTACTCGTCAAGGTTAAAGTGAAGGTTGACCGGTAGTAGGAAGAAAGAAGTAGCTTTGAACTTGCTTAGTGGAGGGAAGGGGTCCGTTAACTTGGCCCCCCCACTGAGAGATTTCATAGTCGTATTATTTTGAAATGAATGCGCTCGTTATGCGCTCATATGCGCCACCGATAATAACTCTTGCGCCATTATCGTTTTTTAGAAATCCGAAAAAACATTTGGGGGGGCCAAGTGAACGTAGCCCCCCCCCCCCAGTACGTATTTTGTCCCTTGTAACTAGGTCACCTGATACATTTGGTTATGCGCTCAATTGCGCCACTTGAATTAAAGCTAGCGCCATTACGGTTAAGCCGTGACAAATTTTCAAAAAGTGGGGGGGCCAACTTAACGTTTTTAAAAGTTACTTTTTTTTAACATCTTTTCATACGAAATTGTACTCTCAGGTATGCGCTGAAATGCGCCGTAAAAAGATATCTTTGCGCCATTATTGTTTTTTGGATATCCTTAAATATATTTGGGGGGGGCCAAGTGAACGGAATCCCCCATAACGCATTTTGCTACCGGTATTTGTGCCACTTGATACATCTGGTTATGAGCTCAATTGCGCCACTTGAATTAAAGCTAGCGCCATTACGGTTAAGCCATAAAAAAATTTTAAAAAGTGGGGGGGGCTAACTTAACGTTTTCAAAAGTTACGTTTTTTAACATGTTTTTTCTACTACATCGTACCTTTCATCATGCGCTAAAATGCGCCGTAAACAAAAATCTTGGCGCCATTATAGTGTTTCAGAAACACTATACAGGGTGTTTTTTTGGGAGCTTTAGTTAAACGATTCTGAGAAAGTAAAATAGGTAGGTTTTTAAAAATTTGTATTTAGGAGTTACTCCGAAGGCCGAATCGATGTAAAATATTTTCAAAATGGACGCACTTCCGGAAATAACTTTTGAAAACGCTAAGTTAGACCCTCCACTTTTTAAAAATTTCTTATGGCTTAACCGTAATGGCGCTAGCTTTAATTCAAGTGGCGCAATTGAGCTCATAACCAGATGTATCAAGTGGCACAAATACCGGTAGCAAAATGCGTTATGGGGGATTCCGTTCACTTGGCCCCCCCCAAATATATTTAAGGATAACCAAAAAACAATAATGGCGCAAAGATATCTTTTTACGGCGCATTTCAGCGCATACCTGAGAGTACAATTTCGTATGAAAAGATGTTAAAAAAAAGTAACTTTTAAAAACGTTAAGTTGGCCCCCCCACTTTTTGAAAATTTGTCACGGCTTAACCGTAATGGCGCTAGCTTTAATTCAAGTGGCGCAATTGAGCGCATAACCAAATGTATCAGGTGACCTAGTTACAAGGGACAAAATACGTACTGGGGGGGGGGGGGCTACGTTCACTTGGCCCCCCAAATGTTTTTTCGGATTTCTAAAAAACGATAATGGCGCAAGAGTTATTATCGGTGGCGCATATGAGCGCATAACGAGCGCATTCATTTCAAAATAATACGACTATGAAATCTCTCAGTGGGGGGGGGGGGCCAAGTTAACGGACCCGGAGGGAAGTAGCGATTATAAACTCAGTTTAAAGTTTACAGTCCAAAGTTTGCTCGCCGTTCAAAGTTCAAAGTCGATGGCTGTACTGGTTTTTGGAGAAAATCGAGAATGCACGAGGTAGCAGAAGGTAGAAGGAGGTAACAACGGGGGGGGGGGGGGGGGGGCGAGGGGAGAGAAGATAGAAATGAGAACTGGAGGACAGAAAATATTTAACCGGAGATGTACAGAGGTGGAAAGGACATGGGAAAGCAGGAAAGAAATACTAGTCGAGGGGGGAAGAAGAGAAAAATGGACGATTAAACACATAATTTATTTGCGCTTGCGCATGTTAAGTAAGTCTACTAAGTAATCTAGAAGTAACTAAACAGCAATCCTTTCAGCTTTCAACCAAATCCCTCCTTTCACAGACAGAACAAAGCAATTGGGATTGAACCGAATTGGATTTTCGGTTCGGTCGCTCAACGTGAATTTGAAATTCTTCAGCATGAGCATTAGACCTATCTTGGTCTGCATCAAACCGAATCGGAGTCCTACAAAAACTTCCAAAAACACATACCGAAATTATTATTTCGCTTACCTAGACATATACGATTCCCTTCTCCAAATGGCATATAACAAAATGGGGGCACCTTCGCGATGTTAGCCTTGTTAAACCTCTCGGGATCGAACTTTTCCGGGTCGGGAAAGTAATCGGGGTCCCTTTGCATCCCAATTAATGGAATCACAATGTCCAAGCCTTTCCTAATTGGAATGTTGGTGTCTGGTAGGGCGTACTCCGACACGCACCTACGGTTCAAAGTTGGTACCGGTGGGTACTTCCTCAAAACCTCTGCAGGACGCAAAGGATTAACTGTAGACAAACCTTAACCTCACTTACCATTGATGACGCAGCTCATGTACTCCAACTCCTTCAGGCTGTCGTAGGCGATCTCGCCATTGTATTTCTTAAGAACCGCGTTGGCTTCATCGCGTACCTTCTGCTGGATGTCAGAGTTTAAAGACAGTTCGTACAGGCAGAAGCTCATGGTACTGGAAGACGTTTCAAAACCGGCGAGGAAAAAGAGAAAGGCTTGGGCGACAACTTCCTCAAACGTCATCGCGTCCTCCCCCTCCATCAATCCGATGAGAATTTGAAGAAAGTCGTTACGAACCTGTCCAGTTCTCCGTCTCAGCTCTATCGACTCCCTCACAGTTTTCATGAAGAACTTTGAGACACCTTCGGGGGTAACCTTCAGTCCGATTGAGTGGGAGAACCCGGGAAACACAAAGGAGATGAACATCTTAATGCTTTGAAAGGTCGCAGGGTGGAACTGCTGACTGGTCCACATGCAGAATTCGCTGTTGGGGTCCGTGAAACTGTTACACTCGATGCCAAACGCGCAACTTCCGATGATGTTGGTGGTGTAGCGCTCGAGGATGTCCTTGATGTCGATTGGTCCTTGCGCGCACCTCTCCGCAATCGCATCTCTGAGCTGGTGCGCACACGCCACCACGAGTTCGTTCATGGTCTTCATTTTGGCGGACGTAAAAGTTGGGGTCAGTTTCGCCCTTAGCCTCCTCCACTTCTGACCGGTCAGCGTAAACAAATGCGCGCTCAGCGGGTCCTCCTTTTCGTTGCTGTAGAAGCCGCGGTCGGTGAAGTGTTGGAAGTCTCTGATTAATACCGCTTTTACTAGCTCGGGATCTAGTAGCATCAGTTGCGGGGTTATCATCCCGAATAGTCCGACATACTTGTACCCCAAAGCCTTGCTCTCTTTGTACTGGCGAGCTACTCCGTCGGCGATCGATTCCACTAAGGCGAACGGGTTACTCAATGTACCGAAAGGTATGCTGCACTCCAGATAAGGAACGCCCAGTTTCCTCCAATAACCAAATGACCATTTGAAGTACGCAACGAGCGCGATCGCGAAGGTTGCGATGTACACCAGGAGGGTGATCCACATTTTGAAGCTGAAAAACGATTTGATTTTTTAAATTTTTTCAAAGGCAGTTGAGGGAATTGAAGAAACTTGAAGTAATCTCGAAAAACTCGAAGGAACATAAATAATTTGACGTTTGAAGAGACCCAAAGAAGAGGAACACAAGAGCTCAAAAAAGAAACCGAAGAAAGAGTCTTCAACTTGCAGCACGAAGAAGAACTGATAATATAACCCGAAAAAGCTTGAAGAACATTGAGGATCCCTAAAACAGCTTGATGTACACCAAGGAACCATGGAATATCGAAGAAACTTGAAGAAGATTTAGGAATCTTGAAGCAGATTGAAAAAATCCGAAGTGCTTATGAACCTGGAGTTTGATGTAGCTTACTGGAAAAACTGAGTAACCTTGAAGTAACTTGATCAAAATCCCAAAGCATGTGGAAACTTAAAGCAGATTCAAGGAACTTGAAGGAACTATTGATGAATAGTTAGTAGGACGTGTCTAAATAACAGTCAAACGACCTGTCAAATATTTAATTTTGAAGACACGATGTTTTGGTATCTTATACTAAAATTTGTTATTTATCTTACTTAGATAAACTAAATGTGTAAACTACAAAATATAAAAATATCTTTGTCATGAAAGTCATCGTAAATCACCTCTCATCTTTGTCCGACAACAATGAGAATGAGTCTTTCATTTCATAAAGGGGATAACTTAACATACCAACAACCCTTAAATTTCAACTTTTTAAATGGTGTGCGGCTCATATGAAATACTGACTCGATGTGATTGTTAAATTGTTAATAGTTACCTTAGTAAGTTAGTGATATGTGAAGTGCGGTTTCTGGGAGTTAAACACTGAAACTACGGGACCAAGTTGGTTATCATCCATTTGCTTTACTTCCCCACTCCAAAAGCAGCTATGACGCGTTCGCCATGTAGCCTACGTTACTGTTGTTATAGACATTGTAAAAAATGATAGAGCAATAAAATTTATTTTCCAAATAAGGTTTAATTCTTTTCACACCTTGTATACCCCCCCCCCCCCAAATTACTTTCATTGCTATACTTTTTGGTAGTTTGTCCACTGTATTTCTGACTATTATCAAAATAGCCTAGTTTTTCTCACTCTGCTAGCTCTTCAGGAGTAGTATGTGGCGACACCAATGCCGCCACCCCACCGGTTTTGTCGCTTGTGGTGGCGGGCCCCAGTAACATACCAAATGAGCGATCTTCTGTGTTTTTTTCGGTAAATATTTTCGAGTTTAATTTTATACATTTCAAGTCACCCAAAATACACAAACGAAAGATAAGATAATTGTTACAGAGATGATGAAGGATAATGGCTCCTGTACCACTTCTTCAAAACTTCAAGGTTTTAATTTTAGGAAGATATTTGAAGTACGTTTCAGAAGGTGGTGGGTGCTCCCTCGAAGTTATCGGGAAAGTGAGAAGTTCTCTAAACTTTTTGGGCGACAAAAGTAGCAATGGGGAGTGTGCAGCGAGCGGAATAATATTCAGAAGAAAGTAATCGAATTCTCCCTTACTCCCAAGACCACCCGGTACTACTTTCCATTGTGTTGTGGTCGCTAACGATATTTAAGGGTAAAAAGGGAGTATCGGGGAGTTTAGGGGATTAGGAAAATTCAGGGGAAACTTTGATGACCTTCTCGTAAAAATAAGAATCCTCTGCGGGGAATATTCCGCACATTCCAGACTCCACGGTGCTACTTGTTCCCTTCAAAACCTTTAGGCATATCGTCACTTTCATGATAATTTTGAGAAAGGACCATCGAATCCTTGCTTCGCTTATTTGGGGGGGTATTCCATGCCCCCCAATCCCCTCTGCCTTAGCCTTAAAAATCTCCCCCTCCCCCCTCCTTGAAAGTGACGTGGTCTCTAAACATGCTGGTTGAAAATTTAGCATTGGGGTGTATGTAATATTTCAAAGAAGAGGGCCCATATTTTTAGAGGCAGGCCATCGACTTTCTCTTTGCCGGGGGGTGGGGAGCAATACCACCCAGACCGTCTCCACCCGGTATTCCTTGCTGTTATGCTGTGGCCTCTAAAAAATTTTTAAGAATAATAAAGCAGTATAGGAAGGTCTGGGGGCTTTGGAAAATTCGATGGATTAAAAAAAAATAAAAATATCCTCCGGGTATACCGTACGGAATCACCCCCCCCTTCGGCAAATGAAGGGAGGACTCCCTCAAAATTATAATGAAAGTGGCGAGATCCCTAAACATTTGGAAGAGAAAGTAACACCGAGGAGTTTGGAGTTTATGGAATATTCCACAGAAGAGAATTATTAATTTTTAAAGAGAATTCCAATTTTCATACACCCCCCCCCCCTCTAAACTCCCCGGTATACTGCCTTATTATACCTACTTAAAAATCTTTAAAGACAACAGAAAAAAGTACCGGGGGGTCTGGATGGTATAGTCAGCCTCCCAGGCAAAGGAAAAATCGATGGCCTTCTCTTAAAAATAAGAGTCCTCTTCTGGGGAATATTCCATATACTTCCGGCTCCCCCGTGTTACTCCCCTTCTACACTGTTTCACCCAGAATGTTTAGAAACCTCGTTACCTTCATGATAATTTTGCGGAGGGAATTATTAGAATCTTCCTTTTCTTTGTGGTGGGGGGGGGGGGGGGGGGAGGATTACCAACGAATTTTTCATACCCCCCAGTACTGCCTTATCACCCTTACAAATCTTTAGGGGCCAGAACACAACACCCGTGGCTCTGGGTCCCCCAGGCAAAAGAAAACTCGATGACCTTTTCCTCAGTGTAGTGCCGGAAGGTCTGGGGAGTATGGAATACCCCCCAGACAAACGAAAGAGGGATTAGATTGTCTTCTCTCAAAACTATCATGAAAGCGACGAGATACCTAAACGTGTTGGGTGAAACAATAGCATCGGGAAGTCTGGAGGAGAAAGAGGATTATTATTACTTTCCGTACCCTTCGGTACTGCCTTATTATCCTTCAAAATCTTTAAAAACCACAACACAATAGAACTAAGTACCGGGGGTCTAGATGGTACAGTCAACCCCCACGGATTCGATGGTCCTCCCTCAATATTATATGAAAGTGCTTTGGAGGGAAAAAGAAGTAAATCTCCCAGAGCTTCTTTAAAAATAAGGGTCCTCTCCCACGATCTCCCTGCTGCTACTTTCTTCACCAAAATGCAACTGTCTTGTTAATTTCAAAGTGGAAGAGGAGTATTGAATCTGGATGGTATAGCCCCCCCCCCCCCGGCAAAAAGTTCGATGGCCTTCCCTTAAAAATATGAGTCGTTTTCTGCGGAATATTACATACACTCCAGACTCCTCGGTACTATTTTTTTCGCCCAAAATGGTTAGACACTTGGTCATTTATATGATAATTTCAAAGGGGGGGGGGGGGTAAATATTTCTTTTGTTTGTCTGGGGAGGGGGGGTTCCACACCTCCTCAGACCACATGGTACTATACTGTATTCATTTTAAGAAGGTAGCGGTAGAGAGCATAGGGAAACTTTGACCTTCACTGTGATTGGTTAAAACATAAGACAGTATTACAATGAAACATAAAACGACTGGTGAATTTTGTAAGGTGGTAGTTTATGTTGCCAACTAAACTGCCGAAGTGTCATTAGCTGTTGTAATCAAAGGTTTATTTCTGTTCGCAGTGCTGAATATTTCTACTTTACAATAATTTGGTGCCGTTTTATATTTTTCCTGTGTGTGTTTATCTTCAAACACAGCGCCATCTACTAATTTCTTATAATGAATGCAGTATAGGTATTTTCTGTTGTGCATTGTTCTCTAATGGTACCGAGAGGTCTGGGGGTACGAAAAACCCCCCAAGCAAACGGAGCAAGGATTCGATGGTTCTTCCTCAAAATTATCATGAAAGTGACGATATCCTTAAACGTTTTGGAGGGAGGGACCAAGTAGCACTGTGGAGTCTGGTGTGTATGGAATATTCCCCGCAGGGGATTCTTATTTTTACCATCGAATTTTCCTCATCCCCCAGATCCCCCTGTACTACCTTGCCCTTAAATATTTGTAGAGGTCATTACACAACGGAAAGTAGTACCGTGGGGTCTGGTTCTGCAATACCTCCCAAGTAAATTTTATAAAATTCAATGCCCCCCCCCCCCGGCCTTCAAATTATCGCGAAAGTGACGAGGTCTCTAAACATTTTGGGTAAAAAAAGTAGCACCTAGGAATCTGGAGTGTATGTAATATTACGCAGAAGTGGACTCTTATTTTTAACAGAAGACCATCGAATTTTCCTTTGCCTTGCGAGGGAGGGGGGGGGGGCAACTCCTCGGTGCTACTTTTTTCCTTCAAAACGTTTAGGAATCTCGTCACTTCACAAATAACAGGAGCGCTAAATTGAATTCTTTTGCGACACCATTTTCGTTTCCTTCTTGGAGTGCGTAATTTACATAACCAAAAATCAATTACGAGAACGTCCGTAATGGAGCTTAAGACGCTAGAAGGAGTTGATATTTTAAAATAAAGGAAATTACATTTTTATTTATATTTGTATTTTCAACTATTCCCGTGCCTCTAAGGGTAGCGTGACTTAAAACTTTTAAATAATTAGAAAGAACTGGACGTACTGGAAGTCCTCGTGTCTCTGAAAAGAACGGACATTTCACCTATAAAGTAAACTTTAAATTGAAACAAGTGGAGATTAGCGGAGGGAGGTTGCCGGAAGGCATTACGCGTGAAGCCACGGTGGGACTCGCGACGATAGATCACTCGCTAGGCTAGGCGGTAAAGTTTGAATCGCGACTGGAACAAAAAAAAACTGACTGCGAAGTTATAGCGGGGTGGTAATGCTCAGCGTCATATTTAAACAAGAACGCGGGCGTCAGAGAGAAGAGGAAAGTTTGTCGAATCAAGGAATACACGTACCGCACTATTTCGATCTATTCGAGTAGATGTTAATGAATAGTCAGGAAAATGGCACATTACTGACGAGGAAATATTGAAGTACGAGGTCCCTTTGGGCCCGAGTGCTTCAATCTTCGAGTCATTTTACTGACGGGTTTTGTATCAAATTTTACTCGAAATCGTATTTTATTCTCATAGGGGACTTTTGTTTAATGCCAATCTGTCAGTGTTGTCATTATAGACATTTGGCAATATGACAAGTACGTCTTGAAAAGTGATCGGAGCGGACGGTAAAGCGACTCTTGTCATGGAAACTAAAATTTCCTGACATAAAGTAGGCCTGAAAATGAAGATTTCATCACGATTTTGGGTAAAAATTTGGAAAAAACGGAAACGTGGCATATAACACAATCTGGCCTTTTCTAGAGAAAACGCAGCTGCCTTCCTCAAAGAAGTACTTAATTGTTACGGTCATTGAGTCGTCACAGTTTGATACGAAATACACTGGAACAATCGCCCCATAATCAAACCGAATGCACAGAGAATTTCAATGTCCGCATATCCGTAAAATAAGGTGATTGAGTCTGTCTTGTATTTGTGTGTTCAATCCATTACCGCGCCTTTAAGGGTAAGAAGAAATAACAGGCAATGCGTTACAGAATTCAAAATGGTATAAGGTGTTTCAGAATGGTTACCATGTGTTTCCAAAAGGAACCAAAAGCTACAAGAAACTTCTAAAACAAGCTCCAAAGCTGGTACAATTTAATTTTAAAAACAGTTTCATATAGGTACACTGCCAAGGTTTGGGAGATTTTTTAATAGATATCTTCAAAGGTCCAGGGTTCCAATATGAATTTAGCCATGGAAGCTTGGCAACCCTGCCAATTTATGACATCGGCTGTCAATGTAAACTTTGGCTATAGTGGAACCACTTCAAATGTTCAAAAACAGAGGAAGGGCAGAGGATAAGAAGAATGTCGCCATTTTGGCTCAACACAAAGACTTGGCCAATACGATTCGCGTTCGTGCGATTACATCCGATGGAAATTGCAGAGATGAACGGCGTGAGATGCGACACGCGGCAAAGCCGACAGTCGATAGGAAGACTGGCAGGCACGAAAGCAAATCGACCCGAAAACAACCAGTACTAATCCGAGAGCCCCTGCGTAGCGTTTCCGTGAGTATACCGTGCGACGAACCGACCTGGAAATTTTCAGGATTGAGCCAGAAGACTGCTCCGAACATTTCCGATTTGCAAAGAAAGTACGAGCAGATTATGGTCGACGATCCAAACTTCGCACCGAGATTTAGCGATTCAATTTTGCTGCAGAAGGAAGTGGAGGATGCCACTTTGGAGGCCGATATTGGCAACGTGCAGCTGGGCAAGATAAAGCAAATACTCGAAGCGGCCAAACAGCGAAGCAATCTACTATACAATGTGGACAGAAACACGCGTTCTTCGAAGCACAAAGAGGGAAAGAACAAGTTTCTGTTAACTGTGAACGATGTCCAGCGGCGAATTCAAGACATACAACTCAAGCATTTCACGAGGCGCAGTGCGAGGTTTCGGTCGGTGAAAAACGTACGCTTTCAGCAACCTGCCCAGCAAACTGAGCAGCAAACTGAACAAAATGAGAGCGGGGATGGGAATGCAGAAAGTTCCGATTCGGATCTTCGCGAAACACCAAGATCTGAACAGAAGTTAGAGGTTGGCTACCCGAGTAGGTCCTCGGAATCGGATGAAGATTTTCAAAAAAGACTGCAGAACCAAATTAAACACTCCGATTATCTTACCCGAGAATTTCGCCCCGAAGATGAGGTGAAACCAAAACGGGCCGAGTTTCTCGATCACTTCGAGAGGCGCTACAACGCACGGCCGTCGATAAACTCGAAACCTGGTGAGTTCTCCTTGCCAGGTTACGATTCCCTTAAAGGTACTTTGTATTGTACAGGGGATTGATAATAAAAGGTTACCTCTTTGGTGATATTTTTCAGTCGGTGAAGTTGATCCAACCAAATAAACCCAATGGGCTCAGATACTTGGCAAGGAACACAGAAGGAAATTTGGCTAGTGGTTGGGCGATGCCACTCCCTAGTAGAGCATATGTCTTATGTACAGCCACACTATCTCTGTCTCCCCCCTCCCTTCCTCACCCACCCATAACTGAGCCTCCTCTCCCTCCTCACGGTTACGTTAGGCTGGTCCTTTTCCTCAATGCCGAAAATTATCGGTCTCCCTTGACGGCTTTATGGAAGAGACATCCGCTACCCAGGAATTCTTAGCCACCAGGTCGTCACGTTCCCACGAGACCCAGACAGTATATTCTTACACTACCTTTAGGTGTGTGTACCCCTCCCCCCCCCCACAATTATGGGATGTTGCCAACTATCTAGAGTAAGAACCTTGGTCAGGTGATTTTGTAGCATATCCGCCTGGTTAACCGTTAGCCTACCTAGAAGGTCATTGATTCTATGGTCGCTACTTTGAGTCGCGCTTTGGCTTGTGGCTACTGCACGGGTGCCCCGGCCTTACTGACACCCCCTTTTGGTTGGGGTTGTGGTCTGTCCTTCTTCCTCAGCGGTTGAGTCCGTATTAGGTCATCAGATTTCTGCCCCTTTTTCTCCCAGCCTACCTCTAACAGCCTGGCTCTGGATCAGGGTTGGGTCACGGGAGGTGGATGGTTTGGACAAACGCTTGCGTTGTTTGGTGTGTTGTTGAGGCTTGGCGACCTGTAACCTAGGGGACAACAACTTTGAATTTTTGTTGTACACCCCTCTGAATTGAATTGAATTCACGCGAATTAACTTGAATTAGCGTGATTAATTAGAATTAAAAAGAATTACTAATGTCAAATAATTTGAATTCACGCGAATTAATTAAAATTAACGTGAATTAATCCCAAGTAGCGTGAATTAATTAGAATTAACGAGAATTAATGTGAGTTAACCTTAATTCATTTGAATCAACGTGAAATAATTTGAATTCACGTGAATTAATTTAAATTAATGTGAAATAATTTGAATCAACGTGAATTAATTTGAATTAGCGTGAACTAATTAATTAGAATTAACGAGAAATAATGTGAGCAAACGTGAATTCATTTGAATTAACTTGAAATAATTTGAATTCACGCGAATTAATTTAAATTAATGTGAAATAATTTGAATCAAAGTGAATTACTTTGAATTAAAATGAATTAATTTGAATTAGCGTGAATTAATTAGAATTAACGAGAATTAATGTGAGTAAACGTGAATTCATTTGAAGCAACGTGAAATAATTTGAATTCACGCGAATTAATTTAAATTAATGTGGAATAATTCGAATTCACGTGAATCATTTAAATTAATGTGAAATAATTTGAATCAACGTGAATTAATTTGAATTAGCGTGAACTAATTAGAATTAACGAGAATTAATGTGAGTTAACTTGGATTCATTTCAACGAACATGAAATAATTTGAATCAACGTGAATTAATTAGAATTAACATGAATTAATTTGAATTAACGTGAATTAATTAGAATTAACGAGAATTAATGTGAGTAAACGTGCATTTGAATTAACTTGAAATAATTTGAATTCAGGCGAATTAATTTAAATTAATTTGAATGAAGGTGAATTCCTTTGAATTAACATGAATTAATTTGAATTAGCGTGAATTAATTAGAATTAACGAGAATTAATGTGAGTAAACGTGAATTCATTTGAAGTAACGTGAAATAATTTGAATTCACGCGAATTAATTTAAATTAATGTGAAATAATTTGAATTAACGGGAATTAATTTGAATTACAATGAATTAATTTGGATTTACGTTAATTAGTTTGAATTAACTTTAATTTACGTGAGTTGTTTTAAAATAATTTAAATTAAAATGAATTAGTTTGAGTTAAAGTGAATTAATTTGAATCAATGTAAATTAATCTAAATTAAGAATTTTAATTACAGTGAATTAATGTGATTTAGAGTGAATTAATCTGTATTTACGTGAATTAGCTTGAATTAACTTCAATTTACGTGAGTTGCTTTAAAATAATGTAAATTAATTTGAATTAATATGAATTAGTTTGAGTTAAAGTGAATTAATTTGAATTAGCATGAATTAATTTGAATTAGCGTGAATTAATTTGAATTAACGTGAATTCATTTGATTTTGAAATTTTGGGTACGTCAAAAATGGTACTTGCTTCCCCCTAGTCTAGCACTACTAGAAGATCTGCTTCTGAAGGGTGGCAGAAAACAGGCCTGACTTCGCTTTGGAATACGCCACCACCCAGTCGTCATTGACCTTGAGATGTAATTATACACCACAAAAGATGAGAACATTACCCTTCTACGACCTTCAAAATGTAGACTGACACCCTACATAAAAATACTGTCATTGGCTTTCAGTTACCCTGAACATGTAGTTTGAGAGCGCAATACAGGGTTATTGACCCTTCTATGTCCTTGGAAATATATTTTGATACCGCAAAAAAAAATGGGTTCATTGACCTTTGATCACCTCAAGAATCTAATTAAACACCACATAAAAATGAGGTCATTTCCCTTGTCCTTGTCCATGACCTTGAAATTGTAATTTGACAACACAAAAATGAAATTGAAAATGTATTTTGACGCCACAATTCCAGTCATCGACCTTAGATGACATTACAAATGTAATTTGACACCACAATTGAGGTCATTAACATTGGATGACCTCGATGACTTTCACCTTGACCTAATTCCCAAGGTCACCGCCCACGCGGCAATCAACTTTCACCTTAACCTAATTGTCAAGGTCTCTGCCACGTTACCTTGACCTACACTCCAAGGTCACCAGGACGATCAGGAGGATTCTTTTGAGCTCAAATTTTATTTTCGATTTAATGTGCGGTGTTTCCGCCTCCAATATACGAAAAATCTCTTAGAACGTTTTTGTAAATTTTCTGGGTTTCTTTGGATGACCTTGAAATTTTCAGAAAATGTTCTCAAATTATAGAATCACCTTTAAGCTTTGTGGAACGTTCTGGGAATAGCACCTTTTACAACCCTTGGAATTCTTCTGTAAGGACGTCCTATGTAGATTCAAGAATCTGAAGAATGCGAGGATGAATTTGAAGAAACAGGTGAATCCGAAGAATTATAATAAAAACTTGAAAGGTTTGATGGGTCCTGGAGAAATTGAAAAATGGGAAAAGAATTCTTTGGAATTTGATAGGAAGTTTCTTATATATTTTGGAGTTTTCTGGAATGATCTTGGAATTTTCAGAAAATGTTTTTTAAAATTGTAGAATCAGTTTGAACCTTTATGGAATATTCTTGGCAGACGCTTGGAATTATTGGTTAAGGGCGGAGAGATTCACTTCCCGGTACATTCTTCCTCAAAATAATTTCCTTTTGGGGGAGTTGGGAGAATACCTCAAGCAAATTTTTCTCTGAGAAGTGCCCCAAAAATTTGCTTAATTGTGTGAAACTCAAAGAGCAATGAAAATTTGGCGAAATGCGGTGCGCTGTTTCAGCCTCCAATATACGAAAAATCTCTTAGAACGTTTTTGTAAATTTTTCTGGGTACCAAGACAGTATACCAGCATTAGACGAGGGGGTTTCTTGTTTTGCTCAAAACAAATTTTACACATCCCTGTCTGATGTTCAAGGGGGCGTTTCTGATCCAAATAAAGGGAGTTTGTATATTTTCATCAGATTTTTTCTGGCTAGCAGGAGATAATCGATGAGGAGGATTTTTTAAACTTAAGATAAGACCTTATTTTCGCTAAACATTTAACACTGTTGTGTTAAAGAGGTGTATTCTGTTGCTCATACACGGATTTAGTAGGTAGTACAAAAATTAGCCTTTTCCGTATTAACATCATACTTACACCCTGTATATTTTGGAGTTTTTTTGGAATGACTATGGAATTTTAGAAAAATTTTCTCTAAATTATAGAATCACTTTTAAGCTTTTTGGAATATTCTGGGAAATGGGTGCGTCCAAAAACTTGAAAGCTTTGATGGGTCCTGGAGAGGGAAAAGAATTCTTTAGAATTTGATAGGAAATTTGTTATACATTTTGGAGTTTTTTGGAATGATCTTGGAATTTTCAAAAAACTGTTTTTTTTTTTAAATTGTAGAATCAGTTTGAACCTTTATGGAATGTTCTTGGCAGACACTCGGAATTATTTGTTAAGGGCGGAGAGATCAACTTCTCACTAAATTCTTCCCCAAAATAATTTCCTTTTGGGGGTGTGGGAGAATATCTCAACCCAAGAGCGTCTTTCCGAGGTTTTAAGCAAATTTTTCTCTGGGAAGTGCCCCAAAAATGTGCTCAATTGTGTGAAACTCAAAGCGCAATGAAAATTTGGCTAATTGCGATGCCCTGTTTCTGCCTTCAATGTACGAAAAATCCCTTAGAACGTTTTTGTAAATTTTTCTGGGTACCAAGACATTCGACGAGGGGGTTTCTTGATTTGCTCAAAACAAGTGCATTATACAAACCCCTGTCTGATGTGCAAGGGGGTGTTTCTGGTTCAAATAAAGAGAGTTGGTATATTTTCATCAGATTCTTTTCTGGCCAGCAGGAGATAATTGATGAAGAGGATTTTCAAACTTAAGATAAGACCTTTTTTTCGCTTAACATTTAAAACTTCTGTATCAGGAGAACGTAATACTTGCATGCAAGGAGGTGCTTTCTGTTGCGCATACACGGACCTAGTAGGTAGTACAAAAACAAGCCAAAAAATTAGCCCTTTCTGTATTTACATCATATGTACACCCTGTATATTGTGGAGTTTTTTGGGATGACCTTGGAATTTTGAGAAAATTATAGAATCACTTTTAAGCTTTGTGGAAGATTCTGGGAATACACTTAGCCCCTTTTACTCTTGGAATTCTTCTATAAAGCCGTCCTAAGTAAACTCAAGAATCTGAAGAATGCGAAGATAAATTTGAAGAAACGGGTGAATCCGAACAATTATAATAAAAACTTGAAAGCTTTGATGGGTCCTCGAGAGGGAAAAGAATTCTTTAGAATTTTGATAGGAAATTTGTTATACAATTTGGAGTGTTTTGAAATGATCTTGGAATTTTCAAAAAATGTTTTTTTTAAATTGTAGAATCAGTTTGAACCTTTATGGAATGTTCTTGGCAGATACTTGGAATTATTTCTTAAGGGCGGAGAGAACAACTTTCCAATAAATTCTTCCCCAAAATAATTTCCTTTTGGGGGTGTGGGAGAATATCTCAATCCAAGAGCGTCTTTCCGAGGTTTTTTTTTCTCTGGGAAGTGCCCCAAAAATTTGCTCAATTGTGTGAAACTCAAAGAGCAATGAAAATTTGGCGAAATGCGATGCCCTATTTCTGCTTTCAATGTACGAAAAATCCCTTAGAACGTTTTTGTAAATTTTTCTGGGTACCAAGACATTCGAAGAGGGGTTTCTTGCTTTGCTCAAAACAAATGCATTATACACACCCCTGTCTGATGTGCAAGGAGGTGTTTCTGCTCCAAATAAAGGGAGTTAGTATCTTTTCATCAGATTTCTTTCTGGATAGCAGGAGATAATTGATGAGGATTTATTAAACTTAAGATAAGACCTTATTTTCGTTTATTACATTATATACATTTAAAACTTTTGTATCAGGAGAACGTAATACTCGCATGCGAGGAGGTATTTTCTGTTGCGCATACACGGACCTAGTTGGTAGTACAAAAAATTAGCCCCTTCTGTATTTACATCATATTTACACCCTGTATATTTTGGAGTTTTTTTGGAATGACCTTGGAATTTTCAGAAAATTCTCTAAAAATTATAGAATCACTTTTAAGCTTTGTGGAATATTCTGGGAATAGCACCTTTTTACTAGCCTTGGAATTCTTCAATAAAGACGTCCTAAGTAAATTCAAGAATCTGAAGAATGCGAGGATGAATTTGAAGAAACGGGTGCGTCCAAAAACTTGAAATCTTTGATGCGTCCTAGAGAAATTGAAAAATGGAAAAAGAATTCTTTGGAATTTAATGAGAAATTTCTTATATATTTTGGAGTTTTTGGAATGATCTTGGAATTTTCAAAAAATGTTTTTTCAAAATGGTAGAATCAGTTTGAACCTTAATGGAATGTTCTTGGTAGACGTTAAGGACGGAGAGATCCACTTCCCGATAAATTGCTCGTTAAAATAAATTCCCTTTGGTGGAGTGGGAGATTATCTCAACTCCAGAGCGCCTTGCCTGTTTTTTTAAGCAAATTTTTCTCCTCGTTTTTCTCTGAGAAATGCACTAAAATTTGCTCAATTGTGTGAAACAAAAAGCGCAATAGAAATTTGGCGACATTTTCTTTTTCGCCTTGTGAAAGAAAGAGATACTAAATAAGTGGGTCGATTATAACAATGCTGCACACGCTAACCGAGCGAATCGATTGAAGTTAAGCTGGTAAACAAGTCCCCATTGAACAAGTAAGTAGATTAGTTCTAAATAAATTTATCCGGATTTATCCGTACCGCTCCCCTCCTCAACCGTTCGGTACGCATTTTGTTGATGATATCCCTCGAATGTATCAGTTTATGTTTCGAGTTATCAATGACGCTTAGTCGATCTAAAAATTGTCGTTAAACGTTTTTTGCCGTCTTTTCCTTTTACGGGTAAGTGATTCCTCTGACGAAAATAGCCGATGACGTATATGGAAGCATCATCTTTGGATGTGTGGCAAATCATAATCCGTCCACGCGAACTGAAGCAGTGATTAATTTTCTATTTTTAGAAAGATGGAAACTTGGTCCCGATGGAAACTTACGGCACTGGTTCACCTGATGCTCCTGGCAAATTCCAGGGGTTTCGTATGCCACACGGAAGACGCTAGCCGACTGGTTTGCGAGCGCCTGGGTTCGTCGGCGCTGGAAGCATGGGCGGCAGAGAACAATGCGACCTTGGAGATGGTCGAAAAGGTTAGCATCCAAAATACAAACTTTACCGATCCAAGTCTACTCCGGAACTTTGACAATCTGAAGGTGCTGGAAATTAAAAGGTCTGAGTTACACAGTGTTCAGGTGAATAGGGAGTTGCTGACGGAGGTGGTGATCGAGTGTTGCGTAGCGGACGAGGGAGTTTTTGATGCGTTTTCCGAAACGCCCCTGGAAACGCTACAAATTACTCATAGCGAACTGAGATCTTCCCCTAAACTCTCGGCGACACTCTCCCGATTGGATTTGCACGGTAATGATCTAGAAAATCTTCACGTGCTAAACGCCCCACGACTGAAGTACCTGGATTTACACGATAACAAACTCAGGGAGTTGCAAAATGGCGCTCTTCATCCACTTGGATCATTGGAGACGCTGCATCTGCAACGTAATAAGTTGGTCAAGCTCGAAGATGACACCTTCAAAGGGCTGGAGCATTTGAAGGAGCTCAATTTGAATAAAAATTCGCTGACGTCGTTGCCTCAATTTGTTTTTGAGGGGCTAGCGGCTCTCGCCTCCCTGGATTTAAGCGAGAATGATCTCGAGGACCTGGGGAATCTGTCGTTGCGCAACACCAGCTTGAGATCATTGCGCTTGTCCAAAAATAAAATTGCTCAATTGCAGGGGGCAGCCTTTCGGGACATTCTGGAAGTGGAGGAGATCAATTTGGAAGACAACTTTCTGTTGGAGCTCAGTGGTGACCTTTTCAATGGGTTGCGCAGGCTTAAGAATCTTAACTTGAACAATAATCGCATCCATACGTTGCCGGAGGAAATTTTCAGGGAGAACGGGTTGTTGAGCAGCCTCGAGGTCTCCCACAACAGAATTAAGTTTGTAACGAGCACACTCTTGAGAGGCCTCCACAATTTGCAGGTCCTCAACTTGCAAAGCAACGTCATAGCGAATATTGAGCTCAACGCTTTTAAAGACGTGGAAAACGTATCTCTCTTGAAACTGAGCCACAATTTCATTCGCAACTTTGACACCCACCTCTTCATGGGCTTGCACAATCTAAAAGAATTGTCTCTCAGCTTCAACAACGTAACAGACTTGGAAACGGGAATATTCAAGGACATCAAGGAGGTATCCATCTTGAAGTTGAGATTCAACAACTTGCGCGTCATCGAGTCGGACTACTTCAAGGAATTACACAGTCTCTCAGAGCTGTTCCTGCAACACAACCAAATTTCGCGCATATCCCCGGGTAGCTTCCGCGATCTAAACCTGCTAGGCTCCCTTTTCCTCTCGCACAACAACCTGACAACGCTTCCAAGTGGGCTCTTCGACGGCCTAGGCTCGCTCACCTACCTCGATCTCGACAACAACCTCCTCTCCGCACTCGACAGCGACACCTTTCGGGAGCTGCACAGTCTCAACTACCTCTTCCTATCCAACAATCAGCTCACCGATTTACCCGAAGACTGTTTCCGTGGACTCTCCAACTTGAAAAACCTAGAGCTGCACAAGAATAAGCTGACAGTTTTACGCAACACCACCTTCCTCCACCTCCACGCCCTGGAGAAGCTCAACGTGATGGAGAACCACATTGAGTGCATCGAACTGGCAGCGCTCAGTCACCTGATCAACTTGGAAACCGTGGTCCTTCATCAGAACAGCTTGAGAAGCCTAAACCTAGACCTGTTCTCCACCGTAAAGTACCTCGACGCCAGCGACAACGATCTGCGATGCATTCGCAGTAGCGCGCCCTCCTCCCTCCAATTCCTCTCGCTGAGCAAAAACAAACTCGGCCAACTAGCGGGAGAATTCGCCAACCTCGCGGCTTTAGCGCACCTCGACCTCTCCTACAACAACATCAGCGACATCTCGACCGATCTCCTGCGCCCGCTCCGTAAACTCACCAACCTCAACTTGGGCGGCAATCACTTCGAGGTTTTCGACGCGAAGACCCTCCCGAACGTTCCCGGCCTGCAGGTGCTCTCGCTCGACAACAGCAGCGTTTCGAGCGTCGAGCCGGACGCGTTTGTCGGCATCGCGAATTTGACACAGCTCGACTTGAGTAACAACAAAATTAGAAGGTTCGACTTTGATCGGCTTGAATTTTTGCGTATACTGGATTTGAGTCATAATCTCCTCGCGGAGGTCGAAGTGAACGATTTGCACAAGATGAAGTCGCTTGAAAGGGTCCACCTTGATGGCAATAACTTGGATGAAGACGTTCTGGAGAAGATTAGGGACGCGCTTTCGCGAGGAGATGCCGATGCTCAGTGTAATAAACACGGTTAATTGTAAATATTGCATGTAATTGTATGGACCAATACATTTTTTGATTTTGAGTTCTCACTTTTGGATCCAGAGTGCCCCGTGTTTACACTCTGTAAAGTGAAGGTAGTTCTTTTTCGTAGTATCGTGAGTAGGAGAGTCGGCCAACATGGTGCAGCAAAGATGTCGAGACAATCCTTGGGTCTTCTGTTAGTGGACTGGAAATCTACGGAAACGATCTACAAGGTCTTGTAAGGACCTTTAAAGCTCAAGAAAGCCCGAATCCACAGCAGTTGATTGCTCTCTAAAGTGCTTTTCAAGGACTTTTAAGACATTCCCAAAATTTTGTAACTCCCCCAGAGCTTACACACTATTCAATAGCGACCGCTCCCCCTTATGAGCGTTGCGTCAGCGTGGTTAGGCGTTGTAGATATCGACTTTCCCGCTTTTGGACTGAAACAAAGATTTAAGTCAATTGCAGAGGAGCACTTTTGTCATTATTGAGTGCATCAGATCATTCCCATTGTTTTATGAGGCTTTTTCAAAGCTATAGAGGTCTAGTAAGCACTTATAAACCTTTGATGCGAGTCGTCAAGTTTACGTTGGTTCCGTTTCGGTCTTCCTGGCCGGCAGTCAAGAATAGTAGATTGCGGTTAGTGGAGAACGCGGCGAAGGGTTCCAAATGAGTGTGGGCGCTGACGGAATTCGGTTTTTATTACCACCCGCACGTTAGTAAGGGAGGTATTGCATTGGGGTAAAAGATCACTCTCCACTTCTTTGACGGAAATACACGTTTTGAAGCACCAGGAATTCGAATCAAACAAAATCTCGATGATGGCGGTCTGTCTGTATCGTGAGTGGGAGAGTCGGCCAACATGTTGCAGCAAAGATGGACTGGAAATCTACGGAAACGATTTACAAGGTCTCAAGAAAGCCCGAATCCACAGCAGTGTATTGCTCGCTAAAGCCTCTTAAGTGCTTTTCAAGAACTTTCTACAGTTCTAAAGATCTTCTAAGACATTGCCAAAATTTTGTAACTCCCCCAGAGCTTACACACTACTCTATAGCGACCGCTCTCCCTTATGAGCGTTGCGTCAGCGTGGTTAGGCGTTATAGATATCAACTTTCCCGCTTTTGGACTGAAACAATTAAAGATTTAAGTTGATTGCAGAGGAGCATTTTTGTCATATTGAGTGCATCAGATCATTCCCATTGTTTTATGAGGCTGTTTCAAAGCTATAGAGGTCTAGTAAGCACTTATAAACCTTTGACGCGAGTCATCAAGTTTACGTTGGTTCCGTTGCGGTCTTCCTGGCCGGCAGACAAGAATAGTAGATTGCGGTTAGTGGAGAACGCGGCGAAGGGTTCCAAATGAGTGTTGGCGCTGACGGAATTCGGTTTTTATTACCACCCGCACGATAGTAAGGGAGGTATTGCATTGGGGTAAAAAATGACAATCCACTTTTTTGACGGAAATACGCGTTTTGAAGCACGAGGAATCCGAATCAAACAAAATCTCGATGATGTCAGTCTGCCCGTACTGTGCGAGTGGTATCTATGTCTTCCGCAGCAATGCGGCTGTCATACGAGTTTTCAAATGTTGATGATTATTTGGACTTCCTCGCATTTTTCAATTTCTCCATGTTCTTCAAAGTATTCAAATTTTTGGATAGTCCCGTTTCTCGAAATTCTTCCTCACATTCCTTAGATTCCTGAATTTACTTAGAACGTGCTAATAGACGAATTGCAAGTTATAAAAGTGTTTGCCAAGAAGATTCCATAAAGTTTCAAAATGATCCATACTCCTCTGAAACACTTTGCTCTACAAACTGTTTAGCCTTCAGGACAGGCATGATCGGGTAGGATTATCAGATCCTCTTCTCTCTCTACTGCAGAGAATGGTGCAAGTACCGGAAGGTCTGGGGGGTAAGGAATGCCCCAACAAGAAAAAAAGGCGATGACTATTTCCGGAAAATTATGGTAAAAGTGGCGAGGGTTCATCAGCACTCAACAAAAAAGGACTCGATAATCCTTTTCCTATTAATACGTCTCAGCACTTTTATGGTTGTGTTCTGAAAATGGAAATGTCGTGTACTGGGACGGGGGAGAGGGATGCCCCCCCCCCCCCGAAACACTTTCTTCCACACACTTTTCAGATTCCAGAACATACATGACAGTTGATCGGGTAGTATTATCAGATTCTCTTCTCCATTTACTGCAGAGAACGGAGCACCGGGAGGTCTGGGGGGTGTAGAATACTCCCCAGCAACGAAATGTCAATGACCATTTCCGAAAAATTATGTTAAAAACGGCTGGGGTTCAACACCAGCACCACCCATCAAAGAAGAACTCGATAACCCTTTCCCTGTACGTCTCAGTACCCTTATGGTCGTGTTCTGAAAATCGAAATGAAATTGTCGTATACGGTGGGGGGGGGGATATTCCATACCGACACCACCCAATAAAAAAGGACTCGAAAAACCTTTCCTCATTAATACGTATCAGTACTCTTATGGTCGTGTTCTAAAAATGGAAATGGAATTGTCCTGTGGGTATGGAGTAACCCCCAGACACCCCCCTCCTCCACCCCGTGGCACTTTCTCCCACAAACCGTTTACCCTTTAGGACACGCATGACAGTATTTCGGGTAGGATTATCAGACCCTCTTCTCTCTCTCTCTCTCTACTGCAGAAAATGGAGCACCGAGGGGTCTAGGGGGTATGTAAAACTCCCTAGCAAGGGAGTGTAGTGGGGGTTCCTTCATATCCCCCAAGCTCATTGGTAACACTTTCTTCCACAAATCGTTTAGCCATTAGGACACGTATGAGTTTTTCGGATAGGATTATGAGATCCTCTTTTCGTGCTATTGCAGGGAATGGAGCACCGCGGGGTCTGGGGGGAGGGGGGGCATGGAATAATCCAGCATGGTCGATGATGATTTCCGGAAAACCATGTTACCTAAAAGCTTCAGGGGTTCAACACCGTCCAACAAAGAAGGGCACACAGTTCCTCTTCTCTCTCTCTCTATTGCAGAGGACGGATCGCCCGGGGGTCTGGGGAGTCTGGAATAGCTCTGAGCAAGCCGCTATTCCCACTTGCGGGAATTGTATGGAAGATGATTCAAACAACCCCTTTCTGGGCCCATCGTCAGAGCCAGGCCCTCAAAAGCAGTGGCGTAACTGGGTATTTTTCGAAGCGGTACCTGATCAGATTGTGGCGCCCTACCAAATTTTGGCGCCACATCAGTTACAATTAAGCTCTTATAATTAAAACACTGTAAGTAATTACTGTAGTGAGACAGTGATCATTACATTTGTTTATTGTACCACTCACCTCCCAGACTCTGACCTCCTAGATGTTTAAGTTGTGTCTTGTAGTATTTTAAGTTACAATTTTAGAGGTCATCGTCTGTCCGTTCTTTTATTTGAAGTAGCACAGAGACACGGTAAATTACAGATATCGTAACAGTTAATTGTCAATTAGGCTTATTTTTTAATTAATATTTTTTGGAATAAACTCTTTTTCATTTGCAATCCACCTTTTACAATCAATGCGTCATGGAAGAATCAATCTCCCTCGGCAATTAGAAAACGTGCGGGCGTTCCAAAATAGTCAAATGGCATTTTATCGATCTACCTACGAGCCACCGCATAAATGACGGTACTCGGCACCGATTGCCCACGCAACCGAAAACTAGTCGAAATGTCGTGCGATCTGTCAGCCGCAGTAAACATTCCAAAACCCACCCAAATCATTAGAACTTTCTTCGACACGTTTCAATTCACCTTCATGAATTGATAAAATTAAAATATGGGTTAATTAATCATTGCAGCTAAGTTATTTCATCATTTGCGCCCCCATTGCCAAGCAACTACACCAATAAGTTCTTTTTACATCTCTCCCCGATCAACGGGTATGCTTGACTACCTACTGAACGCTTTCTCTACCAGTGAAATATCCATTTCGTTCATTTATTACTTTCTGGAACTATATTATAGATCGGGGCCAAGCATTTTTTGTTTATACAAATTACGAAAATTTTAAGCATTAAAACTACGTCAAATATACAGGTATAGGGAAACGGCCATGTATTTTTTCGAAGGATCCACGAGGCCTTTGAATTTAGCGTTTAGCTACTACTCCAATCTCTTTATACTTTCTGTTAAATTTTATGGAAAAACGTTAGGGCTGACAGAAGCTCTTTTTTCTTAAAATATCTTGAATTTCCTGTAAAGTTTTGCCCTTCGTCTCCGGAACGCAGCGATAGCAGAATATCGCCGAGGCCAAGCACGAAAGTGTGAAAAACGTAAACGAAAAGTACATGGGAAGATGCCCGATGAGCAGCTGCAGTATCTTGGGCGCGATGATTAGGGCCACGCCTCTGGCAATCGTCGAGACGAACATGGCGTGACTTTTGATGCTTGTCGCGAATAGTTCGCCCGTCATTAAAGAGGGAAGCGGTGACAAACCAGTCGCCAAAAACGCCATGTAACTGGCCATGAAGAGTAGCGGCAACCAGCCGAGCTGCGACAGGTTAGCGCCGGTTTCGTCGGCGATGTAGAAGTAGACGGCGTTGGCCAGCAAAGAACCGGAGCAGCCCACGCTGGAGATCGTCAGCATGGTTCGCCTTCCGCAACGGGTGATCGCGGACGTGGCGAGTACGGAGAGAAGGAATAGGACCGAGTAGACTATTACCGTCGACATTTCCGCCGAAACCGACTTGTCCGTGGCAAGTTCAAATATGATCTGCACGTAGATAACGAACGCAGAAAACCCACTAAACTGCTGGCAAATACGAAGACCAACATTGACCAGTAGCGCCTTCCGATTTACCGCGTCACGAAACAGATCTCCAAACTGCCCCGGTGCCATAACCTGTTCCTGTACGTTCTTCACTAGTACCAAATACTCATCGTCGACGTTCTGCTGCCATCTGAGCCACTGCAAAGCGATCTTCGCTTCCTCATTACGACCTGTCATTATCAGAAAGTACGGGGATTCTGGGATGAAGATTATGAGCAGTGCGTAGAGTAGGGGTGGCACGGTGAAGATGTAAGCGGTGGTTACAATGTCTTGGTAGGCGCCGACGGCGGCGACGGACAAGTGACCCAATAAAATGGCGCACATCATTGAGTTCCCCCACGTGCCTCGCACGTGCGGTGTTGTTATTTCACCCACGTACACCGCTATGGTGGAGTAGCATATGGCGTCCGATACTCCGCTAATGGCTCGCGCGACGTAGACCGTGATTAGGTTCGTAGCGTTCGCGATCACAATCCAGTGGACGACGTGGGGCACCGCTAAAAATCCCATTATGTACTCTCTGCCGATAAATCTCATCGCGTTTCCGATGAAAAACGAGGAGATTATAACGACAATCGGAGGTAGTATGGAAAAATAGGATGCCTGCTCCATGGTAATCCGTCCGATGTAGGAGGTGTTCAGAAGGAGTTGCGGTACCGACGGAGAGGGCCACGCAAATTGTGCCCCCGTCGAAAATGATCCAACAGACACTGTTGGAGCAAAGGATAAATGACGATTTTTGTCCTTGTCACTTACCTGCCATGATGGCGTAAATTTGCACGAAAATTTTCGTTCGGCCACTTTTTGGTATTACCCTCTCCATCAGATCGTTATTTCAATTGGCCTTTATCAATCTACGGATTTGGAGAAACCACATTCAATTTCCTATAAAAACACACAGTACACCAACTGATTTGCTTTGGGATTTGTATGAATAATTAAGATAAGATAAAAGATAATGGAATTACCTAACGTTAATATTAGTTTTAGTTTCATAGAAACATCTGAACAGTGACAGCATCATAATCTGAACCGTTTCTGTAAAATCTCGTTTGCTTTATATGGACTGCGCCGCCTCACCTCGCACATCCGGCGAATTTCATACCGCCCATTAGTAAATGTTTTCTTGTATGGGACGTGCACTCTGTTTCCAAATCCTGTCACTTTTGAAATCACTCTAGTAGGAGACCTGAGAATTGGTCCTTGAATTTCGACTCAAAAACCAAGTATGCTATCTTTCAACAAATGCATTAGCAATTAGTAAAAGAATAAATTCGCCTCCACATAAAAAAAACACAATCGAATGTTTCATCGCACAAGCTGATAATAAAATCGTAAATGAGGTGTTCAACGTACACAAAATACCCTAAATTGTATAAACACCCTTCAACCTACACCTAACAAATAACCCCCATAACTGATCTAGCCCTATCTATAGCAAATAAGCAAAGCCGTACTTACGGCCCTTAATTAACCGTTATTTCATTTACAATTGTGCAATGTCAAACAAGGCAAGCCGACTACCTCTACTCCTCTTCTTTCTCTTATGCGCCGTTCTTGTGCAAATTTAATTTTTTTAGATTCCCGCCAACTACATGCCCAGTGGCGTAATGCTTGCGCCTTTGCGCACAGTTTATAGCGGTAACTGTTCAATTCATAAAACTACCAGATATGTAACATCACAAGCCCATTTTCTGCTGCTTCAAATTACGCACGGCCCGTGCGAATTTAATATGATTTTAGTAGTTGAAATAGTTTTAAGGGTAATTTCATCCAGGAGTTTATGTCGAGAGTTAAATTTCAGGAGTTTGTACGAATTTTTTGGATTGAGTATTAAAAACATACAGGGTGGTCTCACTCGAAGAAAAATTGCGTGATAAAACTAAAAAGCGCCAGTCTGTCGCGGCATAAGATAAAATTAATGGGATGTACGTGATCGTCCGACTCATTAAAATCTTCAATTATGAGAAATGCTGGCCTAGAGGTTTCTGGTAAATCGCTCTCCGGAAGATCAGATTGGTAAAAAGAAATCAACGCTATTGGTAGAACAGATGAGCAGCCATTTTGGGACGAATTTTTCTAAGTATAAATTAATTATCGGGAGCTACGGGAAATCACATGCCGGAAAAGTAGACAATGCCGTCTTTATGACTAGTGGAAAAAAGATGAAAGTTAACGAGACGGTGATCAAGTCGTAAAATGTACAGTGAAAATTGCCAGTAACTGATTTTACATTCGGATAACACCAAATCCAAAAGGATCCCCTCTAACTGACCGCTTTACATTTTATAAAATTCGACCATTTCATGGAGGAAGCAACGATTTCCCAGCCGACACAGTATAATCTAATAATAACGTCGAAAAATTAAAACTTATTTATTTAATTGTACGGCCTGCGATCATCATATAAATCTACAAGTGGTTTTAGTATTTAGCTCTATTAAACGACCTTCTAATAAAACCGTTCACGACTGATTCGGATGCGATTTACTGCTACTCATTGCACTAGCTGCCTACTGTTAATTACACTTACTTAATTTGCCAGATTGTTACCTGGAATTTCAGGCCAATCGTAAGAGGTCTGCGATAATGAAATAGACTGCACGACCTTGCAGTTGGTTTAAAATAACATAGGAAACCAAAAACATCCAATAATTACTTAACGTAGCTGAAGTTCTCAAATATTAATTTTTCCTATGCCGCCGGAATCCCTTTTACCATTTCCCCTGTTTTGGTAACGTAAAACACACTAAGATTGTATTATCGCCCGTCAGACGCGCTGGTAAAAATAATAACATTTTGGAATAAACAGCCATCTAATGGAAACACCCTGTATATTTCCTTATACTTGACTAAAAAAAAGTCACCTCATTAAACGGTTACACACTATTGGATCGGCGAGAAAGCCGAAAAACTATGAATCCGAAGACTAGCTGAAACAACTGCGAAAAGTGAGTCGAAGAAACAGAAAATAATTAAAAATGAAGAATTTGAAACGTACTCTTGAATTCAATTGTTAACTGTAGGTACATACCTAATAATGCCAACCTTCGATATTGCTAATATAGTACTAATTATGTGATAATTAAAATCATTATCTTTAATTCGAAATAGACAACGACAAAGGTTCGGTACGTTTTTAAGTCATAAGAACGCATATTTTGCATATCAGCAATGAATAATGGAAAAAGTTATAAAAAAACATTTGCATTCGGAAAATTACCCATGGTAACTCAGATCGAGTCTTTTCACCGAGTGTCCTGTCCTGATCAACTTCTGGGGTAAGTGATCGTTCAAAAACAATTTAAGAAAGATTTCGCAGATTTGCACAATTTTTTTAATTAAAATTCCTAGGAAGACTTAGCTTCTGTTACGCTCATACAAAATGCACAAAAGGGAAATTTCCACCAGGAGAGCATAACACGTAAGGTGTGTGCCACTAAATTGTGTCCCTTCGCTTCTCGATGCTCTCAATACATTATTTTTTAAACAGTAGTAGGTATAAGGAAAGTATACGTGATATATATCTGCCAGTCATGACCTTTCTGTGATCCTGATACCAATATTTTTAAAAGAGAAACTTACAGACGAGGCACAATACGGGGAAAACTGTCGGTCAATCAATTCCAATCGTGAAACGGATACATTTTTAACATAAAAGCTTGTGTCAGGAAATCATAATTTTTGCCACGTTTCGCATGCCTGTGATATAATTGCATCAGAGAGCGCAATAGGTGAGCTACACACCTACTCGCGCTCGTCTAATCTGAATGGTTTAAGAAAATTATAAGGAGAGCATGAAATGAGAAAAAGTGTATGCCATTTTCTTCCTTCTTCAGCTTCTGTGATCCTAATACAGTTCTTTTTAAAAGAGAAAAGTAACTTAACATATTTAACACTTCTGCGATCCTGTCAACTATTTTTTAAAGCACAAATTGTATCGGACTTAATATATTACTTAAAAGGTGTCTACCAATAAATTGTGCACCTCCTTGCGCTTCCGCGATCCTAATACTAATTATTTTTAAAAGACACGTTTGTGTCAGGAAGGTGTCTATCAGTAAGCTTTGCACTTTTTGGTACTTCTATGATACTGCGATATAATATTTTTTAGAGAAATTTTGTACCAGGCGACCAGAAAAGTGCCGACAAATACACTGGGAACTTTCTTCAGTTTCGCTAACACGGATATAGCGTTTTTGAAGAAGAAACTGTAGCAGGAGAACAAAATTTTGCACTTTCTAACGTTCCTGTGTTCCTGATGATTTTGTATAGGAAAGCACAATACTTTCCAGAAAAAATAATACGTGAAAATGTGTCTACTGCCGATCCCGATACCACTATTTTTGAAAGCAATAAAACGTGGCAGTAGAACATAATAGGCAAGAAAGTGTATGCAATTAACTTGTGCCTTTTGCGCATGCCTTTGGTGCTTACACAACAATGAATTTGTATGAAAAGAACAAAATAGGCGAGCACGCCCCTTTCCTGTGGCCAAGAGTTTTTAGAGCCCGCCCCATGTGACGTTACATATCAATGACCGGTGTTGTCCGCCATTTTGTTCAGCGCCGTCTTGGATCGGCCTCCATTTTATTACTCACTAAATCCACCATCTTGGATCTGCCCGCTATTTTATTAGTCATTAAATCCGCCATGTTGATAGGCTTCATCTTGGATCCGCTCGCAATTTTATTAGTCACTAAGTATTTTAAATCCACCATTGCAACCGATGTTCGTCTGTTTGCGTGTCTCGCTCCATCCGCCATCTTGGATGATATTTTGGAACAGCCATCTTGGAGCCGCGTCATCGATCACGTCATTGCTATAGAAGAAGTTTTTTATGTGCGTTAGGAATCGAACCCGCTACACCTGCAATAGAAAACTAGCGCGTATGTATGGTAACGTTGGAGCGGTACCTACGTACTTGAAAGTTTCGATCATAATTCGATCTCCAAAGTTGGTACCACTGACGCTGATATATCAATAATTCGGCATTTTGCGCCAATTTCCATATCCTTTACATGTTTGAATGGCTTCTAACCTGCAAATCTATTTATTAACCTATAACGAGGCGCCCGACGGTGGCTCGCTCTAGCGGTGAGTCGTAAAGGAGGGTAGGAAACTGTAACTTACTACTTTGAGGTATTTCAAAGAAATCCTTGGCAGTTACAATTGGCCTACATCTTTTTTAGCACGTTTTTTTCAAAATTAAAAAAAATGTGGTATTGTCCGTCCGTCCGTCCAGACCCACTTCTGCGGCTCTGAAATACTTTTAGAGGAATGGTCATAGCCCCCCCCCCCCTAAATTATTTCCTGAGATGCTGTTTTTGAATGTATAACGTGCATAATTTTTACATGCGACAACCCTCAATTGGTCTCAGAATCTGCATACGCATGCCTTTAGTGATGCCAAGTAAATGGTGTGGGGGGGGGGGGGGTAACGCAAGTTCTACCCTTCATGGTATTCTAATGAAAGGTCTCACCGAAGTGAATTGGTTTGTATGTACAAGCTATAACTTTCCTGCGCGCTTCGTTGCCGAGATGAGTAGGTGGCCGCGGGGAGGAAAGAGGGTGTAGAAATTAATTTTATCTTTCATGGTATTCCAATTAAAGGTCTCAACAAAATGCATGTTTTCTACTAACTATCGCCCTATACTTTCTAGAGGGGGGGGGGATGAAAGAAACTGGTTTTATCCTTCGTGGTACTCTAATGAAAGGTCTCAACGAAAGGAATTAATTTCTACAAACCATAGCCTCCTCCTCAACTCATTATCGTGATCGGATATAAATAAATCCTTATATCTCAAGAACTGATTTTCGGAGCGAATATCTCGATAACGCTTTGTTGGAGGAAAGTACCCACAAAGGCAAAATGAATTGTCTGGACAATTAATTAATTATCTAACAAGAAAGAAAACATGGATAAATATACCATGCTGTATACCATTGTTGTCAAAAACATTGCTCTACCCTAAAGGCAAATTCCCATTATCGGCCAGGTCAGACATGTTCATAAGAAATACACGGTACACTAATTCATCTGACCGTGACGTGACCGATAATGTGAATCGGCCTTTACACGTCAACATTTATGACCGCTAAAAATAGTATGTTTGCTTATTTGACCTTAAATTAATTTTTGCAACACTTCCCGTTGTTATTCTTCTTCTGATGCCTGTCTAAGTACCGAAGATTCTGCAAAAACTGTAGCTCTCTTGGAAGTTGGTTGAATTTTAGGAAGAATGGCAAGACCTATTATAGCTAATGTTAACGTCGCCCTTGAATGATGCTCGCAGGGGTAATGGTAATGTCTTTTGGCACCAATGGCAGATTGACATTACTCAAAAGTTCTATACGAAAATTGAAATTTTGTAATGTAATGTAACATTTAATACAAAACTCGTCAGTAAAATGACATTACTTGACTCGGAGGCTAAAATACTCGGTCCCAAAGGGGGCCTCGTACTTCAATATTTACTCGTTTCATTTTTCTGACTATTTATACACATGTGCTCTTGACAAAATCTTGATTGAAAAATTAAAAAAGGCCTAAAGAATAAAGCGCGTAAATGCACCAAACAAAAACAACTACAAAGTAACGATGTCGTAATACCCAATTGTTATTCAATGTCACGAGAAATATCCATACTCTCATGTGAAGTGAAATGCTCAATTGCTCATACATCGATAAGATAAGTTTGTACTAAATTCCTCGTTTGTGTAGAGTAGGTTATGTTGTCTGGCGGTTAGAAATGCGATCACCAGAATCGAAGAAAGTTTACACTTGTGACGAAGCGGAAGTGAGTGTCGAACTGATCATTGTGAAAGATGAACACGACCACAAAAGTGCTTGTGACAATGACAATTTCGATAAAGAGGAACATGAAGGTAGATAATTGTAGGTTTTAAAATGCCCCATTCCCACATTTCCGTTAGACAAGGTTCGTTGACCAATTTATTTTTTCAATCATATAAATATTTCTAAATTGTTTATCTCCTTTTTTTGCATGCCGTTGCATTACCACCGTCGCCCAAAGGCGCTATATTAAAATATCGCCATTAATTTTCCAAGCGTAATTTATTTTTTTGACTCACTCTGTATACCGAAAAAAGTTTTTCAGTAGGTATTTCGAAAATGGTTTCTGAACTAGGTCCACCACATCAAAGCAACCAGAGCAGATGTCTTCACCTCCCAAAAAAATCTATCAGAAAATCTTCCTTCCGGAGTTACTCAAAAAAGTACCGGGTGACCCAATAAGACTGTTCCTCGGCCATATCTCGAGAACTGTTCGTCATATGGCTTAGGAGTAAAAAAAATTATTGGGTAAATCGGTCACGAAGAATCGCTGGAAAATATTTTCAAGTTCTAGAAATGACCAACAGAGGGCGAACCAGTTTATCTATCATTTTCATAGAAACAAAAACTCAGTTATTTCAAAAACGAAGATGGCTTGGGGCGTTCAATTGTTTTTGCAATAACCTGCAACCGTTAACCGTTTGACGGGCATTCCTTGGGCAACAACAACAAGAATCAACCAAAATATAGTTAATTTAGTTGAATCCTTCTCCGCCAGGGGGCTAGTTTTGACACTATGATCCAAAATCCTAAAAAAATCAAATGGAATATGACGTTTTCTTTATGAAAAAGTTGCCAAATAAAACCCAAAGCGGCCAGTGAAAACCGTTTTTCAAAATCTCGTTCCTAACCTCAAATATTGGGAAAATGTGATTAATTAATAAAAATACTTAAATTGTATCTTGTTTGACGTATTTCCGGTATTTGTCGATGGCGCGAAAGATTGTTTGGAAAAGGACCCTACACTTTTAGGTAGGCATTTGAAAATTAAACAAATGAAACACGATGCATTATAAAATAATATCAGCATTTAAAGAAAATGCGATTTTAAAATTTAAAATGGCAGTTACGCCCTCTGGTGGTCATTTTTAGAACTTGAAAATATTTTCCAGCGATTCTTCATAACCGATTTACCCAATAACTTTTTTACCCCTAAGTCATACGACGAACGGTTCCCGTGATATGGCCGAGGAACAGTCTTATTGGGTCACCCGGTACATGTTTTGAGGTAGTTTAATTTTTGCACTTTCAGATTTTGACACCAAGACTGCAATTCGACCGACAATGCTTGACATCACCATCGAAAGACTCATACCAAAAACCACCAAAGGCAAAGACTTCGTGCAAATTTGCGGAATATTAACAGGCGAGTAGCCCACTAACCGATAGTCATCAATCTGACCCAGTCGTTACAGCATCCCTCGGCGGTTTTTCCGCCGGCGCTCATCTCGCGTGGCTATCGCCGTCCGTGCCGAAACTGCTCCTCAACTCGTCGTACATCGGGCCCATAACCCTGGACGAGGCGTCGTACTTCTCCGTGATAACGCCGATATTTACGATCATATTCTCGTTTGTCGTCGGAAACGCGATGAAGATCATCGGACGAAAGCACCTGATCGGTTTTATGGCGGTGCCTCACATAATCAGCTGGCTTCTGATCGCGACGGCGCAGAGCATCGTTCCGATCTACATTTCGCGCGCGTTCAACGGAATTTCGGACGCCGTGACCGTCTGTACGTCGACCGTGTATATTGGCGAGATTACGACGCCGCTAGTTAGAGGGAAGTGGGGCAACATGCTGATGTGCGCGATCTTCTTCGGGCACTTAAGCGTCGTGGTCGTGGGGGTTTACTGTGATATTGTGTCGACTGCGTACATCTTTCTCATTCCTCCGGTGCTACAAATTTTGTTTACGATGGTCGTTCCGGAATCTCCATACTTTTTGATCATGAGAGGGAGAGACAACGAGGCAATGTCCGCCCTGCGGCGTTTCCGATGGAAGAAAGACGTTCGGGAAGAGTTCTCCGCTATAAAAAAAGATATTGAAGCAAAAAGTTCGGAGTCGGGCGTCTTTTCAGATTTGTTTCGCAACGCCACCAACCGGAAAGCCTTGTGGATCGTAATGGCACTCTTTACATTTGTGGAGTATAGCGGATTGCCGGGATTCGTCACATACGCACAGTACCTTTTCCAGCTGGCCGGAGGCACATCGCTATCAGCCGAGGTATCTTCCATAATCTTCTTCTCAGTATTATTTCTCCTGACAGTATCTGCGTCCTCGGTGGTCGGTAACTACAGCAGAAGGACCATGATGATCATCTCCAGTTTTGGCTGCGCCATATCCTTGCTAATGGAGGCCATCTTCTTTTACGTCAAAGACGAAACAGCCTTGGGCGTCTCGCACATCTCCTGGGTGCCACTCCTCGGCATGTTATGCTACATCATCTTCTTGTCCGCCGGATTGTCACGCATGCCGTTTTTGATGATTGGCGAACTCTTCTCGCCAGGCATCAAAAATTACGCAGTGTTCATCGCGAGTTCCTACCAAGCTGTGAATATGATCATTGTACCAAAACTGCTTCAGCTTCTCGTTACCAATTTCTCAATGTACGTCCCATTTATGTTTTTTACCTGTTCGTGCCTCATCGCGACAATATTTTGCTACTTGTGCGTTCCAGAAACAAGAGGGAGAACTTTAGAGGAGATTCAACGAATTTTAAATAGTAAGACGTAGAGAAATTTTAAATTTGCATGTATTTTATTTATGACATTTGGATCTCAATAAATAAATATTTTAGAAGTTCAGCACTTTCTGAGATCTCTTCGGTTATTATGGTCTCCTGTTATCTTAACAAAAAATCTGTAATGGCAGAAGAATACCACTTGGATCATTCTATACATATAAGTAATAGAACAGAAAGAAAGAAAAATCCGCACGAATTGAGGCTTGTTCTGTTCTCTTGATACAAAATATTTGCAAAAGATTTTCAGTAAATTTTAAAAATCTTAAATATAGATGGAAAAAGAACCTGAACCTCTTGACCAATTATATTTCTTAAGACTCAAATAGACCATTAATAAAAAATTCAATACAATATCAAGAAGACTTTTTTTCTCATACTATGTTCTCCTGTTAGATAGAGAACAATATTATGTTCTGCTGTCAAACAGAAACAGAAACTTCTCGCGCATTACACAAGATTACACATACGTCGTTAATGCGCGAGAAGTTTCTGTTTCTGTTTGACAGCAGAACATAATATTGTTCTCTATCTAACAGGAGAACATAGTATGAGAAAAAAAGTCTTCTTGATATTGTATTGAATTTTTTATTAATGGTCTATTTGAGTGTTAAGAAATATAATTCGTCAAGAGGTTCAGGTTCTTCTAATTGAAAATAAGAAAAAAACCTCTTCGCTTCCTATGCTCTCCTGATAGGTATAAAACAGCTCGACAAGCACTTACAATTAGTTTTCCACAACACGACGCAGAAATACCTCCTTGCGATTTATATTTTACTAGAATTCAAATCCAAAATGGTTAATTAAACATTCTTCGAGATCTGGGACGGTTCCCTTCGCTTATTATGTTCTCCTGTTAGATAAAAAACACAATACATTTACAACATACGGACACAAAAATTTCTACTCGCGCATTTTGTTACTACCAGACAAATCGAAAATGTATTGAAAAGATCCCCGCATTGTATGAGGCAGGCCTCTTCGATGATTAGTTTCTCCTGATAAATACTGAACATTTGGAAGATATTTCCCACAAAAACAATAAATACAAACGCAAATAAACCTCTTCGCGTATTGTATTTTGCTAACAATATTGCGCACTATGAGGAAAACGTCTTTACTGCTGTTCTCCTAATAGAAAACTTCAGCAAAAAATCTTTGATATTTGTATATATTTTTAAAACAAAATACATAACAAAATTTCGCATATGCTCTCCCGTAGATAAGAGCACTTCCCAATAACAAATCATTAATACCGATATTTTGGTTCAATGGTAGAGCGTTAGGCTATAAAGTGGGAGGCCGGGTATTCGAACCCGGACTGAGTTAAGAATTGTTCATCTGTGACAGATGGCAGTTTCCTTAGACCAGTTACCAGCATTCTGCCGGCTACTCCGAATTAGGTTTTCCTGCAGTTTACCTAATTCGTAAGGTAAATACCGGGGTAGTATAGAACAACTTAAGACCTTCTGCAGAGGCACCTCTATAAACCATTATGCGGGTCACTATGTAATTGGGTGCAAGCCTGTTGAGGGCCCCGAACAAGAGGGATAATAAATAAATACATAAAGAAATAAATATAAGCGCAAGAATAACTCCTCGTATGTACTTAACTTTACTATCACAAAACGAAAGCGTATAACATTCAACACGATATGAAACAGACCCCTTCGATTATTATGTTTCCCTGGAAAGATACTTCCAATTAAAAAATATTGAGTATATAGACGTAAGCAAAGTGATTAATTTAAAGTGCCTATTGTTTTATGTTGTTCTTAAAAAATGGATATTTAACTTGTAAAGAAAGCGCTCTGGAGGCAGTTAGAAACCTTTCATTGTAGAGTAAGGAAGTAACTTACGTAGTTAAAAAGGGGTGCAGTAGTTGAATGAAATTCAGATTCCCGTTAGAAAAGGAGCAATATTGAGTAGAATAATAACCCCTTTATGTTCAGTTACATGGTATGTTCAATTTACATTTAATTAATAAAAATATTGAGTAGAAGTGTGCAATGTCAGACAATTGCCGTATAACAATTTCAGAAATAATTTAAAATCATTTTTAGTGGTACATGTTTTTTCCTCGGTAGAAGAATTCATAGTCTAGTCACCTGATCTCGTAAATTTTACATTTTGTTTTCTTGTAATCGTGTCATTTTAAATCTGCAAATGTGTTCTATGTCTCTTATATGTAAGTGTATAGTGTCTTATATTATTTATGTTAAATTCATATATAAACTCTGACAAGTACGGTCTCTCAGCACAATAATAAATAAATAAAACATTCGTTAATTATATTCACTGCGAGCCCACTATCGAAACACTACAAGGTAAATTCTTTTCAATTAACATTAATTAATTCAATTAGATATATTTGCGAGTAGTCTTTAGAATCAAATATAAACGTTCTTGTCGTCCGATATGCGAACTGCTAACGTAATTTACATTAAATTTGACTGGCGAGATTATTTTGCTTTTGTAATTAACCGTATTTTAATTTTATTCTCACCATCCATAGTTTTTTTAAAATAATTTTGAACTGCATTAGGACCGTTGCAAGTGACAGTGAGGCTCGAGAAGAACCCCGTCTTTGGTTCTGAGAATCACAGAACATTTTACTGCAACTGCTAGTGAGGTCAAAAATGAACCACACGTAAACGTATAAAAAGATTCAGTAAGATCTGAGGCATACCTCTTAGGTGATTATGCTTTCCTGATAGATAGAAAACCAACAAAAAAGTATTTAATTTAGACGGAAAAAATATCTCCACATAGAACCACTCTTTTTTCTACCAAACAAACCAAAAAAGGAATTACAAACAATCAGCACGATAAAAGAAAGAACACTTGGCAATACGTTTTTAACAAAAATGTATTATAGACGCAAAAATACCACATTGCGATTTATACTTTACTAGAAAAGTGAAAATGTATTGCTGTGACCTTGGAGCACAAAAAAAAATAAAAAATAAATTATTCACGGACTCCTTCCTAGCTAGCTCACAATTACCATAATACTCAATTGTTTTAACTGTCAAAACCAAACTCAGAGTAAGAGAAATCCTGACGTTGATAAAATGCCGCAATAAAATTTCGTAAATTCCAACGGAAACGCTACATAAATTTAATAAAATTGAATGATAACCAGAGATTACATAAATATTTATTATCAAACAAAAGTAACAGAATTACAAAATCCTACAATAAAAATTCTAAGGCGACATTCAAAAACCACCCGTTTAGCTCACTTAGTTAAGCTATCCACACCTCCACTCTATTAATCCGCCTCATTCTTGAACGACGAAAAACGAGTCGCCAAATTGATTCCCATATGTATATTTTTTAAATTTGTCCGATAACGGCTTTTACACGCACATTTCTCCAGATAAAACTTCTTTCTTACGTCGATATCAAATTAAATGTTTCCTTATTTTTGCGTTCCTTGAAATTTAGACACTTATTACATAAATAACAACCCTTAAATTACTGATTTTCACAATTAACAATACAAAAAACTAAACTTTACACTGGCCATTAAATAAAATCTTGAAATTCTGTGTCCATTTGACAGTGCTCCTCAGGTCCTAAACAAATAAATTACAACATATTGTACTGGATGTCCCGCCTGAAACTGAAATTACGTTTACATCACGTACACTTTCAACTACAGGGTGGCTCGCTCTCATCGTCGGCAATATTTCAACCTAGAGAAAAGAGACCTCCCGCAGTTTCCGCAACAGTATATTAAAAATTCGGCGCTAAGGTGGTCCAAATTGCTTATTATGTTAAATAGAAAAGACATTTACAACAAAATCTTTTGTATAGACACAAAAACTCCTACTGACGCGTTACATTGTATTAACAAATCGAAAATGTATGAAAAAAATTCAGCACGATATAAGGCTTCGAAGATTTGCATATTGTCCTCCTTTTAGACCTTTCCAATAATAAATCTTTGATATATACCAAGATCGATTCGAATCCCGTTACCGAACAGACTTTTCTTACCAAGCTTCGGTCAAAGATATCACGAATGTTCTATATGCAGAGAGTTGCGTGTGTTTCTCACGCGCTCTTATCCCACCAACAGTAATTACAATGTGCCGCCACCAGAGGTCTCACTGTTAATCTGAATCGCGAATCAAGTAACAGAAATACCTTTCCGCATTGTTACAGGAATAGTGGGACTAGGTTATCGATCAGAATGACGTAACAAAGTTTATTAAGCAAAATAACACATGAAAATTACATTTTAATAAAATCATGACTTCCACATCGACATGGTGTACTCATAGTCAAACGGCAACGCCAACTGCTGATAGCTCGACGCCACCGTAGGATCCTCGTAGCCGTAGCACGCCACGCCCAGAATATGTTTCAAATGCCTCGCCACCTCCAGCTTCGCCAGAAACTGTCTCGGTTCCGTCGCCGGAGAGTGCTTGAGCCGGTTAATTATCGAGATGACCTCGGGCACCAGGGCGTACCTCTTGTGGCCGACCTCTCCGTCGTCGCAGACGTCATCGACTCGCTTACAGACCAGGAGAAATTCGTAGATAAGACCCGCGGCCGACGACTGCGGATTTTGGGTCGTCTCCGCGAAGAGCTCGTTTAGGAATCTCAGCAGAAGATCGAACTCCTCGCGCAAGATCAGGTCGGGAATGACGCGCGCGACGCACAAGTCGTGCGCCTTACGCCAGTTCTTCGCGAGAAGGTGGTGCCTGAACGAGACGATAAACTCGCCGGCGCTTTCGGTTTTCTGCGCCAGTACGGCGTGTATCGCAGACGGCGGTATTTTGAGACTGTCGACGAGAAACTGAACGATTTCGTCGTTGTCGTCCACCTCCAAGTTTCGCTCCAAGATGGAGGTCAGTTGATTGCGCTTTAGGGTGGCTTCACGTACGAATAGCACCGCGAATGCGGCCCACTTCCACAGGCCCATCGCTTCCAGCTGCGTCGCGAAACGTATGTGAATCGCGTCGCAAATTGACGACGGTAGAGAGCCGATCTTTAGTGAGGTTAGCACTTGGAGCAGCAACCAACTAGAAATACAATATTCTCGTAAACGTTATTTAGGCATATAGTCCAAGAGCCCAGTAGGAAAGTATACCTTGAACGCCCGGACGATTCTAATAATTTTCATTGGATTCGCCATAAAAAGTTGTATTAGAATCGACAACGGTGCCGGCGAAAATTAACTTCGCCCCTTATTTTTGGAAAATGTACTTTATTGTCCCGGACGTTCAGGAAGAGTACTAAAGGGTGCATATGGATGAGTTTTATCGGAAAAAGTCACGGTGCCGGGGCGCAACTTGCCGCAACCCTTGGCACCGCGACTACAAATGGGGTGGTAAATCGTACTAAACTACCTTTTTCTCCCGGACCAAAATGACCTATATGAAATATGTAGCTTGCGATTATACGAATATAAAAAACCAACGGTGCCGACTCTCAGGATGCCGGAAGTCCTCGGCACCGTCGATGAAATCCGGGCGCGCGCGAGCCTATTGACATTTGCGAAAATTGAAAAATTGCAAGAACTCACGTCACTTAAGTACGTATTCGGTGAAAAAATGTAACAGCGTTGATACCGCGAGATCAAATATATTCCACAAAATTTTCTCGACGAGAAAAGATTCTAAGAAACTCGTCAAGAAAATCAGAGGATTTGGTTCGTGTACGATTCCGCCTTGTAGTACAGGCAAATTGTCCAAAATAGACAAGAAAATTGCGAAGTGGTTGAAACTTGGTTTAAGATGTTTGAAAATATGTATATTTCAAGGAACCGAGGAGTCCCTAACCACAAGAGGTATGCCGGAGTGGTCATGCTCAACTTAGGGTGAACTGGATTTTCACGGTTTTAACAGGAAGTGGCAGTAAAATACTATTAAAAAATACGTTGGGGTATATTTTAATAACTAATAATTAATCAGCTGTACCGGGTGACCCAATAAGATCGTTCCTCGGCCATATCTCGGGAACCGTTCGTCGTATGACTTAGGGGTAAAATAATTTTTGGTAAATCGGTTATGAAGAATCGCTGGAAAATATTTTCAGTTCTCAAAATGACCACCAGAGGGCGTAACTGCCATCTTAAATTTTACAATTGTATTTTCTTTCAATTTCGCAAAATAATCTAAACATTCTTTTTTTACATTTTTAAAGAGAACCAGTTCATCTATCATTTTCGTAAAAACAAAAACTTAGTTATTTCGAAAACAAAGATGGTGTACGGCGTTCAATTGTTTTTGCAATAACCTGCTTTAACTTCTTAACGGTTTGACCGATTTTAACCAATTTGGTATCGTTGAAAAGAGCATTCCTTGGGCAATAAGAATCAAAATATAGTTAATTTAGTTAAAACCTTCTCCGCCAGGGGGCTAATTTTGACACTATAATCTAAAATCCTAAAAAAATCAAATGGAATGATATGACTTTTTCTTTATGAAAAAGTAGCCAAATAACATCCAAAGAGAACCGTTTTTCAAAATCTCGTTCCTAACCTCAAATATTGGGAAAATGAGATTAATTAATTAAAATGCTTAAATTGAATCTTAAATTTACTTTTGACGTATTTCCGGTATTTGTCGATGGCGCGAAAGATTGCTTGGAACAGCACCCTACACTCGTAGGTAGGCTTTGGAAACTTAAACAAATGAAACACGATGTTATCAAGTAATAATAACCGCCGTAATTTGAAAATTGCTCTGTTTACATTCAGAAAGTGCAGTTTTAATTTGTAATCTTTTTTAAAATGCCGATTTCAAACCAAGAAGCAGTTTTTGAGCATGACTACTCCGGCACACCTCTTGTGGTTAGGGACTCCTCGGTTCCTTGAAATATACATATTTTCAAACGTCTTAAACCAAGTTTCAACCACTTCGCAATTTTCTTGTCTATTTTGGACAATTTGCCTGTACTACAAGGCGGAATGGTACACGAATCAAATCCTCTGATTTTCTTGACGAGTTTCTCAGAATCTTTTCTCGTCGAGAAAATTTTGTGGAACATATTTGATCTCGCGGTATCCACGCTGTTACATTTTTTCACCGAATACATACTCAAGTGACGTAAATTCTTGAAATTTTTCAATTTTCGCAATGTCAATAGGTTCGCGCGCGCCCGGATTCCATAGACGGTGCCGAGGACTTCCGGCATCCTGAGAGTCGGCACCGTTGGTTTTTTATATTCGTATAATCGCAAGCTACATATTTCATATAGGTCATTTTGGTCCGGGAGAAAAAGGTAGTTTAGTACGATTTACCACCCCATTTGTAGTCGCGGTGCCAAGGGTTGCGGCAAGTTGCGCCCCGGCACCGTGACTTTTTCCGATAAAACTCATCCATATGCACCCTTTAGTACTCTTCCTGAACGTCCGGGACAATAAAGTACATTTTCCAAAAATAAGGGGCGAAGTTAATTTTTTTTTAATTGCTTTCGGCAGGATTTTCGCCGGCACCGTTGTCGATTCTAATACAACTTTTTATGGCGAATCCTATGAAAATTATTAGAATCGTCCGGGCGTTCAAGGTATACTTTCCTACTGGGCTCTTGGACTAATAGGGATTTTATTTTTAGTTGTGTCCATTCACCTGAACCGGTAATCGCAAATGGAGCTAGTGTGCCCTGCCGGATTTAATACTTTATTAAGCAAATCTTGCGCCTTGTGATTCAACTGGAGCAGTTGAAATTGGGTGTCGTACACCAACTCGGAAAACAGCGCGTTATGCTCGACGACCGGATAATTGGCAACGCCGTTCTTCTCGAAGGCGTTCGTGTACTCCGTAACGGCCTCGTCTAGAAGAACGCCCGGCGGGCAGATGTACCACAGGTACAGGGCGAGGATCCGTTTCCACTTGAGACCGTCCAAGACGTTCACGTCGGCGATGATCGGAAGTCCACCGAGCAGGGCGTAGACCTTCTTGATGTGGCCGGAGATAAAGTTCATCACCCCCCTGTCCTGCCACTGCTCGATTTGGGTCGCGATGTGATTGCGGGTGGACTGCTGTGTTTGGGCGATTAGTATGCCGAGCGTTGGCATGTCGTGGCTCATCGCCAATTGGCTCGCCTCGTAGATTTGATGGGAGAGTAGGTGAACGAAAATGCGACCGAGTATCATTTCGCGATCGCTACCGAGAGGCCCCACGTCGACGCCGTCGTGTCTCACGATCGTTTGTAACCTGGAAAAAGCCGATCAGCTCGAGCCACTCGACAATACCATACCAAGAGCTGAAGAGTTCGCGTTTAGCAGACGACGTGACCGCCTCAGGGCCCCACAAGGCCAAACACAACTCCCAAGTTTGATTGTAATAGTTGACCAAGTTGTTGCGCGGCGACGTCTCCGACAGCTGCTTCGCAATCATCTGATGCTGCACCAAAGTTTCCCAGCCACTTTTAACAGTACAAGACGGCTCAGACGTCTGCGAGGTGGTAATCGTGCAAGAATTCAGCGAGACATTCAGGTGACCCTCCAGCTCAACCTAAATTGCAATGTAGACAGCCCGCCTGGAATGCGCAAACTTACCACTCCCCGCATACCGAGAACATCGCTGGCGACGTCCACAAAATCGACACACCTAGGCTCACCGATCAAATTAGTCCCGCGCGCCTTCGACGACAACGTGATCATCTTCATCCCAGGCCCCCAGCCGACTTTAAACGATCTACCCTTAAACAAAGTCATATCGGCCAAGATAGCGTGCTGGCCGAAAACGTCGTCGACCTCCCGCGTCGCCGGCTCTTTCACTCTCGACAGCAACGTATAGCGTTTAATTAAACCATCGGACGCATAGACGTTCATCTTCTCGGACGCGTTGCTCGTGCATGTCGATGAATTTTGGATGGAGAGGTGAACGCCGACGTCGCAGCTGCTCATGTCGTCCGAGATCGAGTCCTCGTCGAAGAACGACGACTTGGCGATGTAAAGCGGTTTGGATTCCCTCGCGAACGTCGGCGCGTCGGAGGGACGAGACGGATGGACGATGAAGGAGGACTGATCGAACGGTTCCGAGGAGCGAATACCTCCGAGACCTCTTCTTAAACTGGCTTCCTCCTAAAACCGTAGCCACAGTTCTACATCTCTTCACGGAGCAAACGATATTTTTGAATTTTTTATACCTATTTTTAATCCACATTAAGCATTATAGATTCAATAAAAATCCGCTGAAAAAAAAATGGCCACCTACGCCTGAATTATTTGTTTCTTTCTGCGTGTAGATGAATTGAATGTTGCAAGAATTTAGTAAAAATTAAAATGGCCACCCGTGCACGAATTATTTGTTTCTATCCGCGTGTGTTTGAATTGATTTTTCAGAAATTCAGTAAAATCCGTTCAAAAATAAAAATGGCCACACATGTGCGAATTTTTTTGAAGTGATTTTTACAGAAATTCTGTAAAAATCCGATTAAAAATAAAAACGGCCACCCACGCGCGAGTTTTTGTTTCTATCTGCGTGTATTTGAATTGATTTTTACAGAAATTCAGTAAAAATCCATACAAAAATAAAAACGGCTACCCATGCCCGACTTTTTTGAATTGATTATTCCGAAATTCAGTAAAAATCCATTTAGCAATAAAAATGGCCACCCATGCGCGAATGGTTTGCTTCTATCTGCGTGTGTTTGAATTGATTTTTACAGAAATTCAATAAAAATCCGTTAAAAAATAAAAATGGCCCCCGATGCGCGACTTTTTCGAATTGATTTTTACATAAATTCTGTAAAAATTCGTTTATAAATAAAAATGACCACCCACGCGCGAATTTTTGTTTCTATCTGCGTGTGTTTGAATTGATTTTTACAGAAATTCAATAAAAATCAGTTCAAAAATAAAAATGACCTCCGATGCGCGACTTTTTCGAATTGATTTTTACAGAAATTCAGTAAAAATTCGATTAACAATAAAAATGGCCACCCACGCGCGAATTTTTGTTTCTATCTGCGTGTGTTTGAATTGATTTTTACAGAAATTCAATAAAAATCAGTTCAAAAATAAAAATGGCCACCCATGCGCGACTTTTTTGAATTTTTTTTGCAGAAATTTAGTAAAAATCAAATTAAAAATAAAAATGGCCACCCATGGGCGATGTTTTTGTTTCTATTTGCATGTGTTTTAATTGACTTTTACAGAAATTCAATTAAAATGCATTTAAAAATAAAAGTGGCCACTCATGCGCGACTTTTTAAATTGATTTTAACAAAAATTCAGTAAAAATCCTTTTATAAATAAAAATGGCCACCCATGCGCGAATTGTTTGTTTCTATCTGCGTGTGTAAGTGATTTTTACAGAAATTCGATAAAAATCAGTTCAAAAATAAAAATGGCCATCCATGCACGACTTTTTGAATTGTTTTTTTTGCAGAAATTCAGAAAAAAACAGTTTACAAATAAAAATAGCGACGCATGCACGAATTTTTTGTTTTTATCTGCGTGTGTTTACATTGATTTTTCAGAAATTAAGTAAAAATCCGTTAAAAAATAAAAATGGCCCCCCATGCGCGACTTTTTCGAATTAATTTTTACATAAATTCTGTAAAAATTCGTTTATAGGTAAATAAAAATGACCACCCACGCGCGAATTTTTGTTTCTATCTGCGTGTGTTTGAATTGATTTTTACAGAAATTCAATAAAAATCAGTTCAAAAATAAAAATGGCCACCCATGGGCGATGTTTTTGTTTCTATTTGCATGTGTTGTAATTTTTACCACCCATGCGCGACTTTTTTGAATATTTTTTTGCAGAAATTCAGTAAAAATCCGTTTACAAATAAAAATGGCGACGCATGCACGAATTTATTGTTTCTATCTGCGTGTGTTTAAATTGATTTTTCATAAACTTAGTAAAAATCCGTTCAAAAATAAAAATGGCCACCCAAGCGCGACTTTTTTGAATTTCGATTTTCACTGAACTTCAGTAAAAATCCGTTCAACAATCAAAATGGCCACCCATGCGCGACTTTTTTGAATTGTTTTTTGCAGAAATTCAGTAAAAATCAGATTAAAAATAAAAATGGCCACCCATGGGCGATGTTTTTGTTTCTATTTCCATGTGTTTTAATTGATTTTTACAGAAATTCAATAAAAATCAGTTCAAAGTTACATGGCCACCCATGCGCGAGTTTTTTGAATTGTTTTTTGCAGAAATTCAGTAAAAATCCGTTTACAAATAAAAATGGCGACGCATGCACGATTTTTTTGTTTCTATCTGCGTGTGTTTAAATTGATTTTTCAGGAATTCAGTAAAAATCCGATCAAAAATAAAAATGGCCACCCACGCGCGAATTTTTTGAATTGATTTTTACAGAAATTCAGTAACAATAAAAATGGTCACCCATGCACGAATTTTTTGTTTCTATCCGCGTGTGTTTGAATTGATTTTTCAGAAAGTCAGTAAAAATCCGTTCAAAAACAAAAATGCCCACCCATGCGAGACTTTTTTGAATTGATTTTTACAGAAATTCAAAAAAAAATCAGTTCAAAAATAAAAATGGCCACCCATGCGCGACTTTTTTTAATTGATGTTTACAGAAATTCAATAAAAATAAAAATGGCCACCAATGCACGACTTTTTTGTTTCCATCCGCGTGTGGTTGAATTGATTTTTCAAAAATTCAGTAAAAATCCCTTCAAAAATAAAAATGGCCATCCATGCGGGACTTTTTTGAATTGATTTTTACAGAAATTTAAAAAAAATCAGTTCAAAAATAAAAATGGCCACCCATGCGCGACTTTTTTTAATTGATTTTTACAGAAATTCAGTAAAAATAAAAATGGCCACCCATGCACGACTTTTTTGTTTCCATCCGCGTGTGTTTGAATTGATTTTTCAGAAATTCAGTAAAAATCCCTTCAAAAATAAAAATGGCCATCCATGCGCGACTTTTTTGAATTGATTTTTAGAGAAATTCAATAAAAATCAGTTCAAAAAGTTACATGGCCACCCATGCGCGAGTTTTTTGAATTGTTTTTTGCAGAAATTCAGTAAAAATCCGTTTACAAATAAAAATGGCGACGCATGCACGAATTTTTTGTTTCTATCTGCGTGTGTTTAAATTGATTTTTCAGGACTTCAGTAAAAATCCGATCAAAAATAAAAAGGGCCACCCACGCGCGAATTTTTTGAATTGATTTTTACAGAAATTCAGTAAAAATAAAAATGGTCCCCCTGCACGAATTTTTTGTTTCTATCCGCGTGTGTTTGAATTGATTTTTCAGAAATTCAGTAAAAATCCGTTCAAAAACAAAAATGCCCATCCATGCGAGACTTTTTTGAATTGATTTTTACAGAAATTAAAAAAAAATCAGTTCAAAAATAAAAATGGCCACCCATGCGCGACTTTTTTTAATTGATGTTTACAGAAATTCAATAAAAATAAAAATGGCCACCCATCCACGACTTTTTTGTTTCCATCCGCGTGTGGTTGAATTGATTTTTCAAAAATTCAGTAAAAATCCCTTCAAAAATAAAAATGGCCATCCATGCGGGACTTTTTTGAATTGATTTTTACAGAAATTCAGTAAAAATCAGTTCAAAAATAAAAATGGCCACCCATGCGCGACTTTTTTTAATTGTTTTTTTCAGAAATTCAATAAAAATCAGTTCAAAAAGTTACATGGCCACCCATGCGCCAGTTTTTTTGAATTGTTTTTTGCAGAAATTCAGTAAAAATCCGTTTACAAATAAAAATGGCGACGCATGCACGATTTTTTTGTTTCTATCTGCGTGTGTTTAAATTGATTTTTCAGGAATTCAAAAATAAGAATGGTCACCCATGAGCGACTTTTTCAATTGATTTTTACAGAAATTCAGTAATAATCCGATTAAAAATAAAAAATGCCCACCCATGAGCAAATTTTTTATTTCTATTTTTGAACTGATTTTTACACAAATTCTGTAAAAATCCGATTAAAAATAAAAATGACCTCCCACGCGCGAGTTTTTGTTTCTATCTGCGCGTATTTGGAAATATACAAATATGGTGCGCATGGCAACAATGCGCACATGCGCAGAACGATTTTTCTTATTTTTGTGCAGCTGACTCTTTTTAACAGAAGCCGGTTCCACAGACACTTGCCGAGTTTCAACCCTTAAAAGTTTAAAAAATACAATTTTCCAAAATGGAAAGTAAAAAAAAGTCAAAATTACGCCACTGAAACCCCATGGGCGCCACTCACTCAAGACGAAACACTCACCAATTGCTTTAGTTGCTCAAGGTCCTCCTCCATCTGCTGCATCTCCTTGTCGAGATCCGAAGTAACCACCTCACAGTCCCCGTCGCTGTCCTTATACGAATACTTGGAGAAATGCTCGACGGCAATCGACAACGTGCCCGTCTCGTGACGATAATCGAGAAAGGTGACATTTTGTTGTTCGCTAAGCGAGCGCAGCCTTCTCTCTCCGTCGCGTGGCCACAGACGATCGAGCTCGACACAAGCCCTCCGATTTAAACCTTCACCGATGACGGGCGGCGACTCTTCGTCGTCGTAAAGCGCAACTTCGCCAAGCTCCAAAGATACGATTCGGTCCAAATTCAAATCGGCAACGTCCACTGCGTCGAGGAAGCGTATTCTGCCGTAACCGACGCGCCCAATTACGAATCCCGTTACCGAGCACTCCCCCTTGTCGTTTACGTACTTGTGAAGCTCTCGTAAGGGTGGAATCGTGTAGTAGTCTGGTCGGGTGAGTGTCACGCCGCAGCACAAGTTGTAGTCTTCCATTTCCACCGGATTTTGACTCGTAAATGATTAGGTAGTTACATTCTCTATTCTACAGCGGCTAAAAAATCACACTCCTTAAACTGTTGCAAGATAAATTAATAAATCGTTAGTAACTTTTAAATGTAAAGCAAAACAAGAACATGACATAACCTCAAAATCTCACCTGATGAAACGAGCATATTTCTGATCGAGATTGGAGTTATTTGCATTGGAAATCAAAGTCTCTTATTCCCACACCACTAAACTACTATTTACAACGATTTTATTGAGGAATAAACGAGAAAAAACGGGAAAAGGTGAGAAATGCCGCCAACGGCCTAAACGTAACACAGAATACAAACACAAAATAATACCATAGAATGCAAGTGTTAATTTGAAGTACGGTTAATTAAATACAGGGTGATCAACAAAGAGCAGGATTACCCTTCATTTTTCGTTTTACCATAAGTTATTTTAAAGGGGATGCCTTCATTTTTATTCATTATGATTGAATGTGATAAAGGTAATGTTAAAAAATTGACACTGGAACGGCCATTCCTTTCAGAAACCAATCAGATCCCGCTTAAATTTGAATCCGGAAAGTGTCGGAGCCCCCTTACGTTAGTAACAAAATACAAAATGAAGCAATATAATGGCGTAATAGTATAATATTCGTATTTGGAATTAGTTTTTGCATTTTGATCAGTTATTTTAATTGTCTACAATATCGAATGAGCAATATGTTGTCAATGTATAAGATAATTTGTTGCAAGCGCTTGATAATAAAGCATGATATATATAAATCACATACACAAAACGGGATATAAAAAGGTTAAAAGCAAATTACAAAATAAAGACCTGGTTGGGATACAAGCAGATAACAAAACAAGGTAGCTGCACAACAAGTGACTTATCTTTGGTGCAATAAAACCCTTCTAGTTAAAGAAATGTGAAGAATTACATGCCCTTACCGGCCATAAATCAAACTAGCGACAAAATATGTATAAATCAATGAATCTCAACTGATATACCGCCCATGGATTCTAAACCGAACAGCTTGTATTAACAGAATCCCGCCCCAGAAGTAGGTAACTCGCCCCTCGTCCTGTGTATCCGAGCCTACAGCTGAGCGTCGAGGTCAATTACGGCATTAGGTGTCGTAACTAATTTACTGCAGTTATTTGCCAGTCCCATGACCGCCCCGGAGAAAATAATACTTTACAAACATTCATTACTGCACTAAATCACATAAAATAACGACAAAATTGTACTACACGATGCTTTCGTGACCGCCCTTAAAAACAAGATGTCAAAGAGCTTTCGGCGTGCTTTCCACCTTTGCACGTCTTCGTGCTGCTGCGTCAGTTGTAGTTTTAAGTGTTTGGAAGATCCAAAAAAATACGAAAAATATTGAGAAGGCATGCATATGTTGCGTCCACAAAATAAAACTTTAAAATTCCTTGAAGTAAATCATCCTTAGCACGCCCTATTGCACCAATCTCTATACATATTCCCACCTGTTATGTGCGGCGCATGAGTCGCCGAAGTTAGAATTAGCATGAATGGAATATGCCCACAAGTCGAACAACAATCGACGAGAAGATGTCGTCGTACAACTTTTCAACAATGAGCGTGACTGTTAAAAAGCACCATGTCATTTGACCGAATTTAATTTGTATATTGTAACGAAGCACCCGTTTTCCGCCCTGAAATTCCAGTTTCAGTGATCACTCTGTAGACGAACACCGGGTATCTAGAAGCGCTTTGAGTTGGGCGCTTCGTTGCGAAGATTGTCGCTCCGAAAATATTTTATTTCTGGTTAGTTAGAAATTGGTGGGTTACTTTGTAAAGTCGCCCGTTAACGAAAACAAGAGGTTGTATTTAATTTGCCGTTTGCAACCGTTCACAACCGATTTTAATTTTTAATAGTATACGACGACCAGCATTAATCCGGCAAGGTCCTTCAGTTTAAAGAAAATATCAACGTGATATAAGATTTCGCCGCTTGACTGGACTGCCAAATTTGAAGATTTCGTTCCGACTATTTGGATAAGTACAATTAACCGTAATTAGGTGAATGGGTTACAAATAACAGCCTCCTATTCTGTCGAGATTACATTCGTTGGATTTGCCCTTAAAACGCTTGCATTTTGACACACGTCTCGCATTCTTCTAAGACGGACGTAATTAATTAAAGAAGAATTTGCGTAAATTTATTTTGCATGCATACCGATTAATTTTTCCTCATCAAATTTTCCGAAGACACTCAAATGCTTTTGATTATCCTCAAGAGCCTTGGGATTGTTTGAAAATAATTTTTAAAGCTCCCAAAACACTCTCGACTCTCGGAATGTTTCCAGAGGCACCTCCCAAAGCGTTCTTGAGCATTTTCTCTTTAACGTGACAACACGATGATACCGACCTCAGTCTATCCATGGAGACAGTCTGGCTTGCGAGTTGTTTAAATATGTATTTTGGCACCCTCTTTACAAGAACCCATACCCTACGTTGGGGGAGGGGTTGCTCCCTCATTCTGCAAGCGATTGCTTATACATCTCCTTCAATCACATCGACTGTATATCTCTTCAACAAACAAAAGTAAAATTTCTTTTATTTAGAGATTGGCAATTTAAATGCGGAAAACATTGTTGTTATCTCCATAGAGAATACTATCTCTGTCTCTTTTCAATTGCTTTGACCTTTTCATTCAGATATGAGCAAACGTAGTGATTATATAGTGTATCTCAACCAGTTTAGACTTAGGTAAGGATATTTTTGGAGATCTTTTTGTATCTACCTACCAGTTTTTGACAACGTAATTCAGTTCCAAAACATTTTTGAATTTGATTTGGGGCACTAATAAAATGGAGTCAACTTGACTCATTTCCGTATCAGTTTACCGATAATAATTTGGCCTCTGCGTTTGAGTGGATGTAGATTGTAATTGTCACTAAAAGTAATACTGTTTATTTACTCGCATTGTGTTGTACAGGATGCCTCATAAATAAACGAAAAGATATTGAATTAAAGAAATCTGAACGTTTGATTCTAATTTTTGATGTACCTACCTACTTGCTTAATCTTGACCTATCTATAGCGTGTTCCAGCACAAACTCATCAGTAAGGAAAAGTCTTTTCCCTGTAGATGAGAAATTTATATTTTAATTAACCTCATTTAATTAGGAAAAACTAAATTAAAAGTTTCCTTGACTTAGATACATTTTATCTACTTTCTTCTTGCTTTACTTAATTGACAAGAAATAATTAAAACTAATTAATTTCTGTTACTCAAATTAACGTTGATAAACACTAATAAATAAATATAAATAAATTACGTTTCGTGGATCGGAAAATTCTACTAATTGACGGCTATTTGTAATTCTCTCTATAATCGCTTTAAAAATCAGACGAAAAATGATTTACTTTGTTTTTTTGCTTTGCTTAATTATAAGTACTACTGCTAATTACTGAAATTAACGTTGAATCTTTAGCTAAGTAGTAATAATTACCATTCCATTTCACCAAATTAATTACGTTTGTTGGAAACTATGAAGTCTAATTTTAATTCCTTCTATAATTGCATTAAAAATGAAACGTAATACATGTTTTTACTTAACTTTGCTTTGCTTAATTAGCAAAAATGTAGCAAAGGGGCAATAATAACTGCCTAATTTCACCGTTACTTGCCTAAGAAGTCATTAATTCACAAATTAATTGCGTTTGCTAGATTGAAAAACTAATTCATCAGGCACATTTGATTTTATTTTTGCTTAATTAAATTTATTTTCGATGCCATAGTGAATTTCCTGTTAACATTCTGTTAAGATGTCGTTTATACCTTTACTCAAGTATGTTTCAATTACCTTACTTATTTAGCTCTGCTAATTAGTGAATAAAATTGTTTTCGTTATTTTTCAAATGATCTTGATCACAGTCCCTACAGACAAATTAATTTTGATTGATTACTTAGACAAATTCAATTTTAACTAATTTATTTTTTACTTCTGCTCAATTAGAAAAAATAATTGAAATTAATTTCTGCTACCTACTCAAATTAACAAGGATTATTAAACTAAGGAGCAATAATTGCCGCTCCACCATTTGGGTCATTTGAGGAGACATTGATTAATCAATAAATTACGTTAATTGCTTAACAATTAATATTCAGTTTTATTAGGTTTAAACTCACAATGCTACCTTAATTCACCTTTACTTCCCGGCGACTCTTCGCACACTTAAACACGGCAAATTTATTTACCTACTTTTGAGTTAATTAGCAAAAAATTAAATATTAATTAGTGAATTCTCTTTATAATTCTGAATTAGTTATCAGCTTAAGCCCTTTCATTATGAAATTAGCAGATATTCGTGTTGACATTTTGTATTTACCATGAATTGAATTAATTTACAATTTAGTTAACCTCGGTTAATTAGGTGAAAACGCAATTAAAACTTTCTTTGGCTCAGATGCATCTTATCAATTTCCTTTTTTTTCTCAACTTAATTAAGAAAAATTAAAGGCATTAATTCATAAATTAATTACGTCTTTTAATTCCTTCTATAATCGCTCTAACAATAAAACGTAGTGGGATACATTTTCTCTGTTTTATTGTTTTCCGTGCTTAATTAACAAAAACATTATTACAATTAAATTAATGAGCAATAATTTAATTACATCAATTTCTAAATTAATTACGTTCGAAAAAATTTACTAATTTTGGATTTTTATTTTTTGATTCGCTTAATGGGCAAAAATATTAATTATAATTAATTTCCTCTACTTACTCAAATTAACGTTCATCTTAAGCAAAGTATTTATCATCGTCGTCCGCTTTCACGTCCACCTGATTAATTTAACAGAACAATTACTCCTAAATTAATTACGCCTATTTGATCAAAAAATTTAATTAATTGAATTCTGTTTATACTGTTTCCTGTAATAAAACGCAAAGTTAGATACATTTGCTCTGCTTAATTTACAAAAACTTAATTACGCTACCTACTCAAATTAACGGTACATATATCTGGGCTAAGCAGTAATAATTACCGTTTTCATTCACCTCTACTTGCTTTAAATTTATACGAATTGACACGCGGTTTAGCCGTCAGCGAAAATACGTGGCGAGAGGGAAGCTTATAATTACACATTGTAATTTTAGCGGATAATCGGTTACTTAGATTTTGTCGATTAGCTTAGATTTATAGTTAATTTTTTCCAAAATCGCAACTTTCTGGCGCCGCCAACTTTCGTACGCAATCAAATGGGCAGGTCTGTACTCAGAAACCATTCGCCCAGCAAATCAAGAATAAATTTAGGAAATCCCGCTAAATAATGAGACCACTCTTTATATCCCATGCCAGCTGAAGGGCGTTGCTGCTTGCTCTAGTGCATGGTGATACCTACAGCTAAGTTTACAGTGACCAAGTGCCTACAGGGCAGCCTTTCTTCAAAAACGAGTCATGAGTGGGACCATTTTCACAAAATATTTTAGTTTTTTTCGTTTTTTTATGAAAGGTAAAACGTTGGACTCGCAATATTCGAGCACCAAACAGCACTAACGTAGCACTAACGATCGAAAGTGCCTTTTTTTTAAAAAAACGAGTCACGAGTGAGACCAATTTCACAAAATATTTTAGTTTTTTTCGTTTTTTTAGGAAAGGTAAAACGTTAAGCTCGCAATATTCGAGCACCAAACAGCACTAGCGACCGTAAGTGCCTTTCTTCAAAAACGAGTCATGAGTGGGACCAATTTCACAAAATATTTTAGTTTTTTTCGTTTTTTTAGGAAAGGTAAAACGTTAAGCTCGCAATATTCGAGCAGCAAACAGCACTAACTATCGTAAGTGCCTTTCTTCAAAAACGAGTCATGAGTGGGAACAATTTCACACAATATTTTAGTTTTTTTCGTTTTTTAGGAAAGGTAAAACGTTAGACTAGCAATATTCGAGCACTAAACAGCACTAACGTAGCACTAACGATCGTAAGTGCCTTTTTTTAAAAAACGAGTCATGAGTGGGACCCATTTCACAAAATATTTTAGTTTTTTTCGTTTTTTTAGGAAAGGTAAAACGTTAGGCTCGCAATATTCGAGCACCAAACAGCACTAACGTAGCACTAGCGATCGTAAGTGCCTTTCTTCAAAAGCGAGTCATAGTGGGACCAATTTCACAAAATATTTTAGTTTTTTTCGTTTTTTTAGGAAAGGTAAAACGTTAGGCTCGCAATATTCGAGCACCAAACAGCACTAACGTAGCACTAACGATCGTAAGTGCCTTTCTTCAAAAATGAGTCATGAGTGGGACCAATTTCATAAAATATTTTAGTTTTTTTCGTTTTTTAGGAAAGGTAAAACGTTAGGCTCGCAATATTCGAGCAGCAAACAGCACTAACTATCGTAAGTGCCTTTCTTCAAAAACGAGTCATGAGTGGGAACAATTTCACAAAATATTTTAGTTTTTTTCGTTTTTTTAGGAAAGGTAAAACGTTAGGCTCGCAATATTCGAGCACCAAACAGCACTAACGTAGCACTAGCGATCGTAAGTGCCTTTCTTCAAAAGCGAGTCATGAGTGGGACCAATTTCACAAAATATTTTAGTTTTTTTCGTTTTTTTAGGAAAGGTAAAACGTTAGGCTCGCAATATTCGAGCACCAAACAGCACTAACGTAGCACTAACGATCGAAAGTGCCTTTTTTTTTTAAAAAAACGAGTCACGAGTGAGACCAATTTCACAAAATATTTGAGTTTTTTTCGATTTTTTAGGAAAGGTAAAGCGTTAGGCTCGCAATATTCGAGCACCAAACAGCACTAACGTAGCACTAACGATCGTAAGTGCCCTTCTTCAAAAACGAGTCATGAGTGGGACCAATTTCACAAAATATTTTAGTTTTTTTCGATTTTTTAGGAAAGGTAAAACGGTAAAAGGTAAAGGTAAAAGGGTGAATTAATTTTATCCTTCATGGTATTCTAATTAAAGATCTCAACTCACTACCCGTTTTCTGACCGCTTATCAATAGAAGGGGTTGCGAGGGGGGTGAGAGGAGTGGAACTGGTTTTATCCTTCATGGTACTCTAATGAAAGGTCTCAACGAACGGAATTAATTTCTAGCAACCATAGTCCCTGACAATGAAATGACGAAAAACGGTACTCATAAAAGGCTAGTAGGACGTCCTGTTGATGGTGTCAAACCTTTCAGTGCAAATATCTGCAGAACGGAGTGTCGGGTGATTTTGAATGTATACAAGGCGGCTTTTGATTGTTTATGTGTAAAGAGCCTCCGCCCCAGTAATCATCGATAGCATGGACAAAAATTTAAAATAAAACTTGGAAGGAGGACGTGGTAAAATTGCCAAATTCACTGTTCCTAAATCGGTGCCTGCTGAATACCATCAACTGTTTAATGCTTGGGAGTCAGTATCCAAGTAAAATTGACCGTTGGATAATCTTAGAGAGGGGTTATGTGTTATTGAGCAGACTGGATGAGAAGCTTCTCAAATAGTTCTACTGAAGATGCGGCCTCTATTAGCAGTAAAAATATGCCCAACAAACCCAATCATCACGGTAAGGGCTGTGCGGGAGTGGCCATAAGTCAAAATGTTACAAATGTGGCGAGTTAGGCCATTATTAGTGGGACTGTAAGAATTCTAAGTCCAAGTCTGAGAAAAGTCAGGAAGGGTCTGCGTTTGTTAGCTAATCGGATGTCGTCAAATCTGTGGATTCCCCCAATGTTTGGAATGCAGATTCCGGTACAACCTGAGGGAGTTGTTCGCATCACCCCGTGCAAGCAAAGCACGCAAGTCTTTGCATATGGTTAAGAAGTGCTAAGGACCAGACAGTTGCCCCATAGTAACGTGTTCTTAATTGTCGGCCGACTGTCTTTGATAAAAAAAAGGCTTTTAATTAAAACTGTCGATAAATACGTGCAAAACGATACTCCTGCAATTAAGTGTAAATTCAAGGCAACGGCATAGTAATTGCTGATTACTTAAAAACTTTGAGTAACCTCACTCTATTTGCAAACCTAATCGGCTAATTAACTTGACGTTTTGTTTTAGCGACTGTTTCAGTTGCTTCCAACGAAAGCTGTTATGGGGAAGACGATTTTGGAAAAGCTCATTCCAAAGAGTGAAAATGGGAGCAGTTTGGTGCAACTCTTGGCAATTTTTACTGGTAAGATCCCAGCATCCATCACTGACTACACTCAACCACGTACCCACTTCAGCGTCACTGGGAGGATTCTCAGCCGGAGCGCAACTGGCCTGGTTATCCCCCGCTGTTCCACAGCTGCTCCTCAACACGTCCTACATCGGACCAATAACAATAGAGCAAGCGTCGTATTTTTCAGTTATAACTCCCGTGGCAACCATCGCCTCGTCGTTCTTCGTCGCGAACGCGACGAAAGTCTTCGGGAGAAAGTTGGTGATCGGATTCATGGCGATCCCGCACATCGCCAGCTGGCTTTTGATCGCGACCGCGAAAAGCATCGTGTCCCTCTACGTCGCACGAGCGGTCAACGGAATTTCGGACGCGGTCAACTTTTGCGCTATCTCCGTGTACGTAGGCGAAATAGCGACACCCACCGTTCGTGGTAGATGGGGTAACATTCCCATGTGCGCCATCCTGCTCGGGCATCTTAGCGTGGTCATCGTCGCCAATTACTGCGACCTCGTCACCACGGCCTACATCTTCCTCTTCGCACCCCTTCTACAGCTCCTACTGATCGCCACCGTACCGGAATCGCCCTATCTACTCCTGATGAAAGGCAGAACGCTCGACGCGAAGCTCGCCTTGGAAGAGCTTCGCTGGAAGACCGACGCGCTGGAAGAGCTCTACGATCTGCGCAGGGACGTCCAACGGCAGATTTCCGAGCCGGGAACCTTTCGCGACCTGTTCCGGACACCCACAAATCGAAGGGCGCTAATCTTTATCATTGCAATAATCACCTGCCAAGAGTACAGCGGGATGTCGGCGTTCATCGTCTACTCCCAGCGCATCTTCGAGTTAGCCGGCGTTAAGTCGCTCTCGCCCGGAGAGTCGTCGATGATCTTCTTCGCGTTCTTGTTCTCCTTCTCGGCGATCGCCTCTCTGTTCGTCGGAAGATACCCCCGCAGAATTATGCTGACGTTTTCCAGTTTCGGCTGCACCATATCTCTGCTGATCTCCACCGCCTTCTTCTACATCCAGTCGGAAACAAGCGTCGACGTGGGGCAGCTGAATTGGGTGCCCCTCTTCGGGATGGTTTCGTACATCGTGTTTTTAACAACCGGCCTGTCGCTGTTGCCGTTTTTGATGATCGGCGAACTGTTTTCGGCGAGCATCAAGAACCACGCCATGTTCGTCGCGAATTCGTACATGGCGCTGACGATGATCATTGTTCCGAAACTTCTTCAACTGTTGCTAGCTCATTTCCCACTGTACGCACCTTTCCTGTTGTTTACGTTTTTCAGCCTGGCGTCGACCGTTTTTTGTTATTTCTTCGTGCCGGAGACCAAGGGGAAGACTTTGGAGGAAATTCAACGCCTGTTAGGCACCCATGGTCGCGCGCAGGAAGAACGTTTAATAAATGATTCACGAAATGAACATTTGCCCACTGTAGATTGATTTTATATGAGTAGGTCGCAATTAAATTATTACTCAACGTTGACATTGAATTTTTTAAAAATATTAAAAAAATATACTGGCGCGCTTAATTAGTTTGTCCTGGGTCGAAATACTGTCGTCTAACTTATGCTACTAAGACGTGCGTCTTTACTTTGTCCGACTTCGCAATTATCCTTTCTTGTAGTGTAATAAACTGTTCCCGGATTTTTTCCAAAACTTTCCCGGATTCATTCCCCGCCGACAATATACCAGAGAACAAACTTACTTTTTTGCTAAACATTGCTGGAGCTGGTGACCCAGATCCGAATGAATGCAAAATCCACGCACTACTCGCATGGCGACGTAGAGACGGAGGGAGAAAGATGAAGAAAACACGTAAACACACGTAGAGGGCGTGAGGAACGAATATTCCGAGTTATAAGAAATAAAGGTGAAAACTCGATTTACAGAGAAGGTATGAAATAGAAGAATGAACGTAGAACATTTGGTAGATGAAAAAGGGGGAGGGGAGATCTTCTAAACCTTAAAATAGGAAGCATTAAAATACAAAGAAATGCAACAAACTATTAGAACTGGCAGACGGGAGTGGAATACAGTCAACGGAATAATGAGAGGTGATACCGGGGACAATACACATACCTACACTGGGGGAAGGGCTAGTTACTCTCTACGTTGTAATTATTAATGTAAATTTGTAATAAAAAAATCTCATGTTGTTTTTATCATGAGATTGTATTAAGTTGAAAGGCGCAAGGTTGTGAAGTGCGGGCTAACGTGTTTAAGAAGGTGCGTGGATAGGGAGGGCGGACGGCTTTGCACGCTCGCAGCATTGAATTGTTTAAGCAGAGGGTACATTTTGTTACGTTCCAAGTTTATAAAGTAGAAAACAGTACTACAAATAAAGGACCAATTTAACAGTGACAGTGAACGTAATTAGAAGCGATAATTATAGTGCGTGGTGTAACAGGTGGTTGCTTTAGGGTTTAAACATTTTTTGTTAAATTTATAAATTTGCCGGTGTATATACGTGTACCGCTTCATAGGGAAACAGAACAAGACTCAAAAGTTGCGTCACGTTTTGCAAAAAGCCGAGTACGTGATGAAAATGCGGGATTTGTATTGTTTAAGATGGCACGCTTTAAAAAAAGGGGGTCATTTGTATTTGGGATTCAGCGAGGTATTTATATAAAAATCTGGTGGGAGAGCGAGATTCTCGCTGAGACCTTCGAAGAGAATCTATGCAGGATTCGATCGCGTATCGATTTATTAGCCGACCCATCGGTGCAAACCTATGTACCGTGAGTGCGATGATTTATAGTTCGCGAAAAACGAAATTCTTCGCCAAGCTATCAAGCGAATTTGTGCTGGCTATCTTGGAGATTTAAATTATTTAAAAGTTCGAACCGCAAGTCGTAAAACCGCAGTGTGTGGGAGAATCGTTGGCCATCGTTTCGCCATTTTGACGAGTTTATTGACGTAGGTGCCTTCTAAATTATAAGTAAATTAGTAATACGTGGCTGGTTTATGCAGAAAGAGAACTTCATTGCGTTTTCGCGATTAAGTAAATTGTTACCACGAACGTGTTAGGGTCCAAGGTGCAAAACATTGCGTTGCGCTTTTTTGGAGTGGCTGGTTACGTTGAAAAACCACTTTATTAATCGAAGTTGCGCGTCTAATTTGTTTATACGAGATGCGCCTAACATTATAAATAAGACGGCAACCAGTAGGAAGGTTAAAAACAATTAATGTGTGTTTTTGGCTGTCAATTTTCCAAAATTCATGCTGCCTTCCAAAGGAGAAAATCAGATGCCAATGGGAGTTTCACCTAATTTTTGATTTTGTATAAGAAATGTGAACTTAAACTCATTCTAACGTCCCTGAAGGTCGATTTGTGGGAATTTATCCCGTGGGCCAGTTTGTGTATTTTTTTAGGATTTATAAGTGAACCCAAACCAAAGATATTGGCTAAATTCTTTTCAGTACCGTCTACCTCAGTTGAATGACAAAAAGTTTATGATGGCATGGTGGTATTCTTTGTTAATGACAATTTGGGGGATCACAACATTTTTTTCTTGAGATGTATTTACCTGGGGGACATTTCATACTCCCCTTCAAAATCGTTAAGCCTTAGCCACGTTTGTGATCATTTTCCAAAGAGGGCCAATAATTTTTTTATTATTTAACGTTTTGGGGAACAACACAGCAACAAGGGATGTTGAAAACATGGAATACCTCTCATGCAAAGAAAGTTCGATAACCCTCCCTAAAAATGACAAAGATGTTGAAGGCTTAACAATTTTGGAGGGGAGTGGTGGAGGTCTGGGTGGGGCCCTTTTAATTCGGGAGGGAGATGTACATGTACAGAATATTTTTTTGGAATGTATTTACCCGAGGCGTACTTCATACTCCTCCCCCCCCCCCCCCAAAATTGTTAAAGCTTCGCCAACTTTGCTATCATTTTTCAAGGAGGACCATTCATTTTGTATTATTTATTTGGGGGGGGGGGGGGGGACAACACAGCAACAGGGAACTTGGGAGACCTTTCGTGCAAAGAAGATTTTCGATAGTCTCCCCGGGGAGGTTCACTGGATTTTTTTTGGATATATTTACCTGGTATGAAATACTCCTCATCAGGCACAGGTAACATTCCAGGACAGACGAGTTTTCGGAACACTTAATGACAATATGAGACGGAGATTGACAGCATACTTCTGTCGTAGGATGTATTTACTTGAATACTCCCTAACCCCCAGGTGATATACTCCCCTACAAAGTTGTTAATCCTTCAGCGCTTTTGTGATCAGGAAAACCATTTTTTAAAATTATTTTTCCGTATTTTTCTAAACATTTTCAGGTGAAGAATGATAGATAGACCTCCCTGGAAAATAATGAAAAAGTACGGAAGGCTTAATAATTTGGGGGAATGACCTGGAATACTCACTTAATGACAATTCGGGGGGGGGGGGGGGGGGGGGTTATTCTCAGAATATTCCTTTCCCGAGATGTATACTCCCCTCCAAAATTGTTAAGCCTTCGCTACCTTTGTGATCATTTTTCACGAAGGACCAACAATTTTTTCATTATTTTCTAAACCCTTTTCTGACCCTCGACCCTTGACCCCTGACCCTTGACCTTTGACCCCTGACCCTTGACCAAAAATTCTGCGCCAATCGATAGCGCTGGTCGAGACCTTTCCAACGAGGGGTCGGAAGGCATATCTACGACCCACCGTTTTCGAGATATTCCGGTTTGTCAGAATTTGTGGTCGAAGTTTCAAACCAAAAATCGACTGCACCAAAATTTCTCGGGAAAGAACTTTTTCTTATTAATTTTGGTGCGTAGAATCCAAAACGATTCGTACTTTTTCGATTAGACGTCTCAATCAAAAGTTATGGGCAAAAAACCAATTTCGGCAAAAAATTCAAAGGGCTGTAACTTTTGATCTAGTAGCTCAATCTTGGAACTGTTTGAACTTATGGACTCTACAGGCCACATTCTATAAGAAAATATTTCTTCTTAATGTGTAACCTTTGTTGGTATTGGCAATCATGTTTCATTGTCGGTAGGGCTATATCTGTGCTGTACATATTTGTGTATGTGTGATTTTTAGTCACTCTCAATTATTTCATTGCATTTCATTATATTTGCTTATTTGGGGCTGTGAGTAATCAAGAGGGAAGTGTGCTTGTTTAGAGAGGATCGAGTTATTCAAGTTTATACGGGCCCTGGTGAACCTAACACTAACATTTTCACTCGTTCCGAAACCCAACAACTTTAGCCCACGTCTACAGGCACCCCACTGGGCCTGGGTAATCCTACCGTCCGGCGAGGCATATTTAATATCTCTTAGTTTTGTCTGACGTATGTGTTGTAATACCTGGGGAATTGCTCGATTCCATTTTGGTTACTCATAGCGTGTATGTAGTATTTACCCCGGTTTCGAGAGGGCTCCAAAGTGCTGTACATTAGATGTTAGCTGTAGGCTTTGTTCATTATAGGACTACTCCGAATTAGGTTTTCCTGCAGTTTTCCTAATTCGTAAGGTAAATGCCGGAGTAGTATAGAACCACTTAAGACCCTCTGCAGGAGCGCCGTATTGGTATTGGTATTAGTTTCAATATAAACCTAATCAACTATTGCTTTTGGTGTTCTTTGCCCATAAAACGCCTTCGGTGCCTGCTTAGAACCCAGTTATTACACCACGTAGGTGTCCTACATGACGATCACGATCTTAGTGCACTCAGAGTAGCCCTCGAGTGACAAATTCTCGCGGGACAGAATATGGTCCAATATTCCGGTGTGACTTGAAGTTGGCGTTAGCTCGCCAAGATAGTAGGAGGCTAAGATCATTACAAGATCTAACTTTTGCAAGCCGCATCTTCGAAGGGTAGTCGACTTTGGGCGCCTACAGATACCACCCTCACACTTGCGCATGCGCTATTCTGTCTTCTATAATGAATAAATAACTGGTAAAGAAAATTTTTAGTTAGTCAATTTCTTTCTGTATAAACGTTAGCTCACAGAATGATCAATGACCAACTTACCTTTGAACCCTGGGCGCAGTCGTCTGAATTCAGAAGGGTGCTGTCTGCCAGTAATCTGCAATCAGATAAAACAAAAAGAGAGGGACATAAATTACGAGAATAAAATTCACGTTTGACACGCCGAGCAACTCGATCCAGACACAAACAGAAATTCAGAGAAAATTAATACACCATCAAATTAAATCCCCTTCAAAAAGGTAGACAAATTATCAAGTAAAAATATGACGTGTACATTTTTACAAATAACTAACAATGGAGCAACAATGAATCTTGTTCAGATACAGCCTGCACCTATTTAAAATAGTTTATAAAATAGAGAATTTCCATGACCTCTAGTGGTAGAATAAGAAACTATGAAATAACATTGATCTAACTTAACTAACGGATATTTAAAACTGAATTTTAGAAAAAAAACTCTGACCGTCACACTAATTTTGTATAGGATTTGTTTCTTGGAATTATTACTCTCATTAGCATACATCCTGGGAAATAAGCGTCTAATTAAACATTATTAATAAATACGTTAACGTTAATTACCTTCTTTATGTAATTTGTTGTTTTGTTATTTAAATGGAATGTTAGTAGCATATTGAAAAGGTACCTAATTTTTGGGTTTGTTCTAGTGCCTAGACCACAAAAATGCTAGGAAAAAGAATTATCCCAAACGTATCCGAAGGCAACGCCCTCGTGCAAATATGCTCGGTATTAATAGGCGAGTAGCATCATCGACCCCACCAATGATTTCTAATAGACGATTTTGACAGTTTCCATCGGTGGATTTTCAATAGGAGCCCACTTCGCGTGGCCGTCACCCTCCACTCCTCAACTGATCCAAAACACCTCCTACATCGGGCAGGTGACAATCGAAGAAGCGTCTTACTTTTCGGTAATATCGGGCGTGTCCACGATCGCTTCCTCCTTTCTTGTCGCGAACGCGATGAAGCACGTCGGAAGGAAACGCATCATATGGTCCATGACGATTCCCCAACTACTCAGCTGGATACTGATCGCCCAGGCGAAGAGCATCGCCCCAATCTACATCGCGCGCGCCCTCAGCGGAATTGGGGAGGCGATCGGTTTCTGTACCATAACGGTTTACATCGGCGAAATAACGACGCCCGAGCTTCGAGGGAAATGGGGCAGCATGTTTTCGTGCGCAACGCTCCTAGGTAACCTCTGCATAACCGTCGCGAACGACTACATTGGCATCGCGACGGCTGCGTACATTTTTCTCTTCGCGCCTCTTCTCCAACTTGTGCTGGTGGCGCTCCTACCGGACTCGCCTTATTTCCTGCTTGAGAAGGGCCGGTACGACGACGCCAAAGCTGCGTTGAGACAACTGAGGTGGAAAACCGACGTCGACGACGAGTTTCTCGCCTTACGCAAAGACGTCGAGCGACAAATCTCCGAGTCTGGCAGCTTCATGGATCTTCTTAAAATTGTCACCAACCGCAGGGCCCTCTGGGTGATTACCTATTGGGCTGCGCACCTGCCAGCAATTCAGCGGGTTTTCCGCGTTCGTCATCTACGCGCAGTACATCTTCCAGTTAGCCGGAGCTGAATCCATTTCGGCCGAAGCATCCTCAATTTCGGTTGGCACGGTTTCGTTTGCGCTCTCCATATTTGCTTTGCCAATTATCAGTCGATTCGGCAGAAGAGCAATGTTAATAACTTCCTAATTGGGAGCTGCCATATCCCTCTTGCTAAACGCGCTTTATTTCTACGTGATGGAGGAAACGCAACTGAATGTATCCAAAGCGAGTTGGGTACCGCTATTAGGGATGACCCTGTATTATGCCTCTATCACGGTGGGATTGTCGTTGATACCCACGCTGATGACCGGGGAGTTATTTTCGGAAAGCATCAAAAATCACGCCGTCTTCGTTTCAACCTCTTACTTTGCGCTGACCGTAATTGTCGTACCAAAACTCCTCCAGGTGCTGCTGGTACACATCTCACTATACGCCACGTTCCTAATTTTTACCTTTTGCTGTTTCGCCTCTGCTGCATTTTCCTATTACTGCGTTCCAGAGACGAAAGATAAGACTCTGGAGGAAATCCAACGACTTTTAGGCAAAACGAAAGGTTCATTGTAAGCAACTAACTCTGAATAAAGTACTTGGTCTTATTTATTTAATTATTTTATATTTATTTATTTATTGGGAGAAATGACATGGCGCTTTTTAACAACCACGTTCATTGTCGACAATGACATCTTGTATTAACTTTGACGGCTCATGCGTCGCAAGTGGGGATATATACAGGGACAGGTGAAATAGTTATATACAGGGCGTACTAATGATAATTTCTTTGAAGGAATGTCAACAGAAAAACGAAAGGTATGACTTCTATTTTGGGGACGAAACACAGAGCAACAATAGCAAAGAGCCTGTAAAACTCTGCAGAGAACCAAGAAGCACGGCGCCAATAAAGTTTTGGAAGTCCTTCAACTATGAAAAGCGCTCAAAGGAGTAATAAAAATCGAAATCTTTAAGGAGATTTCTAGAACTCCCTACCGGTTTACAGATGCTCTAAAAACTCACTTTGTCTCTTAAATACTATACGATCAAAAATGAGTCACCGTTGGAATTTTTGTTTACATGAGAGATCGTAGGTACTTAACTTGAAGTTCCAAAGGCGACTCGATAGCAACTCATTTTTGATCGCCAGTTATTTTTTAGAGGCTACTCTGTAAGTCACTGAATCAAAAGACTTCTACAAAGAAACTATACAGTTCGAGAAAACATTTTTGGTCCCTACCATAAATTTCGAGAGCTCTGTATATCTTTTTCGTAACTGTCTTAGACCTCAATTCCAGAGCTTTCTAGAGCTAAATCGGGGTACAAGACTCTATCTTTATCTCAGTGGTTGCTTTAAGGGTAAAGTAGACTTTCCCAGCTCGACTGATTCTCCTGGCTGTTTCGACGCTGCTTATATTTCCGGTGGACGGCTGGTCGTGGTGTTTGCTATTGATCAGTAGGCTCGCTTCGTTTTCGGACTCGTTTATAACAGTTACCCCCTCCCCCGAAGAGCCTCCATCAGAAACTGGTGGGGCTGGTGAAGTGGGCTCGTCGTTCTCCCTCCGGACCAAATAGGCGTTGGTTTCAGCCAGGGGTTCTGTGGTGTGGGGTCCCGTCCATTTGGGGTGGATGTTGACCGTGGCGTCGGGTTGTCCCTCTGAACCACCGGTTTTGGCGCAGAACCCGCTTAACTCGAGGTCTTACCCTTGTTCGGGCGCTTCCTGGTCATCGCCTTCTATGAGCCAGTACTATTTGCGAATAGGAGCTAGTCCACCACCAGGTCAGTGAATAAGGCCTTGCGTTGAAAGCGCCCCCTCTTTCGAGGAGCCAGCCCCGTTACCGAACCCCTTTTGAGGACTGGCTTGTTGGTCCCCTTTGACGAGAACCTCAGGAGGGGTTTGTTTGAATTATAGTTCGTACAATCCCCACGAATAGTGCGGAAATGTGGTCTCACCAGGACAGAGACACCCACAGCTGCCAATCTCCTTCGGAAAGGAGCCACCCCTCGGAGGTCGCACGGTATCCGAGGGGTACTGTTATCGACACTGCACCCCAGTGCCACGCAGTACTCGGCACAGTTGACTGGAGGGACGACGAGAACCTTCGTTGCTACCAGTCACGTATTTACGAATAAGCGCAGAATTGGTTTATTTCATTTAAATTTCTATTTTCGAAAATGCACATCTGGGGCTGATAACGGGATATTCAGGTGTTCAACGATTCGCGGATTATTGCGGCGTAAGCGAGGACGTTTGTCGCGTTCTTTCGAAGCCGAACGTTTCTCGTCAATTTTCGATTGGCGCTTTTTTTATAATTACCGTAAGAAAGAGATTTTTGTGGTGGAAGTGGTGTTTCTGTAAATACTGGAACCTATGTAAAAGCGAGGCTGGATCGCGACGGTTGGAAAGCGTGTACTTCTCTTTGCGGTAGTCTTATTCGGACAGTCCGCCCTATTTGCTTTGTTGAAAACGCAGTTTTGTCTTTATTATAATAATTTTGTGCAGAAGCAAATTAATTTAAGATTTCAGTTAGCTTAAAGCCTTTTGTTGAGGTTCACTTTTTTATTGCAAATTTGTACCGTCTGAACCGCCACTGGCAATTCCTCAACATCAAGTTTTGTGTGTTAAAGAAAGGTGATGTTCAGGAGCTGTAAGCGTATGTGTGTTAGTGCACCTTGCTATCGCAAACGTACGACCAGATTATTGGGATTGATAAAGAGAAAAACTGTAATGTTAGATTTCTTATTTCCACTATCGACCGACCGCGTGCGGGGTATTTTGTCCAAACAAGCTTTGTTTGACTTAGTGCATATTTCCGAGATTTTTGTGGGTAAGTATCTTAAGCTAATTGAATCTTTAATAATCACATCTTATCAGTCTGCATTGGAGCATTTTCAGCGGAAGCCCTCTTCGTTTGGGCCTCACCCGCCATTCCGCATCTGATTCAAAACACCTCCTACATCGGTCAAATCTGAATCGAGGAAGCGTCTTATTTTTTAATACTGTCAGCAGCTTCCATGATCGCGTCTTATTTGCTCCTAGCGCAATGACGTACATCGGAATGAAGCCAATAAAGTGGTTCATGGCACTCCATCATCTTTTCCATCGCGAAGGGTTGCCGGGAGTTGCCAGTAATCGTTCTCCTCTATTACCTGGGCCTGTGCTTCTTGTTCCTCCTTCAGAATATTCTCCCATGCTATCATTGGTACATATTTTTTTGTTCTCCCTTGTTTCCTCCTCCTGTTTTTCATGTGCCTATACATTTGCGCATTCCACTCCATTGGGCTGAGCTTGGCGAGGTTTTTTGTAAACTCGGCGAATTCCTTGCTCTTATGTTGTTCTCCTCTCTGGCCTCCCTTAGCTCTTTCTTTGTTTCTGGTTTGTGTGGCTTGTTCCATGGCTTCCTTCCCGTTCGGTGACATAGACGGTTTATGTCCCCCAAGTGTTTTCCATGCTGCGTCCTTGAGCGTTTTGGTGATCCTGTTCTAAGATGGCCTCCCTTCTCCCTTCTATGCCAAAGGAACATTTTTTCGTCAATCGTCTTAATGGCAAAATCATTGATAAATTTACGAAAGTACCCAGCAAGACAAGTTGAAGACCTATGCTCGTGCTGGACGAGAAAGTGACGTCACACCAATCAGAGACGAGCACGTGACGTCACATCCAATCATAAACGAGTACCCCTCTATATGCCACTACCCTTAGCCAATGGGGACACGGTAGGCGGAGCCTTCAGAGCACGCCAGTAGTTATACAGGGGTTCCTGGACCACTTCAAGGTCGCTCGCCACCTGGTGGTGACCCTGGAAAGTAGGTCAATGTGATGTGGCGGTGACCTTGGAAATTAGGTCAAGGTGACAGTCGCGTGCTACGAGGGCGGTGACCTCATTTTCAATGTCATCCGAGGCCACTTACTCCATTAATTTTAAGGTCATTCGAGGCCATTGACCCCATTTTTTAGGGTACAGGTCATTCGAGGGCATTGACCCGATTTTTTGTAATGCCAAATTACATTCTTAAGATAATCCGAGGTTATTAACACAATTTTTAGGGGGCGTTGTCCTCTGTTAGTAACCTTGCGGTGACCTTGGAAAATAGATTAATCTAAAGGCCAAAGATCAAATTTTTCAGTCTTCCAAGGTCATTAACCCCATAATATTTTCAGGGTCATCCAAAGTGAATGACCCAACGTTTAACCTATATCGACGTTCTGCAATGGTGTATATAAGAAGCTGCAGAGTAGTTTATTGTCACTTATGGTTTACCGATTAGTTATAAACGCAATCCTAACGTACTTGCATATTTTATTTGCCTGTAGTTATATAGCCTTCTGAAGGATATAATTTTTTACTCAGTGTGTGTGTGGGTGTGACATATTTTGTTCAAAATCACCTTAAGAATGTAATTTAACACTACAATGGGGTCAATGCCCTCGGATGACCTGTAACCCCCAAAAATGGGGTCAATGACTGCATGACCTTGAAAATTGATGAGTTCAATGAACTCAGATGACCTTAAAAATTAACGGGAGCCAATGACTTCGGATGACCTTAAAAATTAACGGGAGCCAATGACTTCGGATGACATTGAAAATTAATGGAGTCAATGACCTAGGATGCCCTTAAAATTTAATGAGGTCAATGACCTCGGATGAGCTTGAAAATTAAGGGGGTCATTGACCTCGTTTGACCTTGAACATTAATGGGATCGATCACCTCGGATGATATTGAAAATTAATGGGGCCAGTGACCTCGGATGACCTTGAAAATAAATAGTCAATGTCCTCGGATGACCTTCTAATTCCCAAGGTCACCTTGACATACTCTCCAAGGTCACCACCAGGTGGCGAGCGACCTTGAAGTGGTCCAGGAACCCTCCCTGTATAACTGCTCCCGCCCCCTGTGGCCAGCCAATGAGCGGTGCGGTCCGCCAATCTTGTTGCGCGCCATCTTGGATTGGTCCCCATTTTTATTAGTCTCGAATTCCGCCATTTTGTTGGGCGCCATCTTGGATCGGTCGCAATTTTATTACTCACTAAAGCCGCCATCTTTGATCGGTCGCCGTAAACTGTCTGAGTTGCTTAACTTTGTTGGTGACTCGACGCATCCACTTTACGACGACCAGGCCTAATGATACCATGTTTCAAAGCCAGAGCACTACTCATTGCTCTTTGAACCACCGATGGCGCGTTTGCTAAACCGAACGGCATTCTAAAATATTAGTAGCAAGCATCTTTGAGGATACAAAAGCAGTATTGCGAATTGAATTTCGCTGTATAGGGATTTGGTAAAATCCTGACGCCATGTCTAGTGTCGAGAAGAACATTTGATTTTCTCGCGAAATTCTTGGGGAACTGCACTACAAAATTATTCGACATAAGGGAAACGGTGTCAATTAATTCCATGTAAAATTGTTTATCAATTTTCATTTTATGTGGAACGGTTTTTTCGGAACATGTAACATTAATATTACGCCGCTTATCAATGGAGCTCTTGAGAAAGCAATTCTCAATGGTATGACCAGTCTTGAAACATAAAGTGCATTTTAGTTAATAAAGGGGTCGCTGACACTTTTTTTCCGCCGTCTCGTTTTTTGTTGACATAATTCGGTTGTTGGCAGTGGCGTTATTTAGGGCCTTTTCCGAACTATCTAGGCTTATTTCCAGAGCTGGGCGTATTTAGAAGGGCCCAAAAGTCTTGACTAATGTAGAAAAGATATAAAAGCGCAGGAAAAAACTGAAAATCCCTTAAAAAGGTTTTACCCGCTTTGGAGAGCTCCGAGAGTGCATTTCATAGTCTCATAAGTACTTCCAAAAACGATTTTTAGATCATTCTAGCATCTTTCCGAGACTGTCCACAGCTTTGTAGCTCAATTTCAGAACTGTTAAGACCTTTTCTGGGTACTCTATAAAGATCGTATCCAAAATTGTTTTTGTCCTTATTATAAAGTCTAAAGGTTGTCGTTCAAAGTTCATTACTCAGCGGTCAAAGTCCATAACCCCGTTTTTCAAACGACAAAGGTTGACGACCCCGTCAAAGTCCATTCAACACCATTGAAAGTCACATTCCATTGATAAGGTCATCAGAGGCCAATGCCTATTTGTTACGGCGTAATTTCAAGGTTGTTGCGGGTCTTTTCTAGAACTGGTCAATCCCGCCTACTTTTAGAAGGTTGTAGGAGGACACTATTAACCTCTGGAGAAGCAATATATACAGTTGTACTGAGAAGTTCATAAGGGACCGAGAACATTCTGAACATAGAAATGGTTTAACCTCCAAAATTAGTGAGCGTCTTGTATAGTGCTTCTTCAAACTAAGCGACCATCTATCTATTCGCAGGGGAGCCCGACCGGTCAGCACTTAGGCACAGCCTGCGACCATAGCAAGGTCTGAAGTGAAACAGTCTAAAAAGCACCTTAATGGTTAAGTAGTTTACAGAGTTTCATTGAATCTTTTTCTAGAGCTTTTCAGTCCTCTTTAGAAGGTTCTTTTCTAAACCTATACCAGAGCTTTGTCTATTCTAGAACTGATTGAACTGATTCTAGGAGCTTCGAAAAAGTCTTGAACGGCTAAACTCTTGAGAAGGCTTGAAAGGGGACACAAAAATTCCCTGGAAAAGTGCTACAAACCTGATACCTAAGGCTGTGGAAAGCCTTTTTTGACTGCTCTGGAAAACACCTAAAGCTACTTTGAGAGATTTCTAAGTGCTGGGAATGCTTATAGCGTTTTCGATTGGCAACACTCGTGCTGCACGAGTGCAATTTTTACATTCTATTGGTAAATTTAGGGCAATTTTCTGTGTTCCATTGGCAAATGTGATGCAACAATTACGCACTCAGTGCAAATTTCGACGCACAAGGTCCGAGAGCTCGTGGAGCTGCTAGTTAACAAATTTTCAAAACAAACGTGAGACAATTTGAATTTGTTTCTTGCGTTGGGAGAGTTTTTTGTCGTCATCTAGCGATAGCGAAGATGATGAACTAGCCATAACTTCTATTTTACAAAAAGTTGCACTTACTCATTAAACTGAACGCCAAAAATTGGTCTTTTACAGGAATTTCAAATTTATACTCCTCATCGTTTATCATAAATAATACTGAAATCATTTCAGTCATTTTTTAGAACAGAGATTTGTCGATTATCTAAATCTATAATGAGGTTACGGACAAATGACAACAAATATTTGGAAATATTTATGTTCTATTGAGAGCAATTTTCACAGGATTTCTTCAGTTTCTCATGCAACACTCGTGCAGCACGAGTTTTACCAATTGAAAACGCTATTAGAAAACCCATGGAAAATGATTTAAAATGTTATGGAAAAATTGCACTGCGCATGAGCGTGATTTACTTTTGTCATGCGCCGCGTTCTCTATTATTTCTGCGCAAGCGCATAATGCATTTATTTGGCGCGATCTATGCCGACAGATTAAACCGTCGATAAGAGAGGTACTTTATTTTGTTTTGTTGAGAAGTTGTTGGATTTCCTCCAGTGTCTTTCCTTTTGTTTCCGGAACGCAAAACCAGCAAAATATAGTGGAAACTAGACACGATGCGGTGAAAAATATAAACGTGGCGTACATTGAAAAGTTCGACAGCAGTAGCTGAAGAATCTTGGGAACAGCAATCGTTGTTAACGCCAGATACACATTGGAAACAAGCATTCCGTGGTTTTTTATGCTCAGCGCAAACAGTTCCCCTGTCATTAGTGTGGGCAAAAAAAGTAATCCAACGCTGTAGAAGGCAATGTAGCAAACCATGGCTAGCAGTGGTGTCCAGCTGGTGTCAGATACGTCCACCTCTGTTTCTTCCAGGATGTAAAAGTGAAACACGTTGATCAGCAAGGAAATTGCACAGCCTGCAGAGGATGCTGTTAACATTAGTCTTCTGCTGTATTTACCCACTATTGGTAAGCAAACCATTGAGAAAAGAAATAAACTGGCAAAAACAATAATTGTAGATACTTCTTCTGAGACGGACCTTGCTCCGGATAACTCGAATATATACTGGGCGTATATTACAAATGCAGTTATACCGCTCAATTGCTGAAATGTGCGCAGACCAAGTACCAACAGCAGTGCCCTTCGATTCGCAGGAATCCAGAATAAATCCTTAAATGAGCCAGCTTCAGAACGTTGCCTTTCGATGCTCTCACTCATAGCTGAAAGCTCACAGTCTACGTCGGTTTTCCATCTGAGCCGCATCAGGGCGACTTTGGCGTTTTCGCGTTCGCCTTTCTTCAAGAGATAGTGCGGGGATTCCGGCAGAAAGGGAACCAGCAGAATTTGAAGCAGCGGCGCAAAGAGATGAATGTAAGCTGCCGTAACGATATCCACGGAAGCGCTCAAGGCAGCCATGCTCAATTGGCCTAAGCCCATCGAGCACGTTACCACATTCCCCCATTTCCCACGGACTGCCGGTGTCAGTATCTCCCCAACGTAAGCCATCACGGTAGAAAACATTATCCCCTCCCCAATCCCATTTAGAATACGCGCGATGTAAATTGGCGTTATGCTTTTCGCCTCGCCGGTTAGTATCCAACTGAGTGCTTGAGGGAGGGCCATGAACCAGATTATTGGCTTTCTTCCGATGTGCTTCATCGCGCTGGTTATGAGAAAAGAAGAGACGATCATGGAAACTCCTGGCAGCATTGAAAGATAAGACGCTTCCTCGATCGATATTTGACCGATGTAGGATGTGTTTCGGATCAGATGCGGAATGGCCGGTGAGAGCCAAGTGAAGAGGGCTCCCGTTGAAAATGCTCCAATGGAAACTGATAAAATATGGTTATCAAAGTTTCAAGTGGCTTAAGATACTTACCCACAAACATTGAGGCAATCTGCACGAAGTCGCTGCCTTCGGCACTTTTTGGTATTACTTTCTCCACAACTGTCTCTATCATTTTCATTAGACATAGATTAGAAGAAACGCCCATCTCCGTTTAACTCTCGTTGCGTTTTACTTGGATACTACCTAATTACCTACAATTGACAATTGAATATAATCAAAAACAACCAATTAACCTTGTCAATTATTGTCTAAGAGTTAATTAGAATTCAGTAGCGTTTGTGCATATTTGCCTAATTGATAGTAACCGCGGTCTAGAAGGCGCTAGAATTCACCATCCAGAATATAGTGGAACATGTAGATATTGTAACGGAAACGCTCCAGACATGACGTCACCTTTGGCGCTCTGGAATTTTCTAGGCGCGCGATAGTGGGAATGTTTGCAACGTATCTGGTAATTACGCGAATGTTCTGGACTTACATTGCTTGCGTGTATAAATAGTTGCGGACCGAACATCGCGGCAGTCTACTACCGAACGAGATCGAGTACAGATGAAACATAGAGCGCGGAAATATAAATTGCGAAGTGTGTGATATAAATAATCGATACAAATAGAACAGTTTTTATAGTGTTTTAGTTTTGTTTAATAAATATTGATATAAATCGAACCCGAATTTATAAATCACGTTACAATATGTTAAGCTTTTGGTACGCGATGCACAGCCTTCTACAATATTTTCAAAGCTAATGGCCTGAAAAAGTCTTTTTTTGGGGCCCGGTCTTGCGATAGGGAGTTTGCTGTCAGCTGATTGGTTTGAGGACGTACGGGTGCTCGTCATATTGAGTGAGGGCGCCAGAGGTCACATTTTTGCCGGTGGCTAAAAAGAATTTGATTGGTGAACGCGAAGAAGGGACGGAAACAGTAGATCAGAAGAACGTTTTAAATAGGAGAGGAAGGCGTTTTTTGGTGAAAAAATGTTGTGGAAGAATGATGTTCTAAGAGATGTTGTCTGTATCGAGCAGTAATCGCATAACTTCCTTTAAGGTTGTTATCCACCAGTAAAAGCCACTTTTACACTTGAAATTACAACAAAACCAGTTGCAATAAAAGTAAAGATATAAAGATTACGAAACCACATCAGTTGGTGAGATTGTGCTTCTGTTAAGGAAAATCTCAGTTATAACCGAATGTTAGGTTTATCAATTTGTTTCAATCGATCGCATGTGCGTGGTTCTTTGCATGCCGGGAGGGTCTCATTTTTCCTTACAGCACTATTGATGAGACTGTAGGGAATGCAATCCCGCAGCAAAATCTCAATCCCGGTATTTGCGGGATCGTTAGATGTTAATCCCGCGGGATCCCGGTATTTGCGGGATTGCGCAGTGCAACTTTTTCATAACATTTCAAATCATTTTCCATGGGTTTTCTAAGCATTCCCAGCACTTAGAAATCTCTGAAAGTAGCTTTAGGTGTTTTCCAGAGCAGTCAAAAAGGCTTTCCACAGCCTTAGGTAACAGGTTTGTGGCACTTCTCCAGAGAATTTTTGTGTCCCCTTTCAAGCCTTCTCAAGAGTTTAGCCGTTAGGTGTTTCGCAAGCCCTTTTCGAAGCTCCTAGAATTTTTCCAAAAGTAAAAGAGACCAATCGGTTCTAGAACAGACCTACAAAGCTCTGGTATAGGTTTAGAAAAGAACGTTCTAAAGGACCTGAAAAGCTCTAGAAAAATATTCAAGGAAACTCTGTAAACTACTTAACCATTAAGGTGATTTTTAGACTGTTTCACTTCAGACCTTCCTATGGGCGCTTAGTTTGAAAAAGAACTTCGAAGAAGCACTATACAAGACTCACTAATTTTGGAGGTTAAACCATTTCTATGTTCAGAATGTTCAGGGTCCCTTATGGACTTCTCAGTACAACTGTATATCTTGCTTCTGCAGATGTTAATAGCGTCCTCCTACGCCCTCCTAAAAGTAGGCGGGATTGGCCAGTTCTAGAAAAGACCCGCAACGACCTTGAAAGTTCGCCGTAACAAATAGGATCATTGACCTCTGATAATCTTATCAATAGAATGTGACTTTAAATGGCGATGAATGGACTTTGACCCGTTCGGCAACCTTTGTCGTTTGAAAAACGGGGTTATGGACTTTGACCGCTGAGTAATGAACTTTGACCGACAACTTTTATAATAAGAATCTTTTTAAACTACCCAGAAAATGTTTAAAATCTTCTGCACTAACAGACTTTTCATAGTCTTCTAGGCGCTTTATAGCATATTAGCGTTAGCGCCAGGAAGGAAGTCTCGGGAGTGAGTCAGTCCCAGCCTGGTCCTATTGAGTTAAAATGCTTTCGGTGCGAAAAGAAGGGCCATAAACAACACTGCCAACAACCGAACTATGTCAACAAAAAACGAGACGGCGGAAAAAATGTGTCAGCGACCCCTTTATTAACTAAAATGCACTTTGTGTTTCAAGACTGGTCATATCATTGAGAATTGCTTTCTTACATGTTCCGAAAAAGCCGTTCCACTTAGAATGAAAATTGATATACAATTAATTGACACCGTTTCCCTTATGTCAAATAATTTTGCAGTGCAGTGATCATCGTTCCCCAAGACAGCCAAATTCAATTCGCAATACGGCTTTTGTATCCTTAAAGATGCTCGCTACGAATATCTTAGGATGCCGTTCGGTTTAGCGAACGCGCCATCGGTGGTTGAAAGAGCAATGAGGAGTGCTCTGGCTTTGAAACATGGTATCATTAGGCCTGGTCGTCGTAAAGTGGATGCGTCGAGTCACCAACAAAGTTAAGCAAGTCAGTCAGCTTATGGCGACCAATCCAAGATGGCGCTCAACAAGTTTGGCGGACCGAACCGCTCATTGGCAGTGACGCCACAGAGGGCGGCAGTAGTTATACAGGGAGGGTTCCTGGACCACTTCCAGGTCGCTCGCCACCTGGTGGTGACCTTGGAGAGTAGGTCAAGGTGACGTGGCAATCGCTTTGGGAATTAGGTCATTAAGGTCATCCGAGGGCATTGACTATTTATTTCAAGGTTATCCGAGGTCATTGGCCCCATCAATGTTCAAGGTCAACCGACGTCAATGACCACATTAATTTGAGGAGGTCATTGACCCCATTTAATTTCAAGGTCATCCTAGGTCATGGACTCCATTAATTTTTAATGTCATCCGAGGTAATTGGCTCCCGTTAATTTTAAGGTCATACGAGTTCATTGAACTAATTAATTTTCAAGGTCCTGCAAAGTCATTGACCCCATTTTTGGGGGTTACAGGTCATCCGAGGACATTGACCCCATTTTTTGTGAAATTACATTCTTAAGGTCGTTTTTAACAAAATATGTCACAAACCCACACACACTGAGTAAAAAATTATATCCTTCAAAAGGCTATATAACTACAGGCGAATAAAATAAATATGCAAGTACGTTAGGATTGCGTTTATAGCTTCTTATATAACCCATTGCAGAAGGTCGATATAGGTTAAACGTTGGGTCATTAACCTTAGATGACCCTGAAAATATTAGGGAGCCAATGACCTTGGAAGATATTGAAAAATTTCATCTTTGGCTTTACAATAACCTACTTTCCAAGGTCACCGCAAGGTTACTGAGAACAACGCCCCCGAAAATTGTGTTAATTGCCCTCGGATGACCTGTACCCCAAAAAATGGGGCCAAGGACCTCGGATGACCTTGAAAATTAATGGAATTAGTGGCCTCGGATGACATTGAAAATGATGTCAACGCCTTCGTAGCACCTTGACCTAATTTCCAAGGTCACCACCCACATGTCACACATCTTTCACCTTGACCTTATTTCCAAGGTCACCTCCACGTCACCTTGGCCTACCTTCCAAGGTCACTACCAGGTGGCGAGCGACCTTGAAGTGGTCCAGGAATCCCCTGTATAACTACTGACGGGCTCTAAAGGCTCCCCCTACCGTATCCCCATTTGCCAAGGGTAGGGGCATAGAGGGGTACTCGTCTCTGATTGGATGTGACGTCACTTTCTGGTCCAGCACGAGCATAGGTCTTCAACTGGTCTTGCTGGGTACTTTCGTAAATTTATCAATGATTTTGCCACTAAGACGCTTGACGAAAAAATGTTCCTTTTGTATAGAAGGAAGAAGGAAGGCCATCTTAGAACAGGATCAGCAAAACGCTCAAGGAAGCAGCAGGGAAAACACTTGGGGGACATAAACCGTCTATGTCACCGAACGGGAAGGAAGCCATGGCACAAGCCACACAAACCAGAAACAAAGAAAGAGCTAAGGGAGGCCAGAGAGGAGAACAACAAAAGGTCAAGGAATTCGCCGAGTTTGCAGTAAAAAGCCACTTTTACATTTGAAATTACAACAAAACCAGTTGCAGTAAAAGTAAAGAAATAAAGATTACGAAACCACATCAGTTGGTGAGATTGTGCTTCTGTTAAGGAAAATCTCAGTTATAACCGAATGTTAGGTTTATCAATTTGTTTCAATCGATCGCATGTGCGTGGTTCTTTGCATGCAAGTCCCGGGTCTCATTTTTTCTTACAGCACTATTGATGAGACTGTAGGGAATGCAATCCCGCAGCAAAATCTCAATCCCGGTATTTGCGGGATCGTTAGATGTTAATCCCGCGGGATCCCGGTATTTGCGGGATCCCGCAAAATTTTAAATAAATTGACAAATAAGCGATTTTGTGCGGTTAACTTCTGTATTAAAAAAATCGCTAATTATCACAATAAGTGTTCAACAAAAAAGTACTTCCTTTCGCTCCATACACGTAACAAGTTAGTACTAAATCCTGGTCAGCATAGAACAGCACTTTTTTTAAAATATCTTAAACTATTTAAGCTGTAAGATCTTCAATGTCCTCCCAAATTACATACAAACTCAAAATGACATTCGCAAGTTCAAAAAAGAACTCAAAACATACTTACTAAACCAAAATTTTTACAACCTAAAAGAATATTTTGAGCATTGAGGGTCAACCCAAAACACATCATGGTTTTTATTATGTACTTTGGTGTGTATTATTGTTTTTATGCATGACAATTACTGCCTACTATTGTTGTACATCTTGTGCGGTAACGTTGTTGCAGTAAAATAAACATTATTATTATTATTATTATTATTATTTTCAGCCTTAGAACTTAGAACTCAAAAAAATCGCCTGTAAAG